TGGATATATCCTGTGCGATGTGCAACCTCTGATGCCACGTTTTCTAGTCTCACTTCCTTAGTATGCATTTGATAATCCCAGGACCATCCATTTGGAGGTGGTCCTGCAGTTACTGCAAAGGAAATCTAAAACTGGGCAACCACATTTGGGTTTCAGAGAAACTGCTATGTTTATGAATGGGTTAAGCCTTCCCCCTAATCCTCTAGTGGCTGTCTCATTGACAGCCACTAGAGGCGCTTGCGTGCTTCTCACTGTGATTTTCACAGTGAGAGCACGCAAGCGTCCATAGGAAAGCATTGTAAATGCTTTCCTATGCGACGGGCTGAATGCGCGCGCAGCTCTTGCCGCGCGTGCGCATTCAGCCCAGGAGGAGGACGGAGGAGGAGAGGAGGCAGAGAGCTCCCCGCCCAGCGCTGGAAAAAGGTAAGTTTTAACCCCTTTCCCCTTTCCAGAGCCGGGCGGGAGGGGGTCCCTGAGGGTGGGGGCACCCTCAGGGCACTATAGTGCCAGGAAAAAGAGTATGTTTTCCTTGGACTATAGTGGTCCTTTAAGACAATGTCTTGGAAACGCTGTCAATTAATTTATTCCGTAAAAGAATATCGGAGAGTATCCAATCTATACACATCATAAACGGTGTAAAAATGTTTCATGAAAAGAACAAAACAAAAAGCAAACAAGCAAAGACAAATACCAACACCATGGCGATAACAGATGATGCTGATTCAATATCTGCAACCAATTCTAGCCAAATATTTGGAAAGCTGGACTCTACAACCTATACTCAACAACAAATACCCAGGTATTCTACAAACACAACCTCCAGCAATGTATCTAAGGAATGTAAACTTCTACAGGCCTTTAAAGACTTTGGATTACAAATACCATTACTACTTTTAATTTTGGATTACAATTCGTATCCGGATCTATCCAAGAATATCTTACTCTGGAACCTGGTGTTCTTTTCAATTCTTTCCCAGACAAAAGCTTTGCTCATTTTAATCAACCACCTTTATAGGCAAAGATCACACTACGGGTATTTTACTGTTACAATAATGATCAAAGATGCTGGGAGCACAAAAAAAAAAACCTATAGACTGTTGGAGAACTTTGGTTCACTAATTTAAGAAAGAAATGCTCTACAATGCCCACAGTTTAATGGAGAGGGTGTTATGGGCAAATGCAAATATTACAAGTTTTAGAATGAAATGTTGTATTTCTTAAACTGTGTACTTTGTGTTTAAGAGATATTGCAAATTGACATGTGTTAGAAATGGAACATATTATTAAGCACAGGGGTCAAGTCCTGGGGAAAAAAGTGTGGGAACTCACCCAAGATTCCCGCAACCCCCCGCCCCCCCTTAAATTTTTTTTTTAATTTTTTTTAAATTACACTCCTATGCATATAGTGCAGTGCAGGGTGTGTATAATGAATGTAGTGTGTTTGTAGTGAATGCAGAGTATGAATAATAAATGTAGTGTGTTTGTAGTGAGTGCAGTGTGAATAATAATTGTAGTGTATTTGTAGTGAGTGCAGAGTGTACATAATGAATGCAGTGTGTTTTTAGTGAGTGCAGAATGTGTATAATGAATGTAGTGTATTTGTAGTGAGTGCAGTGTGTATAATAAATGTAGTGTGTTTGTAGTGAGTGCAGTGTATATAGTGAATGTAGTGTTTTTGTAGTGAGTGCAGAGTGTGTATAATGAATGCAGAGTGTGTATAGTGAATGTAGTGTGTTTGTAGTGAGTGCAGAGTGTGTATAATGAATGTAGTGTGTTTGTAGTAAGTGCAAATTGTGTATAATGAATTTAGTGTGTTTGTAGTGAGTGCAGGGTGTGTACAATGAATGCAGTGTATGTAGTGTGTTTGTAGTGAATGTAGTGTGTAGGGAGTGCAGAATGTGTATAATGAAGCTTGTTTATGCATTATTGTAATTCGTCTGGGACAAAATGGCGTAAACATAATATGCACTGAGGTTATTGCTTAAATAAACAGTTATGATTAATCAGGGCTCGAGTCCTGCAGGAACGCATGGGAACGGCGTTCCTGCACTTTTTCCAAGTGTGTTTGTAGTGAGTGTTTAGTGAATGTAGTGTGTTTGTAGTGAGTGAAGAGTGTGTATAATGAATGCAGTATGTGCATGTGCTGGATGATGTGTGTGTGTGTGTGTGTGTGTGTGTGTGTGAGTGAGAGTGCTGGATGATGTGTATGACCCATCATCCAGCACACACATACACACATACACATCATCCAGCACTCACACACACACAGTGTGAGTGCTGGATGATGTGTGTGTGTGTGTGTGTGCTGGATGATGGGTGTGTGAGTGCTGGATGATGTGTGGGGAGGGGGGGGAGCATTTTTTTACTTTATGTATATTTTTTATTTTGTTCCCCCCTCCCTGCTTCTTACCTTGTCAGGGAGGGGGGAGATTGCCTGGTGGTCCGGTGGAGGGAGCCAGCCGCTACACACAGGAGCCATCACACGCTGTGTTCCCTCTCCAGCTCTGACTCTCGTGAGACTCGCCTGTGCGGAGCGTTGCCATGGTAACAGCCGTGGGTCTCGCGAGAGTTAGAGCTGGAGAGGGAACACAGCGTGTGATGGCCCCTGTGTGCAGGTAGCAGGGCCGGTCCTGCAGGACAGGTAACGGGAATGGCGTTCCTGCTTTGGAAAAAGTGCAGGAACGCCGTTCCCATGCGTTCCTGCAGGACTCGAGCCCTGATTAATCATAACTGTTTATTTAAGCAATAACCTCAGTGCATATTATGTTTACTCCATTTTGTCCCAGACGAATTACAATAATGCATAAACAAGCTTCAAGGCTATACTACGACTTTCAGTACGTAATATACTGTAGTAACCTTAGTAGATAAGGATGTTCAGACTTTAAGATGCCATTTTGAACTAAGTCAGGAAAATTTCCATGACGTATGCACCCTTTAGTTATGGACTTTTATTTTTGCCAAGTTAAGGGAGGTCCTAAAATGAATAAAGTAAAAGAAGTGTTACTTTTTCATATATGAACTACGGTAACCCTAAAATGGAGACACCTTAGGTATACTTTTAAATGTTAAGAAGCAGAGGAGAGACTTGGATACAGACGCTGCTCCATCTTAAAATGACAGAGGCAGACATGATGACATGTTCAGAAGGGTATGTTAACCTGTTAATGACATTTGCAAGCATTTAGTTTAATCTTATAAACTCTGCTATAATGGATTTTATATGTCTATATTTATATAATAAATATCAAAAAAAAAATGTATTGCTTCCAAGACAATCCTTATTTTATATTGTATTCTCAATTATTTATATATGTTAAAGAGGATCTCTTACACTAACTATATAAAATGATGGCCAAGATATCTGTATGGTTAGCCCTACTAAGTTCTATGCTTTAAGACATTATAGTGGTAAATAAGAGAACCAGCCGCAGTTACATTTTATTATAGATTTTCATGTGACAACATTGAAGAAATGACACACTGCAACAATGTAAAGTAGTAAGTGTACAGCCTGTATAACAGTGTAAATTTGCGGTCCTCTCAAAATAACACACAGCCATTGTCTAAACCTTTGGCAACAAAAGGGAGTACACACCTAAGTGGAAATGTCCAAATTGGGCCCAATTAGCCAATTTCGGGTGTCATGTAACTCAGTGTTACAAGGTCTAAGGTGTGGATGGGGAGCAGGTGTGTTAAATTTGGTGTTATCGCTCTCACACTCTTATACTGGTCACTGGAAGTTTAACATGGCACCTCATAGCAAAGAACTGAGTATTGAAGAAAAAAAAAAAATAATTGTTGCTCTACGTTAAAGATCACCTAGGCTATAAGAAGATTGCCAAGACCCTAAAACTGAACTGCAGCACAATTGGCAAGACCATACAGCAGTTTCACAGGACAGGTTTCACTCAGAACAGTCCTCGCCATGGTCGACCAAAGAGGTTGAGTCCACGTGCTCAGCGTCATATCCAGAGGTTGTCTTTGGGAAATAGACATTTCTGCAGAGGTTTACGGGTGGGGGAATCAGCCTTTCAGTGCTCAGACCATACGCCCCACACGGCATCAAATTGGTCTGCATGGCTGTCAACCCAGAAGGAAGCCTCTTCTAAAGATGATGCACAAGAAAGCCTGCAAACAGTTTGAAGATAAGCAGATTAAAGACATGGATTACTGGAACCATATCCTGTGGTCCGATGAGACCAAGATAAACTTATTTGAATCAGATGGTGTCAAGAGTGTGTGGCGGCAACCAGGTGAGGAGTACAAAGACAAGTGTGTCTTGCCTACAGTCAGGCATTGTGGTGAGCGTGTCATGGTCTGGGCCTGTATGAGTCCTGCTGGCACTGGTGAGCTACAATTCATTGAGGGAACCATGAATGCCAACATGTACTGTGACATACTGAAGCAAAGCATGATCCCCTCCCTTCAGAGACTGGGCCACATGCCAGTATTCCAGCATAACCCCAAAAAACACCTCCAAGATGACCACTGCCTTGCTAAAGAAGCTGAAGGTAAAGTTGATGGACTGGCCAAGCATGTCTCCAGACCTAAACCCTATTGAGCATCCTCAAACGGAAGGTGGGGGAGCACAAGGTCTCTAACACCCACCAGCTCCGTGATGTCATCATGGAGGAGTGGAAGAAGACTCCAGAAGCAACCTGTGAAGCTCTGGTGAACTCCATGCCCATGAGGGTTAAGGCAGTGCTGGAAAATAATGGTGGCCACACAAAATATTGACACTTTGGGCCCAATTTGGACATTTCCACTAAGGGGTGTACTCACTTTTGTTGCCAACGGTTTAGACATTAATGGCTGTGTATTGAGTTATTTTGAGGGGGACAGCAAATTTACACTGTTATACAGGCTGGACACTTACTTTACATTGTTGTTACATTTCTTCAGAGTTGTCACATGAAAAGATAAGATATTTACAAAAATGTGAGGGGTGTACTCAGTTTTGTGAGATACTGTATATGTTCAGTTTTATTTTAGAATTTGTGCAGTTTCAGCAAATTGTTTAGTCTTGTTCTTTTATGCAGCGCACAGACAAGACAAGTTTCAGATAAGCATGCGGCCCCACAATACCTCAATACTGTCAGCTTGTTTATGCTAAATTAATAACCCGCCTGTCTTATCTCTTAACTGATATGTTGGTTCCACTCTTGATAAATCTACTTTGAAATATAAAAAGGTACAATGTTATATTATGAGAAACAAAGGTCTCTAAATGGTGACCAATACACTGTTTCATGCACGATAAAAGAATTTAAAAAAAAAAAGTCAAATACTGTAAGTGGTGTGTATAAGCATATAATTAAACTAAGCGAAAATAGAATAGTAAAAATGTTCATGGCATCACCAACATGCAGCATATTTGTGCTCAAAAGAAAAGACATTAAATTCTAAAAATCATAGCTTTAAATAGGAATACTGACTTGACAAATGCCAAATTAATTTACCCTGTACTCATGGACAACTTAGTAATAGTTAAGGCACAAAATGGATGTATGGATATAAAAAAAAAAAAAAATTTAAAGAAAGCCAAAAGTAAGTTTATTACACAGAATTTTATTTTAAAAATACCTTTGTCAACAACCTAGCATTACTAACAAAAATGTTTATGCAGGATACGAATGCTCCTTTATCAGAATCTCTGAATCTTCACATGGAACTTCTGAAGTCAAAGTGAAGGATTAGGAATCTGAAACACTGGCATCCGGACTAAAAATGTGTCTGCTGGTTAATTTTAACCACATGTAGGGCTGAAGTTTTGCATTCATTTACACATAGGTTCAACTGGTTTCAGAGAGGTCTATAGATTCCAGAGCTTTAACGGTGGTAGACTTGCATAAATAAGTATTAAAAAAAAAAAAATTTTAGCATGCCACCACCACGTGGAAGCAGATTTGCCAGCCTAATTTATATTAATACAGTAGGATTCCTAGAAACAGCAGCGCAGGATAAGGTTATTGGGTAAAGCACCTGGATAATTATAGAATTTCAAGAACAGAGACATGGTGCGACAAAGTGGCTTCAGGCTTATGCATAACATCCTATCTATTCTGCATTTCAATACAAGTTATAGCATCCATTTTTCTTCCTGGTGACTTGATATTAAATATCAATTTCATTGCGATTGCTGAAATACATAAATCTGTGGTCTATCTTGGGCTTAGACTCCAGCTGGTATAACTTCACACATTTAAATCATTTAAGTGCAAGAGGACTTACAACCTAAAGTCCAATTTCATTATCAGGTCTGGAAACAGTCACATTTCAAAAAAGTTAAAATTCAATCCAAAAATAAGAGGGACCCCCAAGAAAAAAAAAAAAAAATGTATAAATACATGTATTGTTAAGTTTCTTTTTTTGGGAAAAGGAGGTGGATCAAATTGATAAACTCCAAGACTCAAGCAGATTTATACAGCTACATCTACAGAGCTTCCATGGTTGAGCAAGAGGCATGAAATAGATTTGCGTTTGCTGCAGGTGTCTGAATGTATAAAAAGTGGTGATGTCCAGGTGGTGGGTTCTGATTCTAGTTTATGTACAATAATTTAAATCACCTGTATATTTAAACAACTAGGGGGAAGAAGAAAATAAAATAACCCCCAAGAGAATGATTTAAGTCCTTCATGCATTTTCTCAGGAAGTTCTGGATTAAAGAATAAGATAGTTGCCAAGATCTTCTCATAATAGGCAAACGGTTCTTCCCACGTTCACATTCTAGATTTTGAGTTTCTTCATGGTTTCTAGTCTTTTTTTCAACAGCTCCCCAATGTCTTGTAACGAATGCAAGTAGCCACTTTGAACTTTATCCATTACCAACTTTGTAAACTTTTTTTCTTTCTGAAATAGAAGCACAGGGGATTTAATAAAAGAGGGAGGAGAAAAAAATAAAAAATAAAAATCACAAAACAAAAATTTAGAAACTTTAATTTTCATATGAAGTAGATTCCCATTTTTCATAATGCATTATATATATATATATATATATATATATATATATATATATATATATTCCATAATATACCAAAAATCCCAAACTGTCCATCAGTGTTCTTGTGTTTTTTTGTGAATTAGCAAGTCTTGCAGGTTCAGACAGGATCTAGTCAACTTTACATCCAAGTCTACTTATTCGTAAAGTGTGCCTTTTCCCAATATATTTTGGTATAGTGATAACACCACCTACATGTGAGCAGAACTCAACATTGTAGTTAAGTCTGCAATTAAATGGATGCTGGACGCAGTATCAACACTAATAGCTTGTAGAGATTACGGTGCCTGGAACGTAATGGAAGACAAAGCATGCTCAGCCAATCACCATCAATTCCTATTATGTATTGTATGGTAGGAGACAGACAATAACTCCATTACATTAAAGAATATACACACACACACACACACACAAAATGGAAGAGATTTTTCCCATAAAACAACCAATTACATGTTACACAAAAAGAGTTATTTATGTAATTACATGTGGCTAGAACCACAAGGGCACTACACGTGAGGATCCAAGAACACTTTCGTAACATCAAAATTGGATTTGATAAACATAGCCTTTCATAGCCAAGTCAACTCCAATTCTTGGGCATTCAGAAAATTGAAACTAATTGGAAGGGAGAGGACCTTATTACTGCAATGGGCAAGTCAGAAATGAGGTGGATCTTCAACCTAAATTCCCTTCTACCTGATGGATTAAATAGGGATTTCGAGTTCTATCACTTATATGATTTTAATTTGATTATTCTAGAAATGACATAAAATTGAATTGTTATTCTTTGATCTTCTGGGACTTGTGTATATTTACAGTTTGATAAGTTGGAGGTGTGTGTGTGTGTGTGTGCGCATATATATATATATATATATATATATATATATATATATATATATATATATATATATATATATATATATATATATATATATATATATATATATATATATATATATATATATATAAAAAAACACATTGTTAATACTTATACAATATTAAATATATTCCAAGTTACTATACTGCTATAATAAGCCGAGGATCCAGTTCTTTATCTGTATGTATTTTCTATTTTCCGCTATATTTTTAGCCACCATTGACTGTTTTTTGACGAATTATGAAGTGAATTTAGACGTGAATTTAAAAGGAGGAAATTTGACTACTTCGATTGAGAATGCCTGTGGAAAGAGCCAAACGCGTCTTAAAGCAAGCTCTATATGAGGACACGTTATTGTTTTGTAGATTTAGGTGTATTTTTAAGTTTTAATACATTTAGCCACTGGATTTTTAAAGTCCCATTGGCTGCAGACTCCATCTACCTCCCAACAAGAAGGTTTACCCCCCTTTAGTGGGCAACAAGTTTTTTCTACCCAGGTTATTTATATTGGCTCTGGATAAGGTGAGCAAATTACTATTTGGTTTATTCACCCATCCATCCATAATATCTGGCTTACTACACTAGAAGCAATTTCTCTGTGTTTTCCTTTGAGCATACGAAGAAAGAAAGAAGAGGAGGGAGAGTGTCACCTTAATACAACAAAGTGGTCATGATTTGAGCCAGTCCAACACTTGTCTCTTTGAGAGTTTGTTCTTTATATATTTGCTATACAGTACTGAACATACTTCACCATTATAACTTTCTCTCTCCATTTTATATATATATTTATAGGTACCCCTATATTAAGGGGTATTTGTATACAGTGCTCCACTTAATTTTAATGGTGGATGTTTCCTTTTAATCTCTCCCCCAACACATACATATATATATATACATATATATATATATATATATATATATATATATATATATATATATATATATATATATACACATATATATATATATATACACACATATATATATATACACACATATATATATATATACACACATATACATATACATATATATATATATATATACATATACATATATATATATACATATACATATATATATACATACACACATATACACACATATACACACACATTATATTATACATATATATATACATATATACACACACACACACACACACACACCTCTATATCAAATCCAGAACATGCATTTCTAAGAAGTGGTGCTGCCCTAAAGACCAAAACATATACAAAATGCAGTTATAGGTACAGCACACACAAACAATACTGTTTTACATTTAACAAGGCTACTTACAAATCACCTATCTTAGTAAATAAATACGGGGATTCAGTTCCACCATATGGCCATATTGTGTTAAGCCCACCATTACATCACAGTACCCAAATATCTGTGGGTCCTACACTACATGCGAGCGTGCAATACTTACACAGTTTAAACTGCTTTAAGTGACTTCTCAATTTAAGCTTTACTGTGGTCACCTCCAAAATGTGTTCTGGTGTGCTCCCAATTCCCATTTTTTTCTGTGTAGATTTGGAACCCAGACCAGATTTCTATCGAGCTGAGCACCCCACCCCTTTGGAGGGGACCACAGGAAAACTTCAATTGAGGAGTCTCTTGAAGCAGTTTAAACTGCAAGTAAGTATTGCATGTTAGCGTGTAGTGTAGGACCCACCGATATTGGGGTACTGTGATGTAATCGTGGGCTTAACACAATATGGCCATATGGTGCAACTGAATCACCATATTTATTTGATAAGATAGGTGATTTTAAGTAATCCTGCACATTTCTAATCAGACTGGCATAATAAACAGTTTGACATTTTAAAGAAATGGAACAGTGCCCAACTAGTAGGTGTGGCAGAGAGGAGTACAGTTATACTAGCATTCCCTATGCTAGTGATGGGTAACTAATTTCACATAAAGCTACAGGAGGTGAAAAAAAAAAAAAATTAAAATAAAACACGTGTTTGTCAGAAGATAGTCTCCATAAGATTTTTCTAGTGTTTAGAGAGGTTGTAGCTTTCATCCTTTGCATTTGAACAAGTTTAACTCTGGTGTGTCTGAGTGACTAGCTTTGCAGTTTGATACACTTGAGTTATTCGGCCTTCAGTACAATTATATAAAAATAAGCTTATGATTTGTGTGTGGGTTTGAGGTTGTACACAGATCTCACACACCCATGAAGGGACCGTTTACACAAGCCTAGACATTAAATCAAGCAACTACTTCCCTGTGTGATCATACTTAATGTCCTGTCACACCCTTTCAGGAAGGCAGTACGCTAGATTCGTGCTACACACTAACATCCATTGTGTGGGGTTAGTATAGCGGCCTTCCAAACACTATATCTGCTATATTTACATACAGACTGTGCTCTTCTGATCTATACTCACATGTATTGATCTAAAAGTACCAGAACTCTTAAAAATGCTTTCCTACAGCTTGTCAGAGCCCCCTCCAGTATGTTGTTTTTTTTGTTTTGTTTTTTTAAAGTCCTACTTGAGATAGTTAGATGAGGTATGGCACACATTTTAACGTTTGAGAATAGGTATATATGTGTATGCAAGCAAGTGTTGTCAAGCATAACTTGCAGACCGGTAAATCTGAAGTGACTTCAAGCTTAACAGCCATTTCCTTCACCTAGTGACCATCACCGTTAGTGCAACCTATGTGTTCCAACAGCTACTAAAGTCTTGATTTTGACATACATGATCATAATATTTGGGGCACTCATATCAAAACTCCAGATAAAATTAATTTAAAAAAAAAAAAAACCTGACACAAAACAAAGTTAAGTAGATTAAAAATCAATTTGAAGGGGGTGGGACCTGACAGTCAAGCTAACCAGACGTGCATGCAGAGAGCTCTGGGAAAAAAGCAGCATTATATTGGCAAATGTATGCCACAAACGCGACTAAAGCAGCTCGGTAACACAGCAGTGCTGAACAGAGTGGAGACCCGTGGACACGCCTGTAGCAAATCTGGAGAGAATACTCCACAAATGAGGCCTAACATGGAAAGCGGTCTAGAGGCTGGGAGAGGCGGCCGATCTCCCACAATGGGGACCGCAAACAGTAGCTCTCTCCAATGGTGGTGATCCCGGTCCACGCTGGGGAAACACAGTCTTACACCCTGAAATCACTCGCCCTGAACACATATCGGTCCCAAATGGCCGCCAAGCACCAATCCCTGCAATTCCAAGAAAGCCTAGAGACACGGGCATGGAGAGAGCGCTTTGAAGCTCAGTTTGACCACATATGCCGTGACTTCTGGAGGCACATAACACCACCCACCCTGTTCTAGATACACCACATGAGGAACATGTCTGATGTATCTTCTATTTGAATCTCCTACCTTGTGTCTCATGCAGACATGTATGTTCAAGCATTCACTATACTGCAGTAATCTATTGCAACGTAACCCCAATCCACACACATACTAAACTACATAGCAGTAACTGCTCATTTATGTTAAAGGACCACTCTAGGCACCCAGACCACTTCAGCTTAATGAAGTGGTCTGGGTGCCAGGTCCAGCTAGGGTTAACAGATTTTTTCATAAACATAGCAGTTTCAGAGAAACTGCTATGTTTATGAATGGGTTAAGCCTTCCCCTATTTCCTCTAGCAGCTGTCTCATTGACAGCCGCTAGAGGCGCTTGCGTGCTTCTCACTGGGATTTTCACAGTGAGAGCACGCCAGCGTCCATAGGAAAGCATTATGAATGCTTTCCTATGCGACCAGCTGAATGCGCGCGCAGCTCTTGCCGCGCGTGCGCATTCAGCCGATGGGGAGGATCGGAGGAGAAGAGCTCCCCGCCCAGCGCTGGAAAAAGGTAAGTTTTTACCCCTTTTCCCCTTCCAGAGCCGGGCGGGAGGGGGACCCTGAGGGTGGGGGCACCCTCAGGGCACTGTAGTGCCCTGTTTTCCTGGCACTATAGTGGTCCTTTAAGCCTGTTTATGTTTAAAAATCTGCACACACTCATGCCAATGCCAAGCCTATATCAATCTATATGTACGCTGTTGTGGAATGTGACAATGACATGTACTTACCTGCACAAAAAAAAAAAATATCAATTTGAAAGTAAAATATAAATGAGGTGAGGAAAAAAAAAAAAAAACACACACACACACACACACACAGGTGTCATATTTGGGATTTAAGACTGCCTGTTTCGGTCTTTCCTAGATATTTGCTATATCAATTTCTAAAACCTTGTTGCAGTGGACTCACCTCTGAAAAAATGACATTGTCCAAAGACAGCTCTTCAAGTTTCAGTGCTGTTAGTGATACCTCCATATCCTTAATGTGATCTGTCATATTGGATACCAACATACGAAGCACTGTATTGAACTCTTGGTAGCTTGTGAATACAGGAGGCTAGGAAAAAAAAAAAAAAAATGAACATTGAAACCTCTCACAGACCACAGAATGTTTAACGGTCAAGAAAATAAAAATAATTTTTAGACATTTAAAGTATATCTGGGAAAACGTAAACTATAGGAGGGCAAAGCCCAATATTTGTCTTGACGTGCACGGGAATTAGTGGTAGACTGATGCAAGAGACACACTCCATTTAGAAAGAGGCTGTCCCATCAAAGCAAGAACGTATTTTGCAAACAATCTGTAGCTTTATGAACTTTAAACTAGAAGGTAAAAGGCAGAACAATACATACTATAGTTCGAAACCGTTGAAAAGTGTGGCTTGAAAACAGGCACTTATGTCGAACAATGCCAACTGCAACATTATGGTATGTTCATTCTTATTCCATTTAGAATGGGTTATGGACTCCACTAAAAATAATAGAATCGTTTATCACTCACTGTGGCTGTACTTTCTTTTTTCTTCTTTTTCTTTTTTTGCAGATTAGACTTTAGCGGTCGCAGAACACTTGCAAAATAGCTGGACACCCACTGATAAATAGAGATTGTCTGAAAGCATTGAAAATAAAATTTTTAAATGCATACAACTGTTAAGGTGTGTGTTTTTTTTTTTTGTTTTTTTTAGTGTAGATCATTAAGCTATACTTGGAACTCAACTGTCCAAGTCACATGTTCCAGATAATTTCTCTACTTTTTATGTGAGGGGTACAGTACCATAACGTATGTCTAGCAATGGAATAAAAAGTGCTCTCAGAGCCAACCCATTCAGTATGTACATTCATAAGAGGGGGAGAGAAAGAAAACCCAAAAATATTCAGTAAAAAAAATAAAAGTACATTTATTTTAACAAATTGGTTTTAAAACTGAAATGCTCGGTCAAGTAAGGAATTATTTTCATTAGCTACGAGAACATAAGCAGGAACTGACCTCAACGAAGAAGACCAGGTTTTCTACACTATCTGGAAAGGTTTTACAACACCCTCCTTGGATATCGATCAGCAACCCTTTACACTGGTTCACAAGATCTGGGAAGAGGGGGGGAGGAAATGACCACATAAACATGAATCTCAACAAGCCAATTAAAAATTTGCCAGGCAATCAACAAAATATTGGCATTTTACCTTTTAAGTGCTCTTGACAAGATTTTAATTTGATACCAATTTTCTCTTGGAGCGCAGATGTGTCATCTAAATGAAAAAAATACGTATATATGTATGTAAATGTTTAGGAGTTGGACTGTCATGCTAAGTATACCAAAGGAATGGAGTTGCATTGCTCTCAACAAGCATTTGTCTATTTTAAACTTGCCTTGTCATTTCGAATTAACCAAAGTGGCTCACCGAATAGCAGTAGTCATCTACTCCAGAAAAAAGTATAACATTTTTAATTGTGTGATCTTGGAGAGATGTACGCATTTTAAAGCGACACTATAGGCATAAAAACAACTTTAGCTTAATGAAGCCGTTTTGTTGTATAGATAACAGTCTCACTGATTAAATCTCTGTCACTTAGTAGTTAAATCACTGTTTATGCAGCCAAGCCACACCTACTCTGCCATGGAAAAGGGAGGGGGCGGATGACTTTCATTTTCAATTAGGTGTTAACTTACTTTAGAAATGTATTTCCTGCTCTGTAAATTGGACTTTAGTCACACACACAGGAGGCTCATGCAGGGTGTAGAAGACCTAACAGAGCAGGAGAAATTCTAAAGAAAACAAACTGTGCAATAAAGAAAGTGTAAACATGTCTCTTGTTACTGGACATGTTTAGGAAGGCTGTGCATATTACTTGGGCTGTATAAACAAAGTGATTTAACTCCTAAATGGCAGATAATTCAGCAGTGAGACTGCAGGCGCATGATCGATACACCAAAACGGCTTTAAGATAAGGTTGTTTTGGTGACTAGTGTCCCTTAATATCTCTCTAAATGCAATCATACAAAAGAATGTGCAGCAACAAGTCATGCTTGCAAATCCCACTAAGCATTCTGGTTTTAAGTGACACATTAGATCAAACAAAAATTTTATTATGAGAAGCTGTTTAATAAATAGTCAATGGTAACCTAAATAGGTTTATCAGACTAATGCCAATCCAAATGACATGGCATAATAAGCTGATGCATGGTTCTACCTACCTATGCCATTTGTGTCCAGTTCATAAATATCATTAACTAGCTGTAAAATATCCATTTGACATAAGCAGCTGCCACTGTTCAGGAAACCACGAAGGCGAGATGGTGGAGGACCAATGAAAGGATACTGTAGAAGTACATATGTTAATAGTTAAATATTTTTATATTGTGTCAACATATTACAATTATAGAAAGGGGATATTAGAGGTAAAGAAAGCCAGAGGATTTTAGTAGGCAGATGGATAGGATTAGAACATTTACTGGTAAAGTGGTGTGACTGGGATTCAAACCTAGGTTACCCAGTTTTAAGACAGTGACATCACAACTGTGTAGCTTTTACTGGTTATAATGAATCCCTTGTCTATGTATAAATCTCTTATTTAAAAAAACAAAAGACAAAAAAACTGAAGGAAGTTTAAAAAAAATTAAGAAACAAAATCTGTTCATTATGTACCCTACAACATTAAAATGTTAAACAAAAAACACACAATCACTCAACGGTCACATTTTCACTTCAAATATGTTAGGTTTTTTTTTTGTTGTTTAATTGTGTAGATCTATTTTTTTGAGAAAAGGTCAGGTTTTATCTTGCAGAGCAGCCATGTTGGGTCAGACTGTTCTGACCAACTGCGGTGTCTGAGTCTATATACATTTACTTTAAAGGAAATTTAAATGATATTATTCAAAGTGAAAATTTGACAGCGGCCTTATTAAAGGAACACTCAAAGCACCAAAAACACTACAGCAAGCGGTAGTGGTTATGGTTCCAGGAGTGCCCTGGCAATATGCCATGGTAAGTAGTCACACTATTTTAACACGGTCTGACAACTTACCTGGGTGCCCTGGTACCTTCACCATATCAGATTTTTTTCTGCCACAGAAGAACACTGGAAAAATTGACTTCAGTTGTAAATACATGGTGGGACCCAGGCAAGTTGTCATACCGTGCCAAAATGGTTTTGACTACTTACCATAAGGCAGCATCGAGGCTCTTTTTAATGGTTTCATAAAACATTTGTGGATTAGAGCCATGACACAGGATATCGAAATTATCCTATGAAAAATAGATCACAACTAGATAATGACAGAGGAGACCGTTTTTGGGCAAAATGCTGATCATTACATTTAGCAATAAATCGGTTGTCAATCTGTTTTTGTGTCACAAAAGCTTATTTTTTCTCCTTTGGCCTGGACAAAAAGGCAACGTCACCCACTGGTGTGTTAGTCATTTAAACCAAGACTGGCAACTTACAAACTAATAAAGAGCATCATACCATTCCTTTTCTTTCAAGAAACTTCTTGCCAGAAGCTACAGCTTCTTCCAACTTGATTAGTAATGTTCGAACTATATCAATCCTAGAAGATATCCCATTTTCTGCACTCTTCTCAGAATTCTTGGAGTCAGATGAATGGCTTAGGTTGGCCAGCCCACTAACCAGCCTGAGAGTCAGTGATCGAATCAGAAGCCAAATCCTCTCTTCTTCCAGCGACTGCTGCTTATGTTCTTCTAAAACGACCCTGCAAAATCACTTTATATGATGTGCCGGTCTTTTGGCAAAATAGTTCCTTCACGAAACATAAAATGTGGCAGAGCTTCATGATACTAAACAGATGGTGGGACCACCTAGCGATCAAGCAAACTAGGAAACATTCTAATTAATGCTGTGGTCTAGCAGCACATCATGTTGGTTAATAGGGTCTCCCCCCCACCCCCCATTTTCAGAGGTTCACATACTACGGATCATAATCAAGCCACACCTGACTGACTGTATTTGAAGCCTTATATTTAATGTCAGATTATAAAAGTTGGCAGCACTGTTTTGTCCCAGTGTGTCCTAAAAGCCAGGTGTTCCTAAGCTTATTTCACAGAGTGACTATGTCCAAATGATCCAGGCATCCGGGAGAGACTCCGGGTCTCTCAGGGCATAACTCTAGATAGTATAGAGAACACACAAAAACCAGGTATATAGCTACACCTAAAGTGAACCTACAACACTTCCTGGAAATATGGACAGTAATATATATTAATCCAATTGGACATATGAAGCCTATATTAGAGTACGTATGCTAAGAAACACTGACAAATAATAACCTTATAAGGTTAACTTCTATGTCAAGAAGAAAAAATAAATAAAAATAAAACTGATAGAACCTCTGTGATAAACTGAACCCCTGTTGCTTGGAAGGGCCTGCTGGCCAGCCTCTTACCAAAAGACTACGGGCCCTTAATATATATAAAAAAATACGAACAGACTTGGTTTGTGGGATTTTATATTTGGTTCGGGAACCGAACAGCAGCACAAATCAGAGACCACCCTGGAGCTTGTTAAGCCTAATTGCTAATTACTGTAGCAATTTCTACCGCAGTGTTCTAAGTGTTCGTCTGGGTGGCCGCAATTCAGTGGTGTTTGGGCATGAATCTCATGGAACTGAAAACGGACACACTCCCGAACAACGCTGGACTTCCAGCTCGCCTCTGTTCGGTTCTACAACACTTAGAAAAGTGCTGTTCAGTGGAAACGTTCCCACGAACAAGGGGAACAAGCTCCAGGGTAAGAACATTGACTGTTAGGTAGTTTGTTCGGTTTTTAAACAACCGAACTAGGCCGACCGCAAGCCCTGATTCTCTGGAACGGTTTTGGGCATTGGACCATGCGGGCGGGCAGTCAAATTATGTCTTCCAGGAAATTCCTGAACTGATCTGGTTGATTTTTTGATAACTTGGTCACCCAGATCAAGAATATCAGGGGATGTAACTTGTGGTGATTTTGTGTGTTTAAAGACATTTTTAGGTTGTTTTTAAAAATAAAAATAAATAAATAAAATAAATAAAAATGTATGTTTTCTATGCCTGGAAATAATGGAGTTTAATACAGTGGCTGACTCAATTATCTCCCAGGCATAGAGGAGGGATTGACCTATTTTGTATGAGTGTGTCCTGGACCTGAGAGCCAATGTAATTGTATATAGGTTTTCACTGTAGTCTACTCTCAGGTCCAGGGGGGGAGTGCCCCTTGCATGGCGACCTGCATATAAGGCCAGTTATGGCTGCCATTAAATAGAATTGTTTTACCAGTAATGAAGTCTAAGCTCATGTTTGGGGGATTGGAGAGCTATATTCACTCTGGGGATTGCTATAATCACAACGATTGCTCTTGTAAGAGGAGCCTGCTTTGCTCTCTGGACTAGGAGAGGTCTACCTACTGGAAGTTGGATCCTGGACTTGGGTCCAGAGTGGGTGGAGGACAGTGTGACCCCAACCAAGCTGAGGCAGTTTGTGGGGTTCACGGTAGTTATGGTGTCCGGTGCTGTACTTATGGTACTCAAGGATTACTAGGAAGCAGTGATTGACCGAGGTACCCGGTCGGGGTGCCAGGCGGTCCGTTCAACCTCCATCACATAACTGTTATAAGTTTGATAAAACAAGCTTTATTCGATATGGTTCTATATAGAAATGCAAACCAGAAAATGCAAATAGTGGTAATATTTATGTAGGGAGAAGCGGCTAGGGAATACTGAAAAATCAGGTAATAGAATGCCTTCAATGAAAAAATCCAAATAAATTGAAGAAAAACTTGCCAAATCGCCACTTTAGATATAGATAGTATAAAGGAAGAGAGGAAAATTAACAATAATGATGCCAGTAAAAGACTGACAACAAAATGATCAAACTATTCAAAGCCTCTCTCCCCGTTAAACTTACTAGATAGACATAGGAGGATAGAAACAGAGTAAAAATAAATAGGTAATTAGAGTAACATGCTAACCATTACTGATACAAAGTGAAGTGCCCAGTGAGAAACACCCATAGCTAAAATGCCCATTTTAAAATTAAAAAGGTTCTGAAAAAAAAGCTTCTACTATTAACTGGCTATCTGCTGCTCAAGCCAACATCCCTGCTGCTGCAGTTTGACTGATAGCATCAGGATCAGGCAAGTTATGATGAGCAGCAGTTGGTCAGATAACAAAAGAAGTCTGCTTCAACATGGCAAGTTTATTTAAAAAAAAAACAAAAAAACACAAGTTTGTTACATTCTATCAATACTCATTTCATTGCTTTGTTCCCTATTCATGTTTCTCTACAGAACATGTTGCCTAGCCCTTTCACCATTTTTTTTTTATCCAAGTCTACGGTCTAAAAAGAAAGCATTTTTTAACATTAGTTTTCATATAAAATAAATTATATGAAGGCTTAAATGATTCTAACAAGTGTACTTCTAAATACATTCTACTAGTTTAAAAGGTTAATTGAATTTACCGGTCACTCGGATCCCAGTTAAAGAGTGCTGTCAGATCTCTGTTGTCTGTTAATGTTTTCCATGGAATGTCATCTTCCTCTGGACTTAGACTCATAGATTTTATAAGGTCTTCTAGACTACTGGAACTACAAATGGGGGAGAGAAGTACATGACAACCATAAAGTGAGCAGGGAATAGGCTTGTAAAGTGCAGCATGGCCATTTCTGTCTAAATGTAGCATCTTTATTTGAAATGGTTTTGCAATTGATGTTTAATCTCAAAATTAGAGTTTTATATCTTGCCTTAATTTTCCAAAACTAGCTGTACAACACCACAAAACCAACAAGCTTTTCCCCCTTAGTAATCCTGAAGATAGTAAATGACTTGTCTCAGACAGATAGATGCTGGGGTGACAACTCTAAATTATTGTACAAGTCCAAACAGGTCTTCAGTAAATCAGCAATAGCAGTCTATTAAACACTGTGGGTAATGAAGAATACTTAAATGAATTTCAAAACCTTGGTCTCAAAATTTGGAATTGGAGAAGTCTTCAAACTCATCTATTTTACAATCCATTTCAGTTCATTGTTCAGTGAATAACCTCCCCGACGTTTAAAATAAAAATTACCAAGTAAATGCTCTTGATGAAACAAGGGAATACTTACATATCCGCCTCAAGTAATAGGTCCAGCAGCATTCGCTCTGTTCGAACTTGTGCAAAATGTAGGGAATTGTTCAACCGATTTCTAAATTCAATGAATTCTGGAATTTTCTCAAAAGCTCCATATTTGTAAGCTTGTATTATATATTCTGAGGTCTGTTATAGAGAGAAAACAGGGGAAGGGGGGGGAGGAGAAATCACTTTGATAAATTTCCTTTTAATGAGACTTGAGGATAACTACACCACATTGGATGCAATGTTAATACTTCAGAGCAATACTGTTTAGCTACAGATTATAATTATTTCCTTTTTAAATACATGCAGGTATACAAGTAGATGTACAAAGAATTTAAGAAGTGTCAAATTTCAAAATGGTCTGACTCACCCAACCCAAAATAAAATGCACAGGGGCAGATATTGCAAATGACAATAGGAAACGCACACAGAGTAAAGTTTTATAAAAACTTTATTCCAAATGTTAGAGGTGATTGGTGGTTTGGGAACTGTAGTCAGGAGTCCAATATACATATATAGGGTTATTAAGGTGAGAATTGTTGCGAATGCAATGTGAAGGTCAAGTTTTAGACCTAAAATTAACCCAGCTTGAATATATTTTTCAACTCTGCTGTTTTGGACTTGAACTTGAGCTTAGAATTCCAACAACTCACATTTTAGTAAATAACCTTAACATTGTTTCACAAATTACTTTTGAAATTCCCCAAAAAGTCTAATAATCTGAATAGCTATGTATAATCCAGTAATGATACAGGTGGCAGTTTGGTTCAATGGAATTAAAGGGACACTCTGGGCACCTTAACTTCATCAGCACATCATTGCTCTGCCCCTGAACTTCCACTGCATGTCAGAGCCTTCAATCAGGAAGCCTTGGACCAGGAGTCGTGTGATGGAGAGGTAAAGATGGGATCAGAGCGTCATTTGATGCTATCAGCAGCGCTCTGTCCGACTACTTTTAGGACACGAGCACGCACAGTGTGCTCGTGCCTTTCATATTGAAAAAAAATAAAATAAACTCCCAGCCTGGAGTTATACTGTGCACTAGTATAACATGTGGTTATCATTTTTGTACGAGTGAATCTTTTGAACAATTTAATTTAAAAATCTTACCCAATACAAGCAAACCATGTAGCGTAACATATAGCACAATTACTAACTGCAATTGGCTTTTTTTTTTATTTATTTTTTAAATAAATGAAAAAAAGGTTATACATAAATGATATACTTATTTTTCCTTATGTAGAACCTGCAAGTTCACAACAGTTGAGAAAGGGCGGAGCTTTACACAAGCCTTATTTATCTCTAGGAAGGACAGTGGAGGAGATTTCTGATGGCCGCCACCTTGGAAATGCTAAGATAGCAGCCCCGGGAATGGAGAACCAGTGGGACTAGCACAGGTCCCAAGGCCACTAAATGTTATTTAATGGCAGAGGTTTAAGTGACTGAGTGTAGAATATTGCATATTCTATGTTTCTATTGATTATATATATATATATATATATATATATGGATGTGTGGATTGACATAAGTAACAGATGGTATAAGTCACAAGGCTTTCTTGGTCCGAGAGCTCTGGAATGTGGATTTGGGGGTCTTGTCCATATATGGCAAGAGTTATAGTCTGACGTCATTATGGCACTTCTATATAGTAACTGAACAAAGAGACACAAGGTCTCTTGGCTCTGGGCTCTCTCTCGATGTAAGGATGTAAAGAAGTCCAGCAATTACCATCTGCTGTTGAATGTCAATTATCCTGTAACATCCTTTGTTGTTTTATTATGTATCTGTAACTAAGAATAAACCGTAAGTCAGATTGCGTATTTGTACTTTTCAATAATAGACAGATTATTGTGGCGAGCATTTGGCCCAAGACTATATATACAAAAGAGATAGAGATATCGACAGCGAGATAGCGACAGATAGAGATTGATATATATATATATATATATATATATATATATATATATATATCAATCAAGTAAAGACAAGAAGAAATTAAGAAGATTTAACAGTGACGGTTCCAACCAGATTTTACACTGAGTAAACATCAAGTAGAACAGCCCCGAGAGGGGTTCGAGCTGTATGCAAATGACTAAAGGACTTCAGATACTCACATCTTTCTGGTTTGAATGGAAAAAGCGCAGAGTAGCATTGCAGGCTTGTGATGCAGCAAGAAACTGTCCCAAAGGTCCTGCAAAACGGGTCAACAGGAAACTGCAAGACGGAACACACAAACGTTTCAAAATTACAAGTTTTAAATAAGCCAGTTTCAAACAAAATTTTAATCTAAACTAGCTTACATATAGCTATATATTATCAGAGTACAAATGACAGGGAGAGGAGGAAGGGAGCACTAGTGGCAGATTTTACCCAAGTAGAAGTTATAGGTTCTTAATAAATAGATGTTCACATCCCAATATGAAAATAACCCTGCCAAAACATGGGCCATTTGAAATAAAAAAAAAAAAAATAAAAAAAAAAAACACCAAAAAAAAAAAACACAAAACCAGATAAGTGAGGTTTCTTACTGGCATTTCTAATTTCAAACCGGTGAATGAATGTTTACTATAGCCAGTGCTTTGACTCCAGGAGGAGTGATGTCTTCTGAAACAAAAGACATGCTGACGCTATACTATATACCCCATACTTCACACACTAGTTTGCATAAAAATAAAAAAAATAAAGAGTCAGGACACACACTATCCTTTTACACATTAAGATGCTGAGAAACACTTTAGTTAAATTTATGTGTCCTACATAGGGCTCAGACCAGAGGTGGGGAAAAATGACTCAGTATGGTGTACTAACTCTTAAAATGTGAGATCAACTTGGACGACCACATCATACCTGTACCATTTTCTAGTAGTCTATGCCAACTCAAGACCATCTGAGAAACCTCCATAAAGTAATACACAATTTAATCAAATGCATTCATTTGCCTTGCTTTATATGAGAAGATTCTCCCAGACAAAGATTACGGTTTTCAAAACATACAATTTTTGGGATCTGACATTTCCTAGGGAATGTTACGCTATCACGTGCAGAGAGATCAGTTTTATAAATAAAGTCATCTGCCCAAATCCAATGTTTAATATTAACCGAACTTAAACCAGAAGTAAACCTGTATGGAAAATAATCATATGACGCAGATGCCTATAAAGCATGTTTAAATACTGTTTTATATATGATGCATGCATGGTCTGAAACACGATATCTAACTCACCCAATGGTGTCATACTGAATGTGTTTAGCATCCAGGCTGGCAAAGAGGTCCATTGCAGGTTCAAAAGAGCCAAGTGCACAGTAAATACGGACCAGTAGCAGCTTAATCTGGGCATGTGATGGGCTGTTACTTAAGCCTTCTTCTAAAAGAGTAAGGCAATGCCATACAGCCCACTCCTCACCTGTTAAAAATAAGACCAAAAAGAGAGCGTGAGCATTAATTTCCAGCATGAACCCATCAAGTGTGCAGTGTTTATATAAGAGACACTTGGATAGCACGAAAATATATAATGCAATATAAATGTCACACAATATGCCACCAGAATGTAAACAGGAATGTATGTAAGCATATTTCACACACGTTGTAGTCTGCCATTGCAAAATAAGCAGTATTTGGAATTCTAAAACTGGATTCAGTGTTTTAGAATATGGCTGCAAGTGATGCCACATAAGTGAATTCACTGCTGCTAGCTCTCAAGCTAGCTGCAATCACAGCAGCAAACTAAATATTATCGGAATGTCAATGACATTAGCTTCTTTACAGTGCAGGAGATAATGTGGTAAATGGCAGGGTGCCTGCCCAATACACAGGTCAATGACCTTTGATGACTAGAAGGACATAGCATGGATCCTTTGCAAAGAAGAGAAGCTCCTATTTATTAGTTTCTCACAGATTACTCAAACACTAACTGCACACCAAATGGAAATGCCACTTTAAAAGGTTTAGGATCCCAAAAAGGTGTTTTGAAAAATGATGCAGAACATACAAATACCTCTCTCTTAAAAGAAAGTTTTTTTGTGAAGATGTACTGCCCTAAAATAATATCCATCTCCAGCACACACACATTTTTGTTTTAATTCAGCTAGTCATTTGCCCAAATGAGAAAAAAAAAATATATTCATAAAAATCCAGTTTTGAATAGGTTAAAAAGAGTTCAATGTAGAACAAAAAGTAGACCACATTCTAGTGCCCAAAAGTGCACAGGGAAGATAGACCGATATTCAGCATTTTCACGGCTTTCTCTCAAGGTTACAAATCAATCACAAAACAGCAACTTAAAAAGGATAGGAAGGGTACAGGGAAGCAGAGCATTCTGGGTGTCCTCAAACTTGTATGGTGGTGAGCCAGTATGGAATATCTTACATAGAGACTCACCACCATATGACTGAGGAAACCCAGAAAGCGCTGCTTTCCTGTACCATTTCTGACATATACCTAGTTACTGCCAGATAGAGACTCTGTTTTGGGAAGTACCAGCTGCCATACCCAGATCTAACTAGCACTAGGAACCTGACCATCACACAAACTTGAAAAGGATGCTTAAAATGTCATGTTCTATACTTGCCATTAAGCCAGAGATCTAACAGCATATGAGCTCCTATTAAACAGTAGTAATCAGAGACCTGCAGTTCTGTTTTCAAGCTGCCCGCTCCTATTAAAGAAAAAAAAAAAAATTAAAGTGTGTTAAACACAAAAATAAAATAAATACAAGCAGAACTGTTATATACTAGCATACTATGCTACTGGATTACAGAAATGGAGACTTATCCATCTATTTCCAGGCACCTGTTGGTTTCCAACAGGAGATGGAATACTTTCCCATCCAAGCAGTACCAAGACAAGTGGTTTCAATGATTCCGTTGGAAGCTCACAGCAGTACTGACCACACCAGTGTGCTGGTTAATGAACAGCTTTGCCATTTTACACATAGAACAGAGCACTGGTTATATATTTATTACTGGCATTTATAAAGTGCCAACATATTTCGCAGCGCTGTACAATTGAGAAAAACACAATAAGAACAGACCAATACAAAGGGTAGAGGACCTTGCCCGTGAGCTTACAATCTAAAGGTTAAAATGGGGAGAGGAGGCAAGAAGTAGCAGAGGAATTTGTATGCAATGGCTGAGAGAGTTAATGCTTTAACTGCAGCAGTTGATAAAATGTGAAGGGAATGAGAAGGTGATTGACTGTGGTTCCAAATAGCTGGAAGAGCATGTTAGATAGTTAGAAGGAACCAGGGTGGGCGGGAGTTGGGGAGGAGGGTAGAGCCAAGTAAAATTAAAGGCCCTTGTTGCAACGTTGATGTAGATTTGGGCCTAAGGAAGATAGATAAAACAGTTACTGAAAATAAATTTACACCTGGGAGTGGCAAGCGCGGGGTGAGGGGAGGAGGGATGAAGCAGACTAACCATTTGTTGTAAACAAATATTTGCCAAACAAAATTCTATCAACCATATTATTAACTACTAGTAAACTATATGTAACAATGGTAGCATTGTTATGGTAACAAAATGAAAGAGCTCCTGGCTGGTAGAGCTACATTACACAAATACTGAAATAATTTTCACTTGCATCTTCCTCCCCCCCCCCTTCTATTTGTCCAAGAATGTTCCTACACCCTTGATTTTTGGGTAGAAAACTAGCTCAAGTAAGTATGAGCCTTGAGTTAAGTTCCGTGATCAGAGCACTCACCAAATGAGAGTCCATGTCTATATCGTGCAGTCATCTCCCGAACTGCCTCCTGCTTTTGAGGTTTGTCCATTTTATGGTAAATTCCAAGCAGCCTGCTAATTTGTATTACACACAAATGTCGCTGTAGGGCCTTTGTGTCTTCAGGTAATGCTAAATCCCCATTGGCTGGAGTAGCAAGCGGTAAAGACCCCAACAATCTGTTTATAAACTGCAGAGTAAACAGACAGGAGAACAATAAGACTTCACAGCTCCCACAATACAGCAGTCATGCTTAACAATATGGTTATAGTCTATCAAGTTCAGTCCTCAGAAGTCAATTTTTTTTATTTTTTTTTAATTCAGCTCATTTGTACTTACAGTTGCAAGAAAAAGTATGTGAACCCTTTGGAATGATATGGATTTCTGCACAAATTGGTCATAAAATGTGATCTGATCATCATCTAAGTCACAACAATAGACAATTACAGTCTGCTTAAACTAATAACACACAAAGAATGAAATGTTGCCATGTTTTTATTGAACACACCATGTAAACATTCACAGTGCAGGTGGAAAAAGTATGTGAACCCTTGGATTTAATAACTGGTTGAACCTCCTTTGGCAGCAATAACTTCAACCAAACGTTTCCTGTAGTTGCAGATCAGACGTGCACAACGGTCAGGAGTAATTCTTGACCATTCCTCTTTACAGAACTGTTTCAGTTCAGCAATATTCTTGGGATGTCTGGTGTGAATCGCTTTCTTGAGGTCATGCCACAGCATCTCAATCGGGTTGAGGCCAGGACACTGACTGGGCCACTTCAGAAGGTGTATTTTCTTCTGTTTAAAGGACCACTATAGTGCCAGGAAAACATACTAGTTTTCCTGGCACTATAGTGCCCTGACGGTGCCCCCACCCGCCGGGTTCTGGGGAGAGGAAGGGATTAAACACTCACCTTTCTCCAGCGCTGGGCGGGGAGCTCTCCTCCGCCTCTTCGGCTGAATGCGCATGTGCGTGCGGCAGGAGCTGTGCGCGCAGCCAGTCTCATAGGAAAGCATTCATTTTCACAGTGAGAAGCATACAAAACGCCTCTAGCGGCTGTCAATGAGACAGCCACTAGAAGCTTTAGAGGCTGGATTAACCCATTTATAAACATAGCAGTTTCTCTGAAACTGCTATGTTTATTTTTTTTAAAAAAATGGGTTAACCCTAGCTGGACCAGGCACCCAGACCACTTCAGAGTGGTCCTTTAATGTAGTTCTGGTAAGTATAATAGCTCCCTTCAGGCATTTTCATGTAAACACTGCCTTTTCAGAGAAAAGGCAGTGCTTACATTGCCCCTAAGGACACCTCCAAGTGGCCACTCCTTAAATGGCCACTGGAGGGGCTTCCTGGCTCAGGGCTGCACAGTAAGCTGACCTGCCGTTCAGCGTCCCCCCGCTCTGCATGGGGACGCTGAATTTTCCTCAGAAATGCATAATGGTCAAAAACAGCTTTGGCCCTGTCCTCTTACTGATTTTAGCCAATCCAATGCTTTCCTCATGGGAAAGCATTGGATTTGCTAAAAAGCAGCACTTTTAATGACGTCACCAGGGGGCGGGGCCAGCGCACGCAGACCTGCGAAGCTACCTAACTGGTGGGTTTTCACTATAGGCTCAGGAATACATTTGTGTTCCTGACCCTATAGTGATCCTTTAAGACCGATTCAGGAAGGATGATTCCCACTCATTCTGCATCAAATAAAAGAATGCTTTACGTTATGTTTCCAGATTTAATTATGTCCTTGCATAAAACGTCCTATGAAAGCTTGCACAGAAACCTGCATGAACAAGTCATACAAGAAAGTATAGTAGGCATTTAAAAGAAGACCAAATCAAAGCCATCAAGGCATTTTAGGTTACACCATGTAGATAAGAATGCATCCCTGAAAATAGTATAAGAATGCACTGACTGACAACAGCAGCTGAAGTGAAACACAAGATAATCACAAATCACGTAAATGGATAGGACAAGCAGATTGAAAAAAATTCCTGTGAGATCACACTGGCACAAAATAACAAAATGAGCGATCAAACATCAATTTAAACTGCCACATCATAAAATTGTTGTAAAGGACACGCATGTCTTTTTAAAGCATAAAAGTTATGTGTAGACAATGTTTAGTTTGTTACATAAATGCACATGGCCAAACAGCCTTCCCTTTTAAGACAAATGTGAGTAATTCAAATGTCATGGGATTTAAGTCAGACAGCAACTAAGGGTGGCATAAAAAGACTTAATGAAAGCAAGTTGGGGAGTACAAGAAAAGAAAGGGGCGCAAGCAGTAGCCCTGTATGCAGGCCGTCAAAAGCTTGTCGCATTTGTACAGAAAGCAAACAGTCTCAGAAAAGAGATCTTCCTTAGAAACTTCATTTTCAGTTTTAAAGTGTTGAGATCAGGATGTCATTCTCAATGTAACCCTATTGCAATCTCGAGCCGTTGTATTGTTTTTATTAGAAAGAAAACTTCCAGCATTTCAGAGCCATAAATGTGAAGGTTAATAAGGTTAAACTATCTTTAAGACTAATAAAACAAGGACCATTAGAAACAAGTGATAACATCCAGACCACAAGTCATATTTATAGAAGTCATTTGATGAGATTATTATAAATTCAGGTTGTATATACGTACAGTTGTATGTTGGCTGGGAGAGAGGAGGTCTGTGAAGAGCTTGAGGTCAGTGAAACAACATGGCTTGTCTCCAAACTTAATAAAGTACTGGAACATCAACTCTTCTGGATCTCCTGCAGAGAAAACCTGTTTCAGTGAACTGGACTCAACTTCAGAATGCTCTAACTATACACCTCCCACACATCTAAATAAATATGCAATGCTACATTAAAAATTTCTAGCTACCCGTATATACACTCAAGTATAAGTCGACCCGAATATAAGTCGAGACCCCTAATTTTACCCCACAAAACTGGGAAAAACTTATTGACTCGAGTATAAGACTAGGGTGGGAAATGCAGCAGCTACTGGTAAATTTGTAAATAAAATTAGATCCACAAAAAATGATATTAATGGTTTATTTACAGTGTGAGTATATAATGAATGCAGAGTGTGTGTGTGATGCAGAGCCTTGGTGGTGGTGGTGGTGATGGTGGTGGTGGTGGGGGGGGCATTTTTATATTAATATTTTTTTTTATTGTAATTTTTTTTTTTTTATTATTTAATTTTATTTTTATCCTCCCTCCCTGTTTGTTAGCTGGCCAGGGAGGGGGGCTCGCATTCCCTGGTGGTCCAGTGGCATTGGTTGTGTAGGAGGGGGGCTGGCAGAGAGCTGTAACTTACCTTTCCTGCAGCTCCCTTCTCCTCCTGTCCGGTCAGCTCCCCTGTAAGTCTTGCGGTGTGAGTGCCGCGCGGAGAGTTGCCACGGTAACCTGTGGCAACCCTCTGACACCGCGGCTCTCGCGAGACTTACACTGGAGCTGACCAGCACGGAGGAGAAGGGAGCTGACAGGAGCTGCAGGAATGGTAAGTTACAGCTCGCTGCCAGCCCCCAACAGGACCGCCAGGCAATGTAAGTTGCCATAATACAGACATTGACTCGAGTATAAGCCGAGTTGGGGTTTTTCAGCACAAAAAAAAAATGTGCTGAAAAACTCGTCTTATACTCAAGTATATACGGTATATCTTCTTAAATGCATTCTTACAGCTTAGATACCTGGGCTGCCCTTTTAAAAATTATCAAGGCTGTCAAGTCTGCACAGAGTTGAGAAAAGTGGGTTTATATTGCTCAAGTCATTTTGAGAGTCTGAATCGAATATCAATTTCCTAAGTTGGTGAAAAATGTTATTACATTTTCTACAACTGCCAAGAAAATATTTCGGCACGTTGCTTTAGATTTCACAAAAGCAAACATAGTAGACTTGTAAGGGGGTATATTAAAAAGAAAAATACTTAACATTTTCTGTTGGCCTTAAATCATATCTATGTCAGGTTAGGTGGATTGGGTCCAGTAATTCTACATGTCTAGGAAAATGCTGACTGAACAAGATACCTAATTGGGAGTTCCATCAAGTTACCTAGTTTATACTCATCATTACATCCTCTCTGTCTCAAGCGGCGAATAAGCTCGAGCTTAGCTAGATGTGGTCCCCGGAGCGATCGTGAGATCTTTGCTTCTGTTTCTATTTGTTCTTCTACAAAACTGACAGCCTGTTCTATTGTGTAGTCAAGGTCTCCTTCCAGTGACCTGCAAAAGAAACATACGCTGTGCAAAGAGGGGCTTTCTTGGAAGTTCTGTATTTTGCCTGCAATCTGCAAACTACAATTAACATTGCAAACACACACCACTGAAAGAAACCTCCAAGAAAACACAAATTTAAGAAGTGTCAATCTATATACAGACTGATTCGCATATACATTAAGACAGGGCTTAACATTTAAAATCCTCTGCTACTAACCAGGCCTTTAAAGTTACTTGCCATAGAAAGCCCGGCACACGCATTAGTCTTGAATTTCTACTTGCCAATGGCTAGTGGAAATTCTGAGCCCTGCATTAAAGGAACACTCAAAATACCATAAGTATGACCTGCTGTAGTGGTTATGATGCCAGGGGTGCCCTGGTGTTATCCAACGATAAAAAGTCAAGAGATTTTTCAGAATGGTTTGACAACTTACTTGGGTCACCCTGGGCACCCATACCACATCTGCTGCATCCGGGTTTTCCCAGCAGGAGAAGCCAAAAGTCTCTGTAGTGCAAAGCATGTCCTTACTTTGTTCTAAAGAGCAATCCTGCTTCTCTTGCTTGAGAAGACCAAATACGGCTCTGGTAGAACCCGGTACATTGTCAAGCAGTTTTAGCTTGGCTTTACGTCTTTGATAAAGAAAGGGTCAATGCACCCCTGGCACCATAACCACTACTAATGGTTTAGTGTCCCATTAATATCACAAATTACACAAGATTTATTTTACAGATATCAACTACCCATAGATAGGCATGCTTATGAGTGCACAAATGTTCCGTACCACGTTTTTGACTTACATCTGCCCTTCTGATGGGGGAGTCCACCCATCTTCAATGAGGTAAAAGATGGAGTCAAAGTAGGAAAGGTAGAATTGCCAGTCGTCTAAGCTGTAGCAGAGAGGAAGAAATTAAGCAGGTGAATTGTTACAATATAAAGATTATAAATACTTTAAACAAAAACCAGTAAAACCGAATCCTGCACAACAGATAAGAGAGACTATAAATAGCATTACAAACACACACACACACACACACACACTTAACCCCTTAAGGACCAAACTTCTGGAATGAAAGGGAAACATGACATGTCATGTGTCCTTAAGGGGTTAATTAAATAGCTTTTGACACTTAAGACATTTCTTGTATGTCTATTTCTGCTACATGATTAAGTTCTAACATTTCAAAAATATAAAAATCCATGAGAGAATTGTACAATTTTAAATAACAAATTTTTAAGTTGCTTCAAATGCAAGACTACGAGCACCCAAAGCTCCACGATTAACATGGGAATTTAAGGGACTGGTGTGCCTGAAAGTCCCATAGAGGGAAGGCCAATCACGTTTAAAACTTTTGTTGTAGGTTGACTATTATGACAAATCAGCATGTGCTCATTATATCAAAGAAATGGTGCATGGAGAGATACTGACAATCATGTGCACATGACCGCTAAAATGCATTTACTTAACATCTACAAACGTTTTTTTTAAGAGAGAATATTGATGTACACATAATACATAGGTTTCATACAGATCAGTTACTTTGATTCCAAGTCAAAGTCCCTGTCAATTGTCCCAACACTGGTTTACCTCCATGGTGAAGCAGCCCTTACGGATTACTTAGCGTAGTAGTCACGGTTTATTTAAATGTAAAAAATACATGCTGCTTTTTTACACAATAACTCACTTTTCTAAAAGAAGCTTTTTGGAGAGCGCATTGCATTCAGGCCACTTTTTTAACTTCTTGTACATCGCCATACATTTGTTTTCCCGACTTTGCAGTTCACTTGTTAATTTCTCTGGGTAGCAAGAAAAACAAATAAATTAAAATAAAGACAATATAAAATCAAATGTAATGGAGGGGGTTTATACCCATCAAGTAGACATCAGGGGCAGGGCAAGTTTCCCAAAGTATCATACCTCCTAAGTTGCCTCGGACAACCTCCAAGGCCTCTGAATGTTTACCCAAACGCTCCAGAATCATGTAGTACAGTTCAACCTGAAGAAGATAGAAACCAGAAATGAAGACTATGAAACAAGGATTGCTTAGCAAGAATACTGGCTAGTTTAGGAACTCATTTAATGGGATTGCATTAAAGTATTTTTAGCATGGCAGGATAAACTAAGCATTCATTGAAAAAAAAATAGTTATCATGCTGAATTACAGTGTTTACTGTGACTAGAAAGAACCCTTAGCGCTGGTATTTCCAAAGAGGTTCTCATGAACCTCCAATAGTTGACTACTATCAATTTTGTTCCACTGTGAACACCAATACAACCCATTGAGGATGCAAGGACTAGTTTGTGTACTGCCTTAAGGTAACATGTTTGTACATCATATGTATTGGTCTATTAAACACCATTGCAACTCAAGTTCCATCATGTCATGTACATTTAAACGTTACTATTATTTTCACATAGTAGCCAGTTTCTCCTCGCCTCCATCATCATATATGCAGAACAATTCATTTTGTAATTAAAGGGATCCTTTAGTTCCAGGAAAACAAACCCGTTTTCCTGGCACTATAGGCTCTTGGAAATCCCCCCTACAGCCACTTACCTTAATCCAGCGCCGGTGACCTCTCCTTCTCCGCCAACTCCCGAATGGAGCAGAATGCGCATGTGCAGCCAGAGGCTGGATTAACCCGGCAGTGTAAACATAGCAACACTGCTATGTTTTCAGCTGCAGAGTTAAACCTAGGGGGACCTGGCACCCAGACCACTTAATTGAGCTGAAGTGGTCTGGGTGCCTATAGTGGTCCTTTAATGCTGTCAAAATACATCTAGACCAAGACAGTCTTTTCAGACAAGCCAGAGGAACCAGCTAGTGTCATAGAGTGAATAATAGTTGCCATGTAAAACAACCATGAAAGCATACAGAATTTAATCAACCCCGGCTTGCGATAACTATATTAACGGCTTTCTGTGTTCAAGAGTTTTTACCTCGGCTTCAGCTTCCATCTTGTCTTCTTTCACCATTTTCTCCACCATTCTTTCAGCCAATGGCAAGAACATAGTTTTCGAGAGGTTTTCATCTTGTGCCGATATAGACTTTAGAGTTTAAAGTAAAAACACAGATTTAAAAAAAAACAAACAAAAAAAACACACAAAAAAAACAAAACACAAAAACCACGAAATACTGGGCAATAACTACACAAACCAATAACCACTTATTCACAATAGAACATTTGTCTTCTCAGCAGAAGAATACAGCTCACCTGCATTATCAAGCTCATGACAGACCAGAAGTAGTAAGGATTCTTGGGTACAATTTTATAAAGTGCCATCCCAGCCTGCAACACAACATATGGCAAAGGTTAGTTACATAAAGAGATGGGATCAGAGAAGAAAAATAAATAAATTATATTAACAAGCATTGCCTCGTATTTAAAACCATTTTTTTTTTATAACTAATTGAAAGAGCAGTCAAGAAGTACTTAATCCACATCTCAAAAACCAATAGAAAACTAGCTGTTGTCACTTTCTCTGTAAAGGGATTCTACGAATACTTTAAGAGTAAAGGAACACTATTGGGTCAGGATTCCAAATGTGTATTCCTGATCCTACAGTGTTTAAAAAGCTCCCTAATGCCCACTTAAATAACTAGAAAACAACTTATTTCCAGTGCCATATGGGTCTGCTGGCGCTGGCTCTGTGTTTGTGACTAAGTTGCTACTAAAAAAGACTGGACATACCCTGTTTGCAATACCTTGGGTTGCCTACTATTGCAAATGGTATGCCATCATAGGGGTAATTTTCATTCTTGGGCTACCATAGGGTCTCAAAGGCAACGTAACCAATCTGGCGAATTTTAATGTGAAAAAAATGAAACGCAAGCCTTATATTTGACGCTGTAACTTTTGAAAACACCATAAACCTGTACATGAGGGGTACTGTTGTACTCGGGAGACTTCGCTGAACACAAATATTTGTGTTTCAAAACAGTAAAAAGTATCACAGCAATAATATTGTCCGTGTAATGCTGTTTGTGCGTAAAAAATGCAAAAAACGTCACTTTTACTGGCGATATCATCGTCAATGTAACGACCATGAGTTACCTATGGTCGTTACATTGACGATATTTTCTTTGTATGGAAAGGAGAAGAAAAAGATCTTATTGAATTTTTTAATTTTTTAAATGAGAATACCTGGGGTATAACGCTCAGTAGCAATTGGAGCAAGACAGAAATAATTTTTTTAGATTTATTGATATACATTGAAGAAAACAAGATTAAAACTAGAAACAATTTTAAGACGGTAGAAGCTAATAGCTACATAGAGAGAGAAAGTTGCCACTACTCTCCGTGGCTTGAGAATGCCCCCAGAGGACAGTTTTTACGTATTAGGCGTAATTGTACGGATCTGTGTTTGAGACCCAATCTATTAAAATTAAAGAAGATTTTATAGAGAAAGGATACGAAGAGTTAAAATTAGAAATGGCCAGGAAAGAAGTAAGGATGATAGAAAGAGAGAAACTTTTGAAATATAAGGATAAAAGGGAAAATACATCTATGGAACTCCCTTTTATATGTAACTTTAGCACAGATAACATAAAAGTGAGAAAAATAATCTCTAAGTTCTGGCCAATTTTATTACAAGATCCAGGTGTAAAACCTTTTCTTCCAGAAAGACCTAAATTTATACACAGAGGGGTTGACAATTTACGCCATTCTCTGACTTCAAGCTTTTTAAAGGAAAAGAAAAGTACGAATACTTTTTTAAATTCGGATAAGGGATTTTTTGGGTGTGGCCAATGCTTAGCGTGCAAAAAGTCTAATAATAAAAAAAGGCATATAAAGCTTTTTAGAGATAAAGATGGTAAAGAATATCAAATTAAAGATTTTCTGAGTTGCCACTCAAAAAACCTCATTTACTTAATGATTTGCCCTTGTGGTCTATGCTATATAGGGAAAACCACCAGACCCCTACATATCAGAATTGAAGAACATAGTCGTAACATTTTAAAAGGTTTTGAAAAACATAGCGTCTCTTTACACTACAAAATTGCACATAAATATGACATGAAAGACACTACGTTTTTAGGAATTATAAAAGTCAAAAAGGATTGGAGGGGAGGCAACTTTGACAGCAAAATGAGTAAAATTGAGATGGAGTGAATCTTTAAATTAAATACTTTAATCCCGAATGGTCTAAATGCAGACTTCGAGATGTGCCATTTTTTTAAATAAATGCAAAATTATTTTATGGTTGCACTTATACCTCCCTTTATTGAATTATGACCTTCTTCCCCCCCCCTTTTTTTTCCCCTCACTTTCTTATTACTATGTGAGCATTGACTGGACTATGTTTCAACTTTTACTATATATTATATTAAGATAATATCTGGAATTAGACATTTATAAGGCTTTTAAATGTTGTATAACAATTGATTCATTTATTAATATTTATTATCTCTTATGAATTCATCTTTTTAATAATGACATAAGATCACAATATGCCTGTAAAATGGTCATCTTGTATTAACACACTTATATAAGAAATAGGAATAGAAGGAAAAAAAACTATAGAATGGAATTTAATTATTAAGGGTTTGAATGTACAAATATAAGGCTTGTATATGTTGGATAAAGAAAGCTTGCCAATTCCACATATATGTTAAACTCATTTAAACTTATATTTCCCCTCAAAAACCGCCGACCCGGAAATCCTGGAGAAATAAATGGTGAACCGCGTGGTGGAACGCATAGTGAACCGCATGGTGGAACGCATGGAAGTGACGTATCGGCGAAACCGGAAATGACGCGACGGAACAGAAAACCCGGAAATAAACAGAAAAAAGGCTTGAAACGCAGGGCGTCACCATTTCTATGGTGATTGCCCGCGAAAATACAAGCCTGGACACTAATTATCTCACCCCTGAGAGGGGTACATATAGCAGGGAGGATCCATGGGAAGTTTGAATCACCACATCCAGCTGAGGAAGCCTGTAAGGCGAAACGCGTACTGGAGAGACTGTGAGACTTTGGATTTTATGCCAATTTGATATTGTTTAAAATATATATATATATATATATACATATATATATATATATATATATATATATATATATATATATATTTTTTTTTTTATACAATTACCGTTACAATAAAATTACTAATCTTTTATATTATATATTGGCATTTCCCTGCTACTTTTTATTCATTTTTTAAAAGAAGGTGTGTAGTCCTTAACTACACAAGTGTGTGGATTAGAGCCGATCTGGATGGCTCTAATTTTGTGAGTATTACATTTTATATTTATCTCACATTGAAAATTATTACGATACTGCACCATATACGGTTTCTACTTCTATAGGAAATCAAGGAGATCTATACACAAGAAGGGTGAGGGTCGCCTTTACGGACCCCAAGAGCGCAGATATTGAGCTATTTCATATTAGCTCCCAAAATTGTGAGTGGGAAATTTTCCCTTCCTAATTCTCTATAACGGACTTTATTATACAGTTTACACTATGTTTGGTTTGTCTGTTTTTTATGTCTTGTAGAATTTATACTCTTATGTAAATATAAAGACAAAGAATATTCAAGGTAGTATTGGTATATACCAAGTTTTCTATCACTACCCTTCTATTTGAATATAGCGCTACACCACAAGAGTTTTTGGGTTCCTATTCTTGTAAGATAAGAACTTGGTGTGATAGCAGCTTCTTGAGTTATTTGGAACACAGTTCACTGGTTGGGGAATATTTAGCGCTGTACACCCCCTTTCTTTTACCTATATTTACATACCTGCTGCATTTTCTTGTATTCACCCACTCTGGCATACGCCATGAAGAGATGAGAATGATATTCCTCACTATTGGGTACTTTCTTCACAGCCGCTTCATATAGTTTAGTTACCAACTCCGCTAGAAAAGAACAAAATTAAATTAAAATAAAAAAGTAAATACTAAACAGAAAGGGGAAAACACCAAATAAAATGCCATAGGAGTGAGTGGTAGTCTACTTTATGGACAAAATTCCCAACATTTTCAAATGACCAAGACCAAGTTTTAGATTGAATCCGGACCCATTTCAAGAGCTTCTAATATCCATTTAAGTCAAGATGCTATAAAATAAAAGTATTTTCACAAACTAAATAGGTTTATTATGGCATAAATTTGCATTATTGCAAGTTTTTTGTTTTGCTGTAAAGCCCTAGTCCCTAGAAAAAGGGGTAACGAAGAGGAACAGAAAGACACTGGAGCTACACAGGGACACTTTGAAGGTGTGATATGCAGAATGGACCAGAACATGCACGCAGTCTGTAGCATGCAGTATATGCTTACGTCTGTGCATTTCCCGATATAGGATGGTAAGTGCTTGCAAGGAGTTATCATCAGTAGGCTCCAAGGCTGCTACCTCCTGTGCAAGTACAAATGCTTCCTCCTGTCTCCCAGTCCTCTGCAATCCAATAGCCTTAAGCACCTGCGGGACACAAGAGTCTGTTTTGCAAATCACGTGTAAACAAATACAGCAGTCTTGCTTTATGCAAGAGGGCACGAAATGGATTTACAGTTAATTTAAGGCATAATTTGAATAGTTTAGTCATCGGTTTTCATTGGCAAGGTGTATATATAATTTAAAAAAAAAATTTTTTATTGTAGTGATGACTAATAAGCAATATATCTTCATATATATCTATCTCCAATGAGTAGAGAGGTGCACTCGTAGGTCTTAATACAAGTGATAGTTATTCAATGACTTATCAAAATATAAATGTCCCGATCAACGTTTCGACCCCTCAGGGTCTTTTTCAAGATCAAATATATAGTGGAAATTACAAGTTTAAATACAAATTTTAGGGATAACCACTTACCAAACATCGTTAAGGGGAGAGATAGAGATATCTATCATAAAATATATATATATATATACACACACATACATATATATATATATATATATATATATATATATATATATATATATATACACACACACACACACACATACATACACACACACACACACACAATTTTATGCTTAAGTGTATTTTTAATAATATATGTAGGTGTATGTGTGTTCTCCAGGGGCCACCGGCAGTGAGAGGGTTATTTCCGCGATGCCTCAACATCGAGGCTTAGCTGCAATACCATTAAAGCTGCTGGAAGCGCTCTAATTCCCCTAGGACGTATGTTATGTCCGCGGTCCTTAAGGGGTTAAATCTAATATTAAATTAATCAAGTGTTTTGATTTGTTTTTTCTCCCTCCCCCTAGATCTATACGGCTGGGCATTTATTTCTATCCATTATAATGGTTCAAAGTTAAAGAGACACTATAGTCACCAGAACAACTACAGCTTATTGAATTTGTTCTGGTGAGTAGAATCATTCCCTTCAGGCTTTTTGGTGTAAACACTGTCTTTTCAGAGAAAATGCAGTGTTTACATTACAGCCTAGTGATAACTTCACTGGCCACTCTTTAAATGGCTACTAAAGGTGCTTCCTGGAGCAGTCCTGCCTAGTGTGCAGCACTGCCATTGGGGGAGAGGGGCAAGAGGAGGGCTAGATGGTGGTTTTAACATTATAGGGTCAGGAATACAGGTTTGTGTTCCTGACCCTATAGTGATCCTTTAATTATTTCTGCTATCCATTGGTGTACCCAGTGCATCTCAACCTTTTCTCACCCAAGACACACCAAAGCTCTTCCAAGAATTCCATGTGTGTGTACACACACACACACTAAATTGCATACACAGACCATGCCAGTTAGATTGTTCATTAAATCACACCTCAATCCAGGTGACCATTAATAAATACCAGAATAAAAGTGTGGCCATTAAAAATAGAACTGCAGTGGATGAAAATACATTTAACACAGGGCTGCAGTGGCAGGGGAGCCATAACTATTCTAAATCTGGATATTAAATCACGTAGTTGGGGAGGACCAACAGATCATTTGACGGAGATTAGATTACAGAGAAAGAACTCTTCAGCTAGAAACAAGAAAATAAATGATGGGATACTATAGCGTAAGCAATACAAATCTGTATTCCTTACACTATACTTCCCTCTAACCCCACCATCATTGAAAGAGAAAAAAAAAAAAAAAAAAACACAAACACCAACACCTTTTGCCTCTCAAGTTACCAGACAGGTGACCGGTGCAATGCTTTCCTACTGGGATTTCTCCTCTGACACTGCATGTCCTCATGCAGGGCATGAGGACATCCAGCATCAGTTAGGCTGTCAAAAGTCCATTGGCAAGCAGGAAGTGCCTCTAACGGCTGTCTGATTGCCACTAGAGGCAGTCTTAGTCATGCAAGGCAATTATTACCATTTAGAAAGCCACAACAAATTCCACAACGTCCTGAAACTACAAATATTTACATTGCAGGATTAATTGAAGAGATCTGGGTGCAGTGTTCCTGACTCAATGAGCTTTAGTGGCCTGGGTGCCTACAGCGCCCCTTTATGTTTTTCCAGGCCCGAGGTTCATCATTCACTCAACTCCATATACGCTATTGCAGTATTTCATAGGCTGAATAAAGAAGAAAAGGGGAAAAAAGTAGGAAAAAAAATAAATAAAAATAAAAACACATTCGGGGTGATTTTGCTAACCCACAAAACGGAGGTCCAAGCAGTCACAGACCACATCCAGGCCACTGAGGAAGATGTAAATGTTCTCAAGCAAGGCTTGGCAGCCCTGGGAGACACTGTTCAACACTCCTTTCTGACCCACAGAGTGGACACTCTGGATAAAAGGAGTCGGCGACAAAACATCAAAAATCAGTTGAGTATCTGATGCAGTGTCCAGAGGAATTGCCACACTTCCTCAGACAGCTGATATCCACAGTACTACCTGCCAAACAGGCTAAACTACTCCTATTAGATGGAGCCTTTAGGGTTAACAGGTCTCCTCGTGCCACAAGAGCTTGTCAAGAGACATACTTTAACGTTAATCCTTTGCAGACAAGCAAAGTCTCATGAAAGCTCTTCAGGACAAGGCCCCTCTGGACTTCGAAGCTCACCATCTCACTTTCTTTCAAAAGGTCTACACTTATGGAGAAAGGCTATGCAGCCAATAACAAAGAAGCTGCAAGAAGCTGGAGTGGCATATCACTGGTCTGCATATCCTGCATCCAGAGTGTGGAGCACATACACAGCAGCATCTCCACCAGACGCCCCAGCTTTCCTTGCAGCACTTGACCTATTAGAGGAAGGGGGGGGGGGGCAGAAGCTCCAGCGAGAACACAGACCACTCATCGGTGGGATGTCTCCAATGTAACACGCTTTGTACCATCCAGGGGCCAGGACTCAGTAATTTAGACCCTGAACTAGAGGCACTAACTTAGTGCACTTAAACATAGTTGGCGTCACGGTTACAAATACCACACAAAAGTGGTATCCCACGGAATGGGTGTAGTTTATGTTTAAAATCTAGTTTATAGTTTCAAATCAGTATGTTTTCTTGAGAGTTTAGAAGTAGAATGGAAGCACACAGAGAACTCCCATAATCCTGATACCCAACCCCTCCCCCCCTCCCCGCTGTCCCCATAGGTTTGGGGTAATTCGAGTAATGGAGGCACCAAGTATTGCTCTCCACCATTTACTACATTCCTAAGGCACATACTCATTGTTATGAATCACACTGGAGGCTTACATGCCTTGAATCAAGCTGCACAGCCTTCACACTAGGCTGTTAGACAGCAGCAACTACAAACTAGATGGTGTCCTTTAGCACAGCCCCAGCAGGACTATAGTCATCACACCTCTGCAGAACATCATAAAAATTTTATGCATGCAATATTTAGCTTGATAATGCTTGATTTTATTAATTTCTTATTTCTTTGTGGTACGAATGCCAACTTACCTGCAATTATTCATGTACTATACAAAGAATGAGTGGTTAACTGGATTGAAAATGCTTTAGAGGCTCTACTGAGATTAGCCTTTTAACTCTAAAATAAGTGAACTTTGCTATAATTTTTCTGTGCAAACTATTTACAAACATGTTTGAAGTGCCACAGCAGCACATATAGGCATATCAACAAAGGTAATATCTTGGCATACATTTTTTTTTTTTTTAAATAATAAACTTGTTGGAACAGAGTACGTCAGGAGATAGAAATAACATAGGTGGTGGGTAAGCTGCCTGACAGTAATGTGAGTCAATTTAAGAGAACTAAATAGTGGTGGAAACGCTTAAGTTTCAGAGCAGGCTAGGCATGCGAAGATTAGTATCGGATTGTGCAGAACTGACAGCATAGAGTAGTTCAGCCAGGTTTGTTATAAATTGGCACTCTGATGAAAAACATGGAACGGAGTAAAACACATTTGCCATTAAGAATTTTCCACTGGCACCAACATCGTCACGATAAAGCCGAGGTGTGTAAGGTGCTTATGGTAGTGAGAGTGAGTGAAAGCATAGCGAGAGTGAGTGAGTGAGTGTGTAGATGAAGAGCGAAAACACATAAATCATATGCGTATACAGGTTAACTGGCATCAACAGGTGTCAGGTGGATTCGGTAACTGAGGCTTGACTTTTCCTGAGGGAGGTAAGTCCATGTTCAGTCCATGCCTGCCAGTGGGAAGTGCTGAAATTTTACCAAGCAGTCCATTGCATGCATATAGAGAGGCTGTTGTGGTTTACTTCTTCCCCTCCAGACACACTCAAGGGCAGACTTCTCTTTTGGGGTACAGGGGCTTCTAAATATTTGCAACTTCCCTCTCTCGGGCTGCATGGCGGACCAGGAAGAGACTTGCGCCTGTATCGATTAGGTCTCTGCTTCCGAACGCACTGCAGAGCCGTGAGGCTATTTGTGGCTCTTGGACCAGGCCTGTCAATGGGCAGTCGCTTAGTGGTCAGAGAGCCTGTTAACCGGATGGGGCTTCACCACTCTCCCCTTCTCGCTTCATTTAGTCTCCTCCCGAGACCTGATGAGTTTTGCATTCTCACGTGCTTTTATCCGCTCAAAGAAGCACTGGAATATTTCTTCCAGGTGCCATAGGCTGAGATCAGGGTTGCCGAGGTAGGCTGCTTGGAAGCTCAGAGGACAATCACCCGCCATTTTGTGCCAACGAGGTTAGCCCCTGTGGTATCGTGGGACTAGTTTTAGGTACAGATTAGGCAGTCAGTGGTGGTCCAGTGGGGACCAGGATAACCCCCACCGGTCCAGGAGGTCGGCAATGCTTCACATTGAGCATAGGAGTGAGAAGAGCGGCTGCCTCTCCCCTGCTCCTTCACCAGTAGTCCTTGGCAATGAGTCTCGGGTTCCCGGTGGCTCAGTAACTCGTGAGTCTCGATCAAGTCACTCTTGCATCCCGTACGTGGGTGTTGCAGTTTGGGGAATAGTGTAGCTTGAGAACCAGATTAATTTCACAGAGAATAGAGATTCGGATGGGAGCTTGTGCTGCACACGTCTTAGCTCCACACTCACGCTCGGCCCCCGAACTACCCTGTAATTTTATGTTTATCTTGCACCACTGGCAAACTGAATACTAACGCATACGATTCATATGTATACGTGCCATAGTCGTCTCACGTATATGATGCATTAACCACTCAATAAAAGAGAGAATAAAAAATAAATTATATATATATTACCTTGGCACAATGGAGATCTTTATGCTTCTTAAGCAGTTTTTCTGCCTGTTGAATAGCCATCTTGTTGTTTCCATTGTCAAGATAATCTGTAGTTTAAACAAGAGAATGTTGGTTCACTTTTATTTTTGAAACAAAACAAAAACCAAAAAAATAGAAACCTTTAGTTGACGTTTTGGTAGCTTGCCTGTTATGTCTAGGTGCCAGAATGAATAAAATCTACTATATTCCTAAAGGAACACTCCAAGCCCAATGGTTATGATGCACTGGCGACAACCCATAGCGAATGGATAAATATTTTATTACAGTTTATCAACGTAGCTAGTTCCAGGAGAACCCTGTTCGCTTGACAGAGCCAAGAAAGGCCATGCACATTCAATTAACTCCTCACACCAAAACCCCCTGTAATAAGCTGTAATAGTTAGTGCCCCTTTAAAAGGATAAAGTGTGTTCTATGATTAGTCCTGTCCATTGATGCCCCATTTTTAGTAATAAAGCCTGCAGTTTTGTAAACTACAGAATAAGGATTTTAAATTATAATAATTAAAAAAAAAAAAAAAAACCCCACGACAAAACCCAAGGCAGATTTGTAAGAGAAGTGCACAGATGGTTGCTTTTGTCAGAAGAGGTGGTTCTTTCATTATCAAATGGAAAGATTCAACCACCTGTATATAACATATTACTGTGGCTTTTTTGCCTGTTCAGTATAATTTTAGCAGTAAGGTCTTCAACAATCGTGAACCCGTATTTTTTTTTCCCCCTCTAGAAATTGGAAGTTACAGAGAGGGTTAAAAAAAATCCATGTAGTGGTTTTCGTGCACAGAGACCACACCTGTCAGAGGCAGACTTAGGTTACATGTCACCTTGGGCGTAAGTTATTTTGTCCTCCCCCTCAATCTGCTCCCCGCCCCGACATACATATACACAAACACACATTCCCTTCAGGTCCATTATGCCTGTCTTTTCTGATCTTGTAAGAGGCTGAAGTTGAATCTCACCCCAGGGGTCCAGTTGTTTGCAGTTTCAATCCCTCTATATTAATTGCCCACTCCCTGCATGTCAGATCCCAGCATCAGTACAGGATGGATGATGAGGCTGAAAACACTGGGCACAGAGATCCCAGCAGCTCCTGTGGCACCTGGCTCCACAGCCACAAAACAGTGACAAAGCATGCACCCTCGTGCCATCTGTCACCAGGGACAGTCTACCCCGGGTTAATACACTCCTAGTCCCGGCAGTCTTACCTGTAAACACTGCCTTTTCTTTGAAAAGGCAGGGTTTACATTTGTCCCCAAGGACACTCAGGAGGCTGTTGCTTAGTGGGGCCCAGAAATCTGAACCTGCAAGAAATAACTAATGTTACAAATACATGTTTGCATTTCTAACATTAGAAAAACGGTTTACCATTTAATTGGAAGCTACATTAAACTAATGTTGGTATTATTAACCGGGTAATAAAATGTAAAGTGCAATGATTAGCTTTTCTAAACTAATCAACGTGGACTAGTCTTGTCACTAAAAGGCATCAATTTTCATTGTATACATCTTTAGGTTAATTGATTATGGGGCTTCTTTTTTGCAGAGATCAGTAGAAAGAGTTGTAGGTGTTTATTCATTAAAAACAAGCTGTGACAATAGCAGAGTTAGAAAGTTTTTTCCCGTTCAAATATTTTTGCAATTTGGTTCTCAGTTAAAAAAGGCCTACCTCGATTCCAAGGAAAACATAGGGTAACATACTGTAAAGTTATTGGGGAGGTCCAAAAATCACTTCCATAGGCTGGACATACATGACCAGAGTGTGAGACCATTACATTGCGTATAAAAAAAACCCCACATGTAACAAGTGTTCAACAGTGCCCGTGTCCATCTGGCTTATATAGGGGCTGTCAAATCTGAAGCAAATACCAGGGCTAATGGAATCTGCAACTGAGAACATTGCTGGCACACAGCCATCGAGTAGGCATGATTTACACTGCACCTATTGCATACTCTACATAGTAAATGGCTCTGAGCCATAAACTGCAAGCACTGCTTACTTACAAAACAGTAGAAACTGTGAAAGTGCTTTATTTGGAGATTTTATTACAATCAGGCATGCAGTGTAATGCATTTAAACAAGCTTTTAACGCTGATAAAAATCACAGTGTGTGCTTGAAACGGAAATTCGTTATCAGCATTTTCTAACATATACTTAAAATAGATCTACTTTCCATTAAGCCCAAATACAGAAAAAGAAGATCAGAGATTCCACCATTGCTAAAGATTCCCAGCATTCCATCTTTGACACAATGGCTTGACCCAAGAAGGTGCCACAGTTGTAAGATGTGTTGGGTACAAGAAGGGTCTGTTCTGAAGAGTAGTGCAAACATGGAAGACCTGTCCAAGACCAGTAACATAGCCCCAAACTGCATGAAGGTCGCTTCTGCAGTCCATACTATGTACAGATACAGAATGCCTTGCTCTATAGAGGAAGCCAATCCATTCAGCCATTAGGCCAAGCATTACTGGTGCAGGACCACTGCAATTCTCATCTCACTCTGAGTGAATGCTTACATCAGTTTTATGTGCATTACTTTTGCAGCAATGCAGTGATAATGCAGATCCAAATAGAAGGAACAGATACATTAGCATGGAGCTACTAGAAATCAAATTTGAACTGTGCAGATGTCAGCAGAACACATGCAAGATCCCAACCTTGAGACAAATGCGAGGCAAAGGGTAACTCTGCACCCATGAGAGGCAACTGCTCACACCCATATTAGGCACGCTTTCTGTCCTTAGGAATGGTATGCTTAATAAGGCAAGTTCTAATTGGATTTTCTAAGAAACTAAAGTTTGTTTAAATCAATGGCTAAATATGAGTGACGGCTCTTTTTTTTTTTATTTTTTTAAATGATCTATTGAAACTGGAATTACAAGTCCATAATGCTCAGCGGTCATTCTAGGAGCAATAGGAGTGACTGTAGCTGTCAGGGCATCATGGTTACACATCAGACTGGAAGGTTTGTCTTGGTTATCCATTATTACAGAGATATAGAATCGAGTGGATTTGATTATTCTCATTTTTCAGCTCTATTAACTCCTAGGTGAGGATAGATCTTGCAGAAGCCATATAATATACAACTCACTTTATGTTTGTCAATTACTTGTTATTAAACCCACTGTACAATTGCAGAGCTCTGCAGACGTTTGGACTAGAATGATGGTAATATTCAGATTGCAAGAGTAGTGTTTTCTACAGCAGTTAAAACTAGATCAATGAGAAACATACCTGTAATAGATTATAAAATCACTCCATAAAATAGTACTGTATATATACTTAACATATTTCATTGTAATTACAGTAAGTGCGCTTTTTAAAGTCACAACATTGAGGACATGATAAATTACAGTGTTACAAAGAATAGAGCTTAGAATAAAAATAAAATAGCAAAATGTTGCATTTAGGAGCTGTGCTTGACAGGGACTACATCAAATTTTCACAGAGAAACTGGAGAACCCACAATTTTAAGTTAGCCATCAAATATTTTTAAAAACACAGATATGCAAGGTGTATACTAGAATAATTATGCAATCTCCAGACAACTTTGATATGATGCAGTTGTGGAATGAACGGTGGATGAATGTTTATTAGGTAGGCAAAATTAGTATGTTGAAGGGCAGAACCATATGCTGGGGACGGAATCATGGCTAAAATGAAATTATTAAACAGATAACACAAGACTCTACAGTGTAATGATTTAGTATAATTCTAATAATAAAAATGTCTACTTGTATATACTCTAAAAATACACACCACTATCCCATAGGGGCCAATTATCTATATTATGCATGGATACCATTTAAAAAAGCTATTAGAAACTACAGAAAAAAAATAAAAATAAATAAAAAGGGTAAGCCACACAAGTTTATACAGCAGTGTTAACCATACATCTGACACAAGGTATGGACAAATTAAATATTCATGATTTATTCTGGAGCAAGGTTCCATAGAATGCAGTCACCATAGAGATTATTAGACCAAGTTCTGACAGAATCTATCAAATAAAAACTGCCCAGATTCAGTGACAGCAAGCACGTTTGGGGGCACTTGAGGACAAATCTGTATCATATATAAACGGGAGGCTTTACTAGACCGGATAAAACATTATAGAGCAATCAAAATTACTGACAGGGTGGGTGGGTGCCATGGTGTTTCCCATGCATCTTTGACAGACAATATCACTATATATATATACACTGCACAGCACGCGATGTATCTATATGGGGTTACACTACTGTCCAAGATTTCTAAAGTTTCATATCTCAGCCCCATCATGCAGAGGGTGTTAATACACATGGTTACCTGGTACAGAGGAGGGAGCTCCTGTATGTCAGTATGCAGGTAGGTACTGTCAGGACATGCACTCAGTGAGCAGCGAATTGCAATCCCAATGGTTACATTTGGGGATAAGATGTCTGATGTGGAATCATTATGCCGTTCAGATCCAGTCACAGTTAGTCTATAGATATCGCCATGCTTGCTATAACTCGCTACATTTCGGAGCTTAGTAAATAGCCCTGGCAGTGTCTGAACCCACCAGTGACCCCGGCATGCAGACTGAGGCTCTCCGTCCACCCAGGGAGCTCCCACATGCTGCCCCTCTCCCCGGACCCCACGTGTACCGGCCGCGCCATTCATCCCGGCACCGGGCGGCCCGGGTCCAGGCCCAGCTCCTCCTGTCACCCCCTGGCCGCCCTCTCACACCCGCTGCCCTATTTTTACAGACACTGTGTGGCTCCCAGTCCCGCAGGCAGCCTCCTTCCCTAGACCCGGTCCCCGCAGCCCGGGGACTCACCGTAGATCGGCCTGAGCCTCCTGTCGTTCGGATCCTGCACATGGCCCCGCGCCGCCATGATGACAAGCGCAGAAGGCCAGAGCGCATGCGCGACAGGAAGCGGACGGGGGAATTAAAGGGACAGCGCACAGCTGGCAGCTCGGAGAGGTGTTCCCGGCCGGGGGGTGTGACTGGCAGGAGCTCCTCTCCTCTCCCTGCTCACCGCCCGCTTACATTACAGCACGTGTGGCTAATGGGGGGCAGGAGTTACTGTCAGCCCTGCACGGGGGACACGCCGCAAATGATTTGTGTCTTGATCCTGAGGAAAGTCCACAAGCTGGACTGAAACGTCGATCCTATTTTAATGAATTAAATAAAGCATTGGAGATTTTATCCCCAACCGTGAGTGCAGCTATACTTATTGTTTCTATATATATAAAAATGATTGGGTTCCTTGCACGCACGCTCAATGTTCATATATAGAAAAATATTAAGTTTACTTCTTGGGTGCCAGTCCTATGAGGATGTTGATATTCACCTAAATAGTGAAAGCATGGGCTGCAGTAACAAAAATCGACGTTTTGGTCCACACAGGGACCTTCTTCAGGATAAAGTGACCTGAAAGCATGGGCTGCACTCATGGTCTTCTCATACAAAAATTCTTTATTTCATCTAGTAACAAAAATCAACTGAATTTGGGCTGCACTCATGGTCTTCTGACCAACAGGTCACCCTATCCTGAAGAAGGTCCCTGCATGGACCAAAACGTAGATTTTTGTTACTAGATGAAATAAAGAATTTTTGCATGAGAAGACCGTAAGTGCAGCCCATGCTTTCACTATTTAGGCATATATATATACACCAATAGAGAAGATGACCAGCACTATCGGATTCCAATAGGTAATTAAAAGTTGTAAACTTTATTCATCCATTTTTTTTTTTTAAATTTGACAATTTTTTTTTTTAAGCATAGATTGGGGGGTGAGGGTACAGAAGAGAAGAGGGGGGGTGGGGGGGGTCCAATCTTAAGACATCAAGGTTGTACAAATAGTAGTATGGTTGTAAACAGTGTGCAAGCTTTTCACCAACATTGTTGTTTTTGGGTACGTTGTTGTCCATTCTGCATTAGGGGTTGTAGATTAATCAAGTGTGCATATCGTTTTCAAACATTTATGGTGCCATATCATATTTGCCCATATTCGTTCTGTAGCTATCCCATATGGAGAGGGTTAAAGCAGTTGTGGGTAGCATATGAGTGTATTTTGGCCTTTGGCTGTTCGGTGTCCATGCTAGTGTCAATAGGTTCTGTGAAGCTCGTTTCTATTTTGACCCACGCGCTTTGTTCGTGGTGGTGGGGGATTGTTAACATTGGGGCGATGTGAGCCGCTCTGTAGTATCCTTTTACATCTGGCTTTCCCATTCCACTGTTATTAAATTGCCTGTGCATGGTGTCCTTTGCTACACGTGTTTTTTTGTGTTCCCGTCATACGTAGTCCATTAGGAGGGTTTGTAGGTTTTGTATATATGTTTTCGGCACTTTAAGTGGGAGTGTTCAGAATAGGTACTGAATTTTGGGTAAGATCACCATTTTTATGGAAGCTATTCATCCTGCCCATGAGACAAATTTCCCCTTCCAGCTTTGCATTATGTTTTGGATTTCACCTCGTAGTTTGAGGTAGTTTGCTGTATATAATTTGGTCGGCGTAGGTGTAAAAGTTATCCCTAAAAACTTTATATGGTCATGCCTCCAGTCATAGGTGAAACTAGCTTTGAGATGTTGCATGGCTTGTGTGGGGACATTAATGCCCAGAGCTAGGGTTTTTGCTATGTTTAGTTTATAATATGAGCATTGACTATATTGGCTGAGAATTTTATGGAGGTTTGGAAGGGATATGTGTGGGTGTTCCAGCGTCAGCAGGATATCGCCTGCAAAAAGCGAAAGTTTATATTCTTTTCCTTTGGCTTGGACTCCGTGGCTTTTCGGGTCTTCCTGTATTTGTTGGGTCAGGGGTTCCAGTGCCAGTATGTAGAGCAGTGGGGAGAGTGGGCATCCCTGTCTGGAGCCATTAGACATTGAGAACGGTTTGGAGATGAATCCCCCATTTATTACTTTAGCGGTTGGGGAGGAGTAGAGTGCCTCAACCAGGGCCAGAAGCTGAGGTGGAAATTCGAATTTCCGGAGCACAGCAGACAGGAAAGACCAATTCAGCCTGTCAAAGGCCTTTTCCGCATCCAAGGATAACAGGATGCTTGGGGCCTTCTTCTCTTTCATAGCATATAGCAAGTGTAACGGCACCCCCAGGCATAAAAGGGTTAAACCGCCGTTTAGTAGATCTTCCCTTCCAGAGACACAGACACAGCTACTGTAGACACCAATCCACCGAACCGGAGAAGCATATGAATGCCGTAAACAGCTGAACCGGAACCACACAAATGCTGTAAACAGCCAAATAGGAAAAACCATACGAATAGGTTTACACTCCTAGCAGTCAAACTGGAACAGCATACAATAAATCCCCCCAAGAACAAGACAAGGCTCCGTTTTGAGGGTCAAGCAGGAACAGTCAGAGCTGTGGGTTTATTGTTCTTATATACACATTAGTACCACCCACAGGGTTTTGGAAAACAACCAATAAACACATACAATACACTCAGACACTCCCACACAAAATCCTCCCCTCTGCCTGTGATACAATTACCTTACACAATGGGTAATGTAATTATCAACGGCAGAGAAATACAGTTTTTCCACATGATTCATACTCCAAATACAAACATATGTCAAAATCATCCAAATTGGTCCATTGGTTCAAAAGATAGATCGAAGTCCTTTGTGACCAAATGAAGCATGGCTTTTCTGCCCAAAACCAGTTCCACAGAGTCTTCTATCCTGGAGATAATTGGGAAGTAATCCAATTATCTCCAAGGACAGAGGCAAAACTCCATTAAGCACATGACAGTAAAAAGACAGTAAAATACTATAAAATACACAAGGTTACATTTATTACATAAAATACAGACATGCAACATATCCCCAGATAGCTTAGGCCTGAGCACACATTATTAATGAATGGCGCTCAGACCACACACATACAGTTCAATTGCCATGGAGCCAAAGTCTTTCCCATAGTCTTTCATTATATGAATGGGCTCCATGGCATAGCTATCTGGGGTTTCACTGCTCAAACAGGGCAAGCACCGAATGACCTGGCTTTCATGTCTTCGCAGGGGAAAATCAAGCGTTTCAACATGGGGCCATAGTCTAAAGGCAGCAGGCGGGCAACCAGGCTCCTCCAATGCACAGTGGCGAGATTGGTTTCGTCACAGCAAGTTTAAGATTTTCCGTGCGCCCTCTGCTCCATGTCTGCCACTTAAAAACCCCACTTGGTCTTCTTTTATTAGTGTTGGTATGATAGGTGCCAGTCTGTTGGAAAAGATTTTGGCTATGAGATGACATCAGTATTCAGCAGAGATGGTTTTCCTGGTTTGGGGAGTGTGGCTACATGCGCCATTAACATTTCCTTGTGCAGGGCTTTCACGTTTAGGGTATGGGTGTATAGTTTCTGTAGGTACGGAGCTAGTATCGGTGCAAATTTTTTATAGTATAGGTTGGTCAGTCCGTCTGGGCCCAGTGATTTCCCAGGCGGGAGTGCTTGGATGGTGTCCAGTATTTCTTGTATTGTGATGGGGTCTTGTACAGCTTGTTTTTGGGCTGCTGATAGCATGAGCAGCGTGGTCTTTTGAAGGTAAGCGGCTATTTCCTGTTCTGTGGGTTGGTGTAGGTTAGGGTCCTGTTTTAAGTTGTATAGCGTGTTATAATAGTCGGCCATCTCATCGTTGATATCTCGAGGGTTGTGGATTTTGTCCCCTGTGCGGGTGAATAGATAGGGGATTTTGGAGTTGGCTTGTTTTTGTTTCAGTAATGTTGCTAGATGTTTTCCGGCTTTGTTGCCTTGAGTGTACGTATTCATTTTCAGTTTAGTTAGTATATGTGCTGTTTTGTTTAGATTGATATTATTGATTTGTTCAGTGATATCTGCAACTTCTTTGGCCAGTGGTTCAGAGTGTTGCAGGAGGTTCGCGTTCGTTACGTCCCTAAGTTTCCTTAGGAGGTTTATATATTCTTTGTCACATTGTTTTTTGAGATATGATGCGCGGCTTATTAATTTACCTCTCATGACAGATTTGTGAGCCTGCTAAATCGTCGTGGTGTGTCGTTGAGCTTGAAGTATTCTTGTAGGGTTTGGGTTAGTTGTTTCAGGTATTCAGTGTTGTTTAGTAGTGTGTCATTCATACGGTCTACCTTGGTGCTGGTATTGGTCTTGTATGGTCACAGTTAAGGGTGCATGGTCCGACCACACTATGTTTCCTATAGTGCATTCTGTTATTTGTGGGAGGAGTATCCCTGAGGTCAGTATATGGTCAATTCTGGAGTATGTTTTGTGGACCTGGGAGTAGAACGTGTACTCCCTTGTTGTTGGGTGTAGTGTCCTCCATACATCAAACAGGCCCTGTGTGTGCGCAACAGTTTTACTAGTGGTTTGTTGTGAAGTTTAAGTGTGTGGTGTCTGCTGGAGGTGTCGTGGGCTGTCGAGTCTAGTCAGGCGTCTATAGTGTGGTTAAAATCCCCGCAAAGTAGTATAGGGGCATTAGTATCGGCGGGTAGTTTACTAAGAACCCTGTGTAGCAATTTTTTTTGATTTTCGTTTGGGCTGTATATTCTAATCAGTATGAGAGGGTTATTGTTAAGTAGGCAGTGTAGGATTATAAATCATCCCTGGCAGTCTTTTTTAATTCGGAGTGGTTCTATTGTCAAGGAGTTGTGGAAGAGGAGGGAGATTCCCCTGGATTTGGATGTGTGTGTGGCATGATATTGAAGGGGATAATAACGTGTAGCAAATGCAGGAATTCGGTTAGATACGAAGTGTGTTTCTTGTATGCAGATAATGTCTGCTTTAATTCATTTCAGGTCGTCCAGTAGGACACGTCTTTTATGCGGGGTGTTCAACCCCTTAACATTGTGTGAGTATAGTTTCATTTGTCCAATGCGGTGGTGTCGTGTATTAAAGTCGTGGGTCGTGGTATTGTTGTGATGGAAAGCTTGCGATGTCCCTGTAGAGTTGGTGGGGTAGTCGGAGAGGTGGAGGGGGTTGTCTAGGAATCAGGTGGGTGACCTCTTGGTCTGGTGCTATCCACACCTTGGGGGATGGAAGTATTGGGGAGAGAAAACCTCCAAACAGGTGGCTGTTTGGGCTCCATTCTATCTTGTAGTGTCAGCAGAACAACAGTATTTTGTGACATTAATCGAAGAACATTAACGTGTAAACATATAAACAGGGAGTTTCCATACAGTTCAATATTAGATAGTTTCAAGTAAACTGTGGTGGTACAGATATGCATCGCCACATGTGGGCGCAGTTTTGGGTGGCATATTTGGTAGTGTCTACCTGGGTTTCGTTTTGAAAAATTGTCCAGGTGCGGAGGCTTATGAGCTGTGTGTGATGAGTGGGTATAGTTTCTAGCGTAAGACGCTCAAACTTTATAGGGTCTATATTGGACCTCAATGAGCAGGCTGCGGAGGTTCCTTCCAAAGTGGGTGGAATCTATTTCGGGCGACAGGACTTAATTAATTACGGTTATTGCTGCTCTGCTTATCTAGATGTTGGTTCATCGAACCAGGTGGCCACGGTTCATTCGTAGTGGGACTGTATTTCCACGGGATGTCTGTTAGTCCCTCTTTCGTGTTCCCTACCCTCTGACTATTTGTTTGTCATTTACCCCGGTTTTGGGTGTAGTATAATATTTATCATGACCCATTTCTGTTGGTCCTTTACCCTTTGGAGGTATGTCATTCTTCCACGACCGGGGGTTTTCACCCAGTCTGGCTACGTCCTCCCTGTGACCAGTGTGTTGTAGGAATTCTACCTAGTGAGTAAGGGTAGTGTTGCGCTAGTTATATTTGTAGGGGTGCCATATTCTCCCGGCTTGGTTCCCCAGTTTATTTGTGGTTAAATTGGATGCCTGTTGTGTCCTGGCAGGGTTGTGGCAGGTGCTCGTGTAGTACATTTACAAGCAAACATTGTACATTAGAAGCTATTTATAGCATGCATATCTATAGCAGTTTAAAATGCAAATTTTAACATCTAATCTTGCGGTCATTTGAACAGTGACCTATTGTAAACATTTATCCCTATACAAGGGTTAAGATACTTGCGGCAGGTGTGCATTCAGACTATCAGTCCACAGGGGAGAAGTGACCTTTTCCTGGTGTGGTGTGTGTTGCAGCCGGCATTTTGGTGATTAAGCCCCATTCCTCTAGTTTCCGCATGCCTTCTTCAGGTGTAGAAATGGACTTTGTTTCCCCATTTCTCGTGAGAAGGAGTTTTGTGGGGAATCCCCATCTATAGCGGATTCCTTTTTTACTTAATTCTGTCGTGATCAGTTGAAATTGTCTCCTGGGTCGTAAGGTGGCTGCAGAGAGATCCGCCATAATCCGTACTGTAGGGAAATCTTCATGCGGGTCTTGCTTGTTACGGTGCGTTTTGAGGATAAGTTCCTTGATGTGAAAGTAATGTGCTCTATTGAGCACATCGCGGGGTGTTGCGTCCGGCAGATGTCTAGGTTTTGGGACCCTGTGTAGCCTGTCTACCAGGAGCATGTCCGTCGGGATGTCCGGTGCATAGGCGTGTAGTAGACCTGCAATAAAGACCGGCAAGTCATCAGGGAGCACAGTCTCCGGAATGCTGCGTAACCTCAGGTTATTCCGGCGGGCTCTGTCCTCGTAATCTGCCATGCGGGTTTCCATGCTTTCCACTTGCTGTTGCAGGGCTTGTAGTTCGTTTTCCGTTTCTGTTTGCACGGAGTCCAGGTCTTAGCAGTGCTGCTCTACTGAGGATGTCCTGGCAGTCAGGTCCCTCACTTCCTTCCTTATCTGATCCGCCGTCACTTTCCAAGTTTGGATTAGTTTTACCGACATGGTTTCAATGGTTTGCTCAAAATATTTTTTGGTGAGTCCCTCTGATTTATTTGGCTCATCATGTGGAGTTGAGATGGGGTCTTGCTTCAAGTTCTCAGTGCCATCTTGTAGGGCGGCCTGCGTGATCTCCGTAGTTGCTGCCGCTTTGTTGTTAAAAAAGTTAATTTTTTCCGCTTTTGTAGTGGATTTCTTAGTTTTTTTGTTGTGCCATGATGCGTCTTGCTATTAGTGGCTGTTGCCCGTTGTATCTGCATGTGGATTTGTAATTTTAATGGAGCCCATGTGCCGGAGCAGATTCTTATGCGGCCATCTTCCTTGGCGGTCAGCCACGCCCCCTATTCATCCATTTTTAAAAATAGTTGCTCAACGTTTCAGTCCACGTTTGGGACTTTCATCAGGAACAACAGCCATAAATACAAAACAAACATATATAGGAGAAACAATCATTGTAAATTGACTTACCCCAGGTGTACCCAATCCCCTGAGTGCTGCCGCCCACGGCCCCAAGGGTCCTCTGCGCATGCGTGTACGTGCTCCGCCCCCATTCTGCGCGACCACGTGATATCCGTTGTAGTGGAAACCCGAAACAAGCCACGTCTTCATGGCAACCCGGCTACTCACTAGCCGTCCTCTAAAAGACAGTGATCGTGAAAAAGATTTGTGACAGTGATAATAAGATTAACTTAACCCCTCAATTCCCAATTAAAGGCTGAAAGACAAAACAATTAATACAACATAATCCTGCAATCGGGAACTATATCAATAAGGTGCTCTAAGTGCCCATATTTGTTTACATCCTCCACTTAAAGGGGTGGAAATTCCCACCAAATAAATCTAATCCATATGTTACAACCCATACAATTATTACAGTTAGTGCATCCACTACTCAAAAGAACCAACTGTATAAAGTGCATAGGGCTTAACCAAGTGATATAATGTGCTAATAGTACTAAACAGTGCAACTAGTGATAAGAAGGGATCAATTGTGTATATAGAGCGCTACTACTAGCCTATACAATTCTTAATGATACTTTATGCTTCACAGTACAGCAAGCTATATGCCAGATATACTGTGGAGTATACATAAAACCTAATGTGCAAAAATGTTTTTTAGAAATGGGGCCAATGTCAGTGCATATAAAGTGCTATGTGCTTATTGACAATACACAAAAAAAATGTGAAAGGGGCAGTATATCCACACAGAGGGATAGGTGACATCCAAAGAGATAGATATGGACATGGATAAGTTCAATAATCATGAGTAGAAAAAATATACAAAAAATATACAAAAAGGCTTAATGACAATAAAATCAAAACGTGAAAAAATTAAAAACACTTGCTACAGGGAACTCATATAAATGAGTGATAGGAGATCATGTCATTCAGTCCTTTTGGGGCTATAGTGTCCAACATATAAATCCAAAATGTTTCTTGATTTAAAAGAAGTTTGCTTCTATCTCCCCCCGTTTTGGCGGAGGTATGTAATCAATAGCCACGAACTTGAGTGTCGACAATGGATGTTGAAAGGCGAGAAAATGCTTAGCAACTGGTTGATCTGCGGTACCGTCCCGATAAGCTACCCGTATGCTCGATCTGAAGATGGCAACCGCCAAAATACTCTGACCTGTGCCAGGCTGGAGCAGCAAGTGATCATAGACAGGGCCTTTTGTACACTGCTAATGTTTATATAAATGTATGTTTTAATGTAACTGTGAAGCACTTTGGGCAACAGCGTTGCAATTAAATGTGCTATATAAATAAATAATAACAGTTACTCCGCCCACTTCAGTTGTAGACTACTGGTGGAGGCAAGAACACTTCACACAATGTCCCCAGAAATTGTAGCTCTTCTAGTTATATATTAATATCAAAATACAAGTAGAATGATATTGATTAAATATATATATAATTATCATTATATATAATATAAAATAAATAAATATGTAAATACGTTAAAAAATAAAATAAAAAATATATATGTGTAAATTCGTTCTAACTGTATTTTAAAATTAATATATATATATATATATATATATATATTGATATCAAAATACATGTAGAACGAAATAATATATATATATATCTATATACATAAGTATATACCTATAATATATATATATATATATATATATATATATATATATAAATAATTTTAAAAAATTATATACATATATATATATATATATATATATATATATAAATTCAAATAGTGATCAGCACTCTCGGATTTTCAAGAATTAAAAATAACAATTTATTGGAGGGCGGAGCCTAACCACTGACCAAGATGGACGTGTAATCCCTGAGCTCCCTCACCCCTGAGCTTACCATCGGCTTACATCTGCGATCTCACAACGCAATCCATCCCTGAAAACATCCAATATCCCCTTCTACTTCAACCCTTCACATTATCCCACCATGGGAGGAAATAAAAAACGGAGGGAGCACACGCCGTCGGTGGCCACCCTGTTTCGCGCCTCTGAGCAGGGGCGGCCATCTTCGGCCCCGAATACTCAGCAATCTGGCTCCGACTCGGATGACGGTGAGATGCCAGAGGACTCCTCCGCACCCATCACGATGGGCAACCTGAGGAAACTCCTCAGAGAAACGTCCGCGGACATCAAAGCCTACACTGCGGCGGAATTGGAGAAACAGATGGCGGGCCTTAAGGGCGACATCGACGCGCTCACAACCCGCGCAACGCAGGCCGAGCAAGACATCAGGGACCTGTCCCAAACAACACAATCCCAACAGCAAGAACTCCTCACCATGCAGGACAGAATAGTGCAATTGGAAGATGGCCTGGAAGATCTCAATAATAGATCTCGCCGGAAAAACATCAGGATCCGTGGTCTGCCAGAATCGGTGCCACCGGAGGCCGTCCTCACTACTGTCCAAGAGATCTTCCGCAACCTCCTCCCAGACGCAGCAGCCCACGACCTAAACATAGAACGGGCACATAGAGTACTGCGGCCCCCCACGCCTAATCTAGCTTCACCGAGAGATGTAATAGTGAAACTGCTACTATTCACCACCAAAGAAAAGCTGATGGCGGCGGCCCGCTCCAACCCACCGACACATCAGGAGCAGCAGCTGCAGTTCTTTCAAGACTTGGCGCCCACAACCCTGCGAAAACGGAGGGAACTAAAACCCCTCACCGCCTCGCTGTTACAGCACGGATGGAAATATACATGGGGCCACCCGTTCAAGTTAATGGTCCGGAAGGACAATCACGCCTATACCCTCCACTACCCTGCTGACATGTCGGACTTCGCCAAACATATCGGAGTCCCGCTCCTCCAAGCATCCGCACCCACCGACAAAGCACCACAACGTTCCAGCCGCACATCACAAAAGGACGACGCGACTTCCCTACGCATACCTCAGCGGAACAAACTGCAGCAGACCCCAAAGAAACCAGCTTGAAGGGCCGCACACAAAAGATGATGGAGGCGACAGACACAAACGCAGGACACTTTCAAGTGTTAGCCGGTTGATCAGGTTTCATCCCTATGGCGCCCCCCTTCCCCTTTGGGGCTGCTGCCCCCCCCTCCCCTCCCCGCTTGCCCCGTGGGCCCACCGCGACCCCCTTGCGGGGGCGGGGGCTGCCCCGGCGGGGTATGGTCGCGCTGTTCCCCTTACTAGGGGCCACCGGGAGACGACCTTCATTCGTTGGGGGAGCCTCGCCCGCCCAGGCACGGGCGGGACCCCCGCAGCTATATCTGGGACCGGGCGGGGTTGACGCGCAGCCATCTGAAGGAGGGCCTGGGCGTCTTCACCCACATCCCCTACCAAAATGATAAACGGGAACATGGGCACCCCCTGGCCGAATATGGGATCACCGGGACGGACCCAGCCCAGAAACAATCAGGGAGGTTGATGCACGGCTAGCGGCAGGTGGTTATAGCTAGGACATGCCGGCCATAAGCTCCCCTGACCAATGACGCACTAAGCTACCCCACCCTGGGTTACACTCTCCTGGCACAAAATAGGCACCGCACCATTGTTAACCCACAGGGGATAGGCACCGACCTCTCAGCTGTTAGCGACTAACGGAGGTCTTCCCGTGCATCAGTCACCCTCGACTCCCACCATTATTAAAGGGCTAGAAGGCTAGCATAGCTCATAGGCGCACAGGCGCGGAGGTGGTTAATCTCAGGCACACGGGTAGCACGCCAGAACTGGATTCACGCATGTCCCGCCGGGGTGCCATATGCAAACCCCGCTATACGCCCGCCCGGTCCCCCTACTGGAACCCCCCATTATGATTATACACTGTAAGGTATGCATGGGGGACATTGCTGTGGGCGCACAGGCGCAGGCAGTCCCGAGGGGTTTTGAACGGGACAATGGGTGAACCTAGGACTTCACACAATACCTACCGACTGACGGTGACAGCGTATCGGACAGGGACGACTTAGCCCCACATCGGCAAGACGCCCCACCCCGGACGGCCAACCCCTGACGGACGTCACCCAAGGTTAAGCCCCTGGACGAAGAGGGATCCCCCTCGAGAGAAACCGCAGCCACCCCCACAGCAATTCAGCAATTAGACCTGACACCTAAGTGCAGGATCTTGCAAGAGACCCGAGGACCTAATACCTTCACCTGGACGGACTCAGTAGGCAACTATCCCCCACCCGACATACAGCAGACACTTCCCTTATCCGTTGACATCGACATTCAGACGGAGGGACTTAGACATCAATGAAGTATTACTTCCCCATGTTATTCCACAGTATATATCTTGTAATATGAATGTCAACGCCAAACTGTTGCTTATTGAAGACTGTATAATGTAATGTAATGTACTGTAATATGGCTGCCAATACAATCCTACTGCCTTAGACAGGCACCACCCTGCAGGACCCATACATCTCCCCTACACCACATCCAACATTAATGGTACCCCAGGTGTTATCGCACTCCAAGTCTGGAGCAGTGGGGGGGGACCCCTGACAGGAGAAACATGCGGGCTAGCAAGGCACAGCTGGAAAGTGACCGACACACCACCAGTGACACTGTTCACAGGGCTCATGCCGCACTCACCAGACACTGAGCGGTTATACGCCTCGCCAAGTCGGTACACCAAGGGCTGAACAGCATACATCCCATCCCCACGGCACCATAGCACAACCAGGGTGGACGGTAGCACCCCACCTCACGAAGCCCAGACTCCCCCCCTCCCATCCTATGACAACCCCAGGACGCCCATATGCACCGTCAGAGGCCACTGGGGAGGAAGGAGGACCCCACAATGACAACAGCATGACCCACCGACGTACCACATAAAGATGCAAAAGGGAATCATGAAAACATGAGACCTCAACCGGACGATCCGCCCCGTACGGGTGACCGGCGTACAAGCGCCCTGATCTACACCGGCGACATGAGACAAAGTCCTCACTAACACGGGCTGACATATATCCCATACAACACACAACATATAAGCCTACCGCAGACACACCGTAAACGCACAGCCTCAGGGGAAGGCAGGGGACACACTGGCCTTCCCGACCCCACACCCACACACCTCTATCTCTTACCCATACACTCGACCACCCTTTGCCCCCGCAGAAAAGCGGGGCAAAACTCCGCCTCCAACTATCCTGGCTCTATCCTGGTAAGACCAGGTACGATCGACTTACCTAACGAACCCACCAACACTTATCACCGCACAACACCCGAACACTACACTACCTTTCTCTTACCTCCTCTACCCCAGCCGACCACCCACTCACACCCCACCCACCCACCTGGTCCCCCTCTTTTGCACCGCCCAGGGGTAAGACACCCCGGTAGGGGATAATTGGGGAAAGGATCCATGGCACCCCCGTTGACGTGTATATCCATCAATTGTAAGGGCCTCAACAACCCTCTCAAGCACCACCAAACCATGCGATGGGCAAACAGAACCCGCGCTCACATTATTTTCCTACAAGAAACTAATTTCCAACACAACAGAACTTTCCCCCTCCAAAATAGAAACTACAACAGGACCTATCTTGCTAACTCACCGACAGGCAAACAAAACGGAGTGGCAATACTATTGCACAAAGCATGTCCCCTTACTGTGGACAAAACAGAGGCAGACCCACAAGGGCGATATGTAACGGCGGCAGGGACAATAGGCACCCAAAAATACGCCTTTACCTCGATCTATGCTCCCAATGTCCCTTCCACCTCCTTTTGGCTAGCGCTACAAGCACATTTAGCACTATTCTCCTCCTACCACTTGGTAATAGGAGGGGACTGCAACGCCACCCCATCCCCAGCGATGGATAGACACAGGGCAGGCCACCAAATGGCATCTCGGGGTCGCACGGCAACCTCTGACAAACTTCTCCAAGCCTTCCTCATGCGCACACACCTTGTGGACGTATGGAGGGCGCAACACCCGGCCTCTCGGGATTACACATTCTATTCCCACCCCCACCAATCCCACTCACGCATAGACATATTCTTGACCTCCCCATCTGTGGTACCAATGATCAAATCCACGACCATAGGATTAATCACGTGGTCAGACCACGCTGACATCTCACTTAGTCTCGACCCACCGGCCACGACCCGCCGATGGCACTGGCGCCTGAACCCCACCCTACTGCACAACCCAATGATCAGAGATCATACCTCTCAAGCCATCACCGACTATTTCACATTGAACCAACACTCAGTCACAACACAGGGGATACTGTGGGCGGCGCATAAGGCAGTAATTCGAGGCACCCTAATAAGCCAAGCCACCCACCACAAGAAACAACGCCTAGCAAAATTAGAACATAACCTGAAAGAACTCCGCTCACTGGAAATCGCCTTCAAAACCCAACCCACTCCAGACTTAAACGTTAAAATACGCCAACTTCAGACAGCCATAAAAGACTTCATGTCCGCGGACACAGTCCGGGCCCTCCAATGGACCCGCCAGCTCTTTTACGAGAAGTCCAACAAAGCGGACACTTTACTTGCCCGTAAACTCAATCGCAGAGCCGCATGTAACGGATCACCTGGCACCCCGACTGGGTACCTCCGTTGAAAGATGCTCCTAGCGCTTCCAGAGGACTCCAAGCACTCCACCAGACACCATAACCACCGAACCAGAGAAGCATATGAATCCTCTCAAGCATATGAATGCTGTAGACAGTTGAATAGGAACCATACGAATAGGTTTACTCTCCTAGCAGTCAAACTGGAACAGCATACAATAAATCCTTCCCCCAATAATGAGACAACACTTCACTTTGAGGGTTAAAACAGGAACTCTCTGTACTGTCACATACAGTCTCTTTTATTCCCAATCCACAAACATAGTACAGCCCACAGGGCGTTACAAAACAACCAATCACATATCAGTTACATCCCACATATTCCCTCCCCTTATCCTGAGAGGAAACTCAATTACACATACAGTTAAAACATACTTTCTACCCAACTTTCATAACTCTAAAACCATACATCACATTCACATAAAATTACATATTCACAATCAATCCATTCAGGGGAACAACATATTAAAAAATGGCATGAATCAGACCAGGGGTTCAAAAGTTAGTAAAAAAGTCCTTTGTGACTAAATGAAGCATGGCTTTCTGGCCCAAACCAGTTTCAGAGTCTTCTATCCTGGAGAGTAATTCAATTATCTCCCAGGATAGACACAAGACTCCATTAAGCACATGGTTGCAAAAAGACACAAAACACTTTAAAATACATAAAGTCACATTTACACATAACACACAGACATTTCACATATCCCCAGATAGCTGGGATCTGAGTGCACATTATTAGATGAATGGCACTCAGATCACACAAATAAGCCTTTCTGCAGGGGAAATAAACGGTTTAACCTGCAGGGCCATAGTCCAAAGGGAGGAGGCGAGCAACCAGGCTTCTCCAGTTCACAGTGGCGAGGTTGGTTTCGCCACACTTCTCCCCTTTACCAACTAGACTAACAGGGTATCTGACCTCCTGCCTGTCAGTGCCCTGGTTAGTCCAGCAACCCACCCACAAAACAGAAACAGCAGTACAGCCCACCCACAATAACTGGTTACTACACCTGGGTAGAGGAAAACTTTGTCCATGTCCAGGTGCCTCACCACGACTGTGTGGGCAACTGTTAGGCTGCCTTGGTGGGTTGCTAAGTGGGCAGAGACCAGCGGTACTCTGCCCTGATGCCAGTGCTACCACGGAAGTAGCCTGGTGGGAGCCCGGTTGTGGGAGGGAGAGACCGACTGTCTCCCCTCTGGATACACCGCTCTGTGGCTGGGGAACAGGACCGACTGTCCCTACCCCTTGTGCTGTAAGTGCAGAGACTACAGTCCCATCTGCACTGTTGGGGGTGTAACATCTCCCCTTGCTGGGTTAGGCTGCCGCTGGAGAGAGGGTGTAACAAGCTCCTCTCTCTGAACTGTAAACTGCCGCTGGGGAGAGGGGGTATCAGGCTCCTCTCCCTGACACTCTCTCTGCTGGTGGAGAGGGGGACCAGCTGTCTCCCTTTCATTATTTTGTCCTGTGGTTGGGGTGCGAGACTGACGGTCTCTGCTCCCTGCAGGACACTCTGCCGCTGGGGAGGAAGGACGGCACCTTCAGCTCCCTGGGGTACACACTGCCGCTGGGGAGAAAGGACTGCACCTTCAGCTCCCTGGGGTACACACTGCCACTGGGGAGGAAGGACTGCACCTTCAGCTCCCTGGGGTGCACACTGCCGCTGGGGAGGAAGGACTGCACCTTCAGCTCCCTGGGGTACATACTGCCGCTGGAGATCTGGGCCGACCACCCAGCATCCCTGTAGGGCCGGTTGAGAGACCGCCGTCCCATCTCCCCCTGCCATCTGTGGGTCTGCCCAGGACCAGTCTGTGAGGTCCCTCAACATTTGCGAGTAAGGACCACCTGCTTCCGCACCTGGCAACTCCGGCTGCTGCTGGGGATCTGGGCCGGTCCCATCTCCACATGCCTGTTGTGGTTCCTCACAGGACCAGTCTATGAGGACCCCTACTTCGGGTTCCTGCGGCCGCCTCAGGGAGAGACGGCTAGCCTCCTCGGATGCAACCTCTACTCGGCTGCTGTAACACTCCTTCCGCTGAGCATACTCTTTCGCCAGCCGGAATTCTCGGGCCAGCCTTGTGTTTCGCTCGGCCGTGACCTGGTTCCAGATCACCCGGCGTACCTCCATGGGTAAATCATCCCCATACTGGCCCACTCGCTGCCTCACCTCGGCCATCCAATCATCGCCAGAGCCTTCCATACTTGTCTGCTCCAAGTCGCTGGATACCTCTGCTCCCAGGGTCGCTGCACGTGTGCTAGCGTTGCCCTCAATTTGTAAATCCAAATGAACTGTGTCTCTGAGCTGCTTTACCTCGCACTAGGACGCCATCCCACCGCTTGCCACCAATGTAACGGATCGCCTGGCACCCCGACTGGGTACCTCCGTTAAAGGATGCTCCTAGCGCTTCCTGAGGACTCCAAACACTGCAGCAGACACCACAACCACTGAACCGGAGAAGCATATGAATCCTCTCAAGCATATGAATGCTGTAGACAGTTGAATAGGAACCATACGAATAGGTTTACTCTCCTAGCAGTCAAACTGGAACAGCATACAATAAATCCTTCCCCAATAATGAGACGACACTTCACTTTGAGGGTTAAAACAGGAACTCTCTGTACTGTCACATACAGTCTCTTTTATTCCCAAATCACAAACATAGTACAGCCCACAGGGCGTTACAAAACAACCAATCACATATCAGTTACATCCCACATATTCCCACCCCTTATCCTGAGAGGAAACTCAATTACACATACAGTTAAAACATACTTTCTACCCAACTTTCATAACTCTAAAACCATACATCACATTCACATAAAATTACATATACACAATCAATCCATTCAGGGGAACAACATATTCAAAAATGGCACAAATCAGACAAGGGGTTCAAAAGTTAGTAAAAAGTCCTTTGTGACTAAATGAAGCATGGCTTTCTGGCCCAAACTAGTTTCAGAGTCTTCTATCCTGGAGATAAGTAATTCAATTATCTCCCAGGACAGACACAAGACTCCATTAAGCACATGGCTGCAAAAAGACACAAAACACTTTAAAATACATAAAGTCACATTTACACATAACACACAGACATTTCACATATCCCCAGATAGCTGGGATCTGAGTTCACATTATTAGATGAATGGCACTCAGATCACACAAATAAGCCTTTCTGCAGGGGAAATAAACAGTTTAACCTGCAGGGCCATAGTCCAAAGGGAGCAGGCGAGCAACCAGGCTTCTCCAGTTCACAGTGGCGAGGTTGGTTTCGCCACACCGCACATAAAAGAATCACCAAAATCCACTCTAGAGAGGGACAGCTGCAGGACTCACCAGACCAAATAGGAAAGATATTTCAAGAATACTTCTCGGAGCTCTATGATCATAGCCCCCAACACAGACGAGACCCCGCACAACTAACCACCAAAATCAATGAATACCTCGACTCTATCACCCTACCCTCACTAACACCCGAAGGGGCTAGCCGACTGTCCGAAGAAATTACTATAGACGAAATAGCAAAAGCACTCAAAACACTAAAACCAAACAAATGCCCGGGCCCAGTCGGATTCTCGGGGTTATATTACAAAACCTTTGTGTCGACCCTACTCCCGCAACTAAGCAAACTCTACAACTCACTCCTGCAGGGGGACCCCCTGCCCCCTGATATGCTGCAGGCGAACATCTGCCTCCTGCCGAAACCTGGCAAGACCCACCTCGATCCCGGACATTACAGACCAATATCCCTACTAAACGTAGACGTCAAACTATTCACGAAGGTGATGGCGGAAAGACTTAACCCCCTCCTTCCTCGACTTATCCACCCAGACCAAGTAGGCTTTATCCCACACAGACAAGCCAGTGATAACACCAGGCGCACCTTCGACCTTATCTGGTACACCAACCGCAGACGCATACCGACCTTGCTAATATCCCTAGACGCCGAAAAGGCATTTGACAGATTGCTATGGCCCTTTCTTTTCGCAACCTTACAGAAATTCGGCTTCCCACCACCCTTCCTGGACGCACTGACGACCCTCTACTCCTCCCCCACGGCCACTCTTCTCCTACAATCGACGATAGCCCCTTCCTTCCAAATTAAGAATGGAACGCGACAAGGGTGCCCACTCTCCCCCATCCTTTTCGCCATCTCCCTTGAACCACTACTCCAAGTCCTGCGTAACCACAACGAGATCCAAGGAGTTCGAATTAGGGATGAAACTTATAAGATTGCGGCATATGCAGATGATGTACTTTTGTCAATAACAGACCCGCTGAACTCCCTGCCACCCCTGTCCATGGAGCTCACGAAATACGCCCAACTTTCGGGATACAAACTCAACCTAGGAAAAACCGAGGTCCTCCCAATCCAAGTAGATCAAACCACTCTCCAAAACCTCCAAAGGAGGCACCCGTTCACATATCAGACCACAGCCCTGAAATACCTAGGTATCACGCTCCCAGCGGACCTAAGACAAACCTACAGCTTAAACTACACACCCCTGTTAGCAACGGCCACACAAGACTTAGCAAACTGGAAAAACATGTCGATTTCATGGATCGGTCGAACGACCTCGATCAAAATGAACCTCCTCCCGAGGTTCCTATACCTCTTTCAGACCCTCCCAATACCGATCCTAGCCTCTGACTTTAAAAAACTTCAAACTCATATAGACAAGTTTATATGGGCTGGAAAAGAGCGCGTATAGCCCGACGCACACTGTACATACCAAATAGGCAGGGCGGACTAGGACTTCCCAACCTCACCCACTACTTCTACGCGGCACAAATAGCACAGACAATCCAACTCCACGCGGCCCCTGGCCTTAAGAGATGGGTAGACCTAGAACATAACATATTTGGTTCAGACTTTCCCTCTCTCTTCATCTGGCTCCCAAAAGACGCCAGGCCACCGACTCCCATCACCTCCCCAGCTATTCTCACCATGATAAACATTTGGGATAAAATCACCCAAAAACATGACCTTATCTCCCAGCCCTCCCCACTAATGCCCATCCTCCGGAACACTAAATTCACGCCAGGTATGCACCCGAAGGACTTCGTCTGTTATGAAGACAACGACTTGATCCGCATTCACCAATTTTACAAAAACCAAACCATCATACCCTTCGCGGAACTCCCCCAACAGACCCCCTTCATGGCTCGCGACCTCTTCCGTTACCTACAGATCCGCAGCTACATAGAAAAACCAGCCTTAGTGAAAGCGAGCAACTCCCCTCTCACACCGCTGGAAAAAGCGTGCAACACACATCCACTAGGCACGGGACAAATATCAATCTTATACTCCTTACTAAGCAGACAACCACGGGATGGATCCCTTTCCTACACTGCCACCTGGGAGAGAGACCTTGGCCCCATAGGGGACCAGAGCGACTGGGCAGACATATGGGAAGCTACAGCAACGGTATCGATATGCGTTAATCACAAAGAACAAGCATACAAAACCCTCCTCCGATGGTACGTCACCCCACTACGCCTGAAACAAATGAAACAATCAGATAATGATCTGTGCTGGAAGGGTTGCGGGAACAGAGGTACATACACTCACATGTGGTGGGAGTGCCCCCGGGTAACCACTCTTTGGCAACATATGGCGCGACTCGCCACACAGGCTCTACACACCACAATCCCGTTGGAACCTTGGCTGTGGCTCCTATCCAGACCACTTAAAAACACCCCAAGGGCACAAAACAAACTACTGGCCAAGCTAGCTTTGGCCACCAGACGAGCGATCGCGGAGAAATGGGGGAGCCCAGACATCCCGTCCACCACAATCATAAAACAGAAAATTAACGATGCCATGCAAATGGATAAACTAACTGCCTTAATACACGACACTACCAAACACTTCGACAAAATATGGGAGCCATGGATCTTCGAATTCCCCACCCTGCCAAACGTCCCATCAGGGGGGATTGACCAGGTGGGAGGGAGCACCCGAGGACCTCCAACACGGCCAACTGACCCAACCACACAGAGCGATGCTCGAACTCGTGCTAACACACCCCAGACCAGACCACACTGTCAAGCAGACCCCAGAGCACATCCAAAGTAGAGAAGACAAACAGTGTCACAGGTAAACAAACCACAATCCCACAATACTCTAGACACAAATAGCACCTCAGGAACAAACCAAACAGACCACACATCTTAGCACCGTTAGAGGCAGCCCACCAGTCATAGTGGGAGGCACTCGACCTGGGCAAAAACACTTGGCCCAACACTCCCCACCTTTCAACTATAACCCGAGGACGGGCACACACATAGACCATGGATAGAGCTATAGCCTACCCAAACGTATAACCACCCAACCCCAGAATACTCAACCCCACGGCATATCCCAGCCTGGAAAGGGGTCGCAACACATCTATAGGTCCACCAACAAATCTCATACGCCAGCCTCACGGAGTGACAGACCCCCCCCTTCCTGTACACACCCCAGATGGAGACTCACAAACACACACCACCTCCTATCTGGGAAACTAAACACACCACACACACAACAACACGTCACATAAACCAAACGTAACATACTTGAAACCACGGTAAACTGTTACGCGATGTAATATAGTTCACCCCACCCCAGGAGTTACATCCCGGAGCCCCCCTCCCACTAAATACAGAGTCAAACTAAAGCAATTTTAAACAGCAGCAGCAACCAGAACCACCGCACAATCAGGCACACCACTAGATCATAGCTCAAGCATCTTGCCAGCTATAGACAAAGTCAGCAAAAAACAGGAACTCTGTGTACCTGACCTTCTACCCAAGCCCCCCTAATTTGGGTACCCTACCCCGGCTACTATGTACAAGCAACGACGAAGAAACTCTATAAAAATAAGACCAGGAAGGCTACTGTGCCAGGCACACATGAGGTACAATGTTAACAGCAGGCTCAACCTTGTTTTGTTAACTGCCAATGATGTACAATATGACGGTCATATTAATCCATGTCAATGTATGATACTCTGTCATAACAATAATCACAAGGACGACTGGTCCTAAAACCCTGTTACCCTCCTCCCCCCACCCCTTCTTCCTTTCTGTACCCCTATAAACCCCTTTTTATGACTTGAAAACAATAAAAATCTTGAATTTAAAAAAAAAAAAAAATAACAATTTATTGAGTATCCATTAAAAGATCAATGTTTCAGTCCCAGCAGGGACTTTCATCGGGATCAGACTATTGCAAATGGTATGCCTTCAAGGGGGTAATTCTCATTCCTGGGCTACAATATGCTCTCAAAGGCAACGTAACCAATCTGGCGAATTTAAATGTGAAAAAAACGGAAAAATTTAACATGCTATATTTGACCCTGTAACTTCCCAAAACACCATAAAACCTGGTACTATTTGACAACTGAGACATCGTTGAATACAAATATGTGTATATTTTTGCAGTAAAAGCAAACAGTATTATGACACTCACAGTTAGAATATAATCCTAGAAGGAGGAGCATAACTGAGTAAAATACAAAAAGGCTTTATTACACAAAAAACACATGTATAACAGGTATCAGCATAGATATTAAAGAATTGGAAATGTTAAAACATCTCTATCCAATATGCAAACAATAATTGCAGATAAAGTCAAAATAGGGAAAAAAACAGTATTGATCAAAAAATGATCCAATTAAAGTGGTATAACCACCAATTCAGAGCAACAGTACATTAGATACCTGTATATACTGATAAACAAAAAGATACATACCAAGAACAACAGGAAATATGAGAGGAGGGTACAGACATGAAATACAAAAAATAGCCCAGGGCTAACAACACTTCTTAATTTCTCAAATTTTTTTATATTCTATTCATATTAAATTATGTTTCATAGCTAAATATTTGATGATAAATGAAAGCCCTATTTCTCCTGTATAAAATTATATATAATAAGTGTGGGTGCATTACAGGTGAATTACAGTTGAACAGACATATAGTCAAATTCCAAGTTTTGTTTACGTTTTATTTTGATCAAAACGTGTACATCTGGCTCAGTCCTTAAGGGGTTAAACCAAAACCAAATAACCATAAAATCATTTCAAGGCTACGCCCCTGAAAGCCAGGAGCCATATGTATATATTTCCAATCAAATAAACCAAATCCACCCTCCTGTGATGCCCAGGAGGGTGACTTATATCCCAACACCACCGAGCTTCTGGGCAACCAAACTCGATAGCCCCCCAGAGCCCACCGCCATCACCACCATAGGCAATTAAATATTACCAAACCTTTGACGGACAAATGAATTGCATCGCTCCTAGAGAAACCTGCGCAACTGCCCTTAATAACTATGTGCCTGTACGAACGCATCCCAGACATGGGCAAAAACTTTTCCAGCGCTCTGTTTAATTTTCTCCGCACCCTTTCCAATGGTTTCAAATAGCTTACTTTCCGACAGCAATGCCTTGCTATAATTCTGACCAAATAAAACGAACTTCTGAAAAATTTTGTGCTACAATAACCAGATCCTTCTTAATCTCTTGCAACAAATTCACCAATTTTGTAGCTCCAATGTCGTTGATACCTCCTTAATTCACTACTATTAAATCTGTATAGTGAAAAATTGCTAAACATTGTTGAACAAGATTTCCAATAACTGTGACCACCTAGCACCACAAGTGCCTTTCCAAAATATTTTCAACCTAAGTGCTCTTCAAACCCAGATTCTCGCCACATGTAACCACTTTGCACCACAGGTGCCTTTCCAAAATATTTTAACTGAAGTGCTCTTCATACGCTCCTGTGCCCTCTTCAAGGCCCAAACTACAAACGAGTGACTATTAACCCTGACAGACACACACTCTCATATACACTGACAAACAATGACATACACACACTCACTGATTTGACACACTGATAGCATCAGACATACACTTACTCGAAAACACACTCACTGACAGACGCACGCACTGACAGACGCACTCACTGACTGACAGACACACGCACTGATTGATCGACACATACACACTGACTGACCGACACACACACATTCACTGACAGACACACACACTCATTCAAATTCACTGACAGACACACACACTCACTCACATTCACTGACACACACATGTTTTTTGACGCCCCCTGGAAATAGCCGCCCAAGGCAAATGCCTTGTTGCCTCAAGGTACACATACACCTGGGTTAATTACTAAATTAAAATTGTCTGACTGTTTGAGATTTCCCCTGTCACCCAGTTGCTGTGACAGACTGTGCTCAGATATCTCAGCATGAATCATGAGGGCAACCCTTGTATCTAGTATTGACCACAATATGTACTGGGATATTTTGATAAAACAAGAATTTTGCCATTGTAACCAGGGGAACTCAAACCCAGGGATAAAATAGGACAATAATAGGGATACCCCAAATTAGCAGTCCCTAACATGGAGCCTATGGCGGGCAAGGAATAAAAAGAATAGTAGTCAATAAACAGGCCAATGGCAGGAAACTGAGAATAAACTAACAGAGAAGCCAAGGTCTAGTGCCAAAACAGCAGTATTCAAGGAAGTAAAATCGGGTCAAAGGGGAACCACAACAGGGTGCCAGGCTACAGAAGAGAGGTTTATACACTGTTGGTTTGCATCATTCCTGTACACCCAAAAGGTCAGCAAATAACAGGGCACATGTGACACAGTAATTTGGGTGCATGAATAATGCAGCTGATCTCTATTATAAAAGACTAAATGAGCATAGGGGCATCTAAAATGTCACCAGGACGCATTGCTTGAGAGCCGCAGAGACAGGTCTAGCCTGCAGGTATAATCCCTCCTTGGATATGAGGTCACGTTTTTGCAATCTCCTTTAAAGAAAAATGTTAACAATAAGAAATAAATGTGGTGGTGAGCCACAAAATTAAAAAGGGGAATTGAAGATTATCGCTATGACAAAAAGCTAAACAAAATTAAATCTGTTTATATAAAAAGCTCTTCAGAGGGAACATGATGACATCATTTAAAGAGGCATTTACTTTCTTTACTCAAACCTCCAAGCAGCAAAGAAATGGTTAACAAAATGAGTAAAAAAAACACCCAATCACAATACAAATATCAATCACAAATGGTCAAGAAGCTCCTCCCACTTCCCAGGTGAGTCTATTCTAATTACACAGCTAATTTAGTTTATTGATTTTTGCTGTTCATATTATAAATTATTCCTTTTATGATTAAAACTTTACAGGTTTGTTTATCCCCTTTATTATTTTATGTATTTTTTTTTTTCCATCAGTTCCCTAATTCCAACCATTATGGCTTAAGGGATTCCTTTTCTAGATTACCAGAGAGATCTTTCACTTTTACTCTCTCTGGACTGCAGTTTTCCCCTCTGCTTGTTTACTCCTTCCCACTGATTTTACTGCACACAGTGGTGGGCTGCACCTAGTGCTTCATGGCCCGCCCGCTTTGATTTCACTTCACAAACGCCGTTTGTTTGCCGCCCTTTCCCTTCCTTTTTCTGAGGGGCTGACGGCCATTTTCGAAACAATGCTCCGTGTTTTCCTGCCTTTTTTCAGCTACACCTTAACGGTCAAACTGTGCATTCCGGATCTCCGTTCTACTTACCTTTATTACCATTGTCTCCTAGAGCCAAGGTAAGTTTTTTCTTCCTTTGTATTTCGGAAATCTTATCTTTGGGTAGTAGTTCTACTAGAACCTATACTCACTACTCTACTTTTTTCTTTACAGATTACCTGGATCTCCCTTATACTCCCTCAGTTAAGTCACCATCCCTATTGATTTTCTTGTATAATACCAAACTGCCCTAGTTAATTAACCCCTTAAGGACGGCGGGCGTGCTATGTCGTCCTTGGGGACCCGGCTCTAAACGCCGATCGCGGTGTGGGGACTCACCTGGCAGCCCAGGGAGTCACTTCCGTCCACTCCAGCCCCCCTGGGACATGTGATCGCGAGGTCCTTGCGAGGACCTTGCGATCACATTGATGGCATAGCCGTCCAAGGCAGTGCCAGCAGGGGGAGTGCCTGGAAAATGTAATGATATATATATATATATATATATATATATATATATATATATAAATATCAAAGTACACGTAGAATGATATTGATTAAATATATATATAATTATCATTATATATATTTATATATAATAAAATAAATATATGTAAATACATAAAAAACTAAAATTAAAAAATAATAAAAAATAAAAAAGTAAAATATATATATATATATGTTTAATTTCGTTCTAATTGTATTTAAAAATTTATATATATTGATATCAAAAGACACGTAGAACGAAATAATATATATATCTATATACATAAGAATATACGTATATATCACTATACTATGTATATACCTATACATAAATAAAAAAGAAATTTAAAATTATATATATATATATATACACACACGTATATATTATAATTCTACGTATATATTTATGTAATAATTTTACATAATTAGGTCATTTTATTAATTACAATTTGCATGAACTGCCTGACAACTGAGGCCGAAAGTCCAGGGAATTTAATTTGATAGCACTATATTTAACCCTGAAACTTTCCAAGACACCATAAAACCTTTACATGGGGGGTACTGTTTTACTCGGAACACTTCGCTGAACACAAATATTAGTGTTTCAAAACTGTAAAATGTATTACAACGATGATCTCGTCAGTGAAAGTGATTTTTTTTGCATTTTTCACACACAATTGTCACTTACATTTACACACAGACAATATAATTGTTGTGATAGGTTTTAATGTTTTGAAACACTAATATTTGTGTTCAGCAAAGTATCCTGAGTATAACAGTACCCCACATGTACAGGTTTTATGGTGTTTTCAAAAGTTACAGAGTCAAATATAAGGCTTGCATTTCATTTTTTTCACACTGAAATTCGCCGGGTTGCCTTTGAGACCGTATGGTAGCCCAGGAATGAAAATTACCCCCATGATGGCATACCATTTGCAATAGTAGACAGCCCAAGGTATTGCAAATGTGGTATGTCCAGTCTTTTTTAGTAGCCACTTAGTCACAAACACTGGCCGAAATTGGTGTTCAAATTAGTTTTTTTGCATTTTTCACACACAAACAAAAATTAACACTAACTTTGGCTAGTGTTTGTGACCAAGTGGCTACTAAAAAGGAGGGGGGATCCTTTCTGCCTTCCCTGGTGGTCCTAGTGGTGAGAGTGAACTCTAGCCTGCGGGGCTAGAGTTCACTCTCACGAGATCTGAGTGTTGCCGCGGTAACCGCGACAACGTTCAGATCTCGCCAGAGGAAGCCGGCGGGGCTGTTGGCAAGAGCTCCCCGGGTCCTCTCCTGCCTCCCTCCCTACCTGTGGGTCGGTGGGGAGGGAGGCTGAGAGCAGAGCCGGCGCTCAGATAGCGCCGGCTCTGCATGAGCCGACAGGGGGGATCCTGAGATCTCCCCTGTCTCAATACATAGGTGTGCCGCGGGGATTAGGGTGTGCCCAGGCCTCTGATCCATGCTGTGGGTGACCTCCACTATAATTTGTTTTTGCCTCTGAAGTGGGTGACCCACACTTGCCTCTATTACAATTTTTTACATTAAACTCAATGTTTTGTCTGTTTATTTAAGTGCTATTTACTGGGTGACCCCAATTTTTACTGTACTAACTGGTATATGTTGTGGCTGACCCCACATTAAGTTGTCTAATAGTGGCTGACCCCACTTCAGAATTTCTTATACCTCTGGGTAAATCCCATGTATTTTCAGTTTGGCTGAACCCCAAGTGAACCCTGAACTTCTTCCTGTATGTATATATATATATATATATATAGTGTTCAAGTAGAGATTGTAGCCATATTAGTCCAGTGATGTAGATGTAAAAAACAGATACAATTCTTATTTTGTAATACCTTTTTTATTGGACTAAGAATTTTTTAATGACAAGCTTTCGGGAGAACCTCCCTTTCTCAAAAAATGCTTCAGACTTGAGAAAGGGAGGTTCTCCCGAAAGCTTGTCATTAAAAAATTCTGTTAGTCCAATAAAAAAGGCCCGACAGGAGAATTCCATCCCCTGGTCATTCAGGAACATCTACAGTTGGTGGCTTGGACTGTTTCAGGGGATCTTGGTACAACTTTATGCAAAACTGTCTTTGCTACTATGTCTGTTCGCTTTTCCATTTCCCGTAAAACTAAGACTCTTTCATCCTCTGTTTTTTTATCAGTATTTTCCAGATAGGTGTCAGGATTACTGTATGATCCAGCATGTAGAATTGTGTAACACAGGTGACTGATAGGTAACGTATTACCGGGCCTTAGAATGGCCGGGCTAACGTACCAAAGAGTCATGAATAGCCGAGGTCAGGGGACACAGAAAGGGACACAACGATAAAGGAAAGCCAGAGATCAGGGATGCCAGAAAACAGGGAAGTCAAAATCAATGCCAAAGTCAATAAACCAGAATAACCAGAATCAATAACACGCTCTCGGACAACCACTAGGGAAACCACGACAGGGCAATGAGTGTCAGGTATAATGAGGTTTAAATATCTGTTCAAATCTTCTGATTGGCCGAAATTGGCCTTTGACCCCAAAATGTGCGAGCGCACGTCCATTAACATGCTGCAAGTGTCAGTCATGCAGACGCACGGCCGCTGAAAGACCGAAATGTGAGGAAGAATATGTTACAATAGGCCCTTTCTCTGTGTGGCTCGTTGCTTACAGCAATATATTTCTCATACTACCCCACTTCGTGCTCCTACGGGTCCCCTCTTAGTTTCATATGTTCGACCCCACAAGCCTGTGTCCTGCTCCACAATTGCTCGTTGGATCAAATGGCTTCTCCACCTTGCTGGAATCGACACTTCCTTTGGAGCACATTCGGTTTAAGGTGCTGCTGCCTCCTCAGCCCTTTTAGCAGGAGGATCTCTTTGTGACATTTTAACCTCTGCCGACTGGTCTAGAGAATCTACATCCCGTACCTTTTATTTTCACCCATCTTCTCATGTTTTTTTCCACTTATTTCCAGGCGTTAAAATAGCAAATATGAAGCTTCCTGTCTTGCCATAAAATAAGGGATTATTCTAGTGTTAATGACCGAATAATCTAAATTTTATTAAAGACAGGAGGCATATATTTTCCCACCACTTTCCCTCCCTTCTTTCCTATACAGCTTATCTTCATAGCTCAATCTCTGATGGACTTTGATTACCTTATTTCAGTTTATACTAGTAACCCTAATTACTAAATGTTATCCAATTATACATACTGACTCTCAAGGATGTTTGACGGCATAATAACTTATTTTAGTTGCATTATACTTGTTTGCAACGGTTATTTTATACCATACTTTCACAAGTTTCTCTGTTGTTTTTTTTTTTTTTTATCTAGTGTGAAACATCGCTTACTACTTCTGGACATCTTTGGATTACCAAGCTACACCCCTGTTTGCATGGTTGAGGACATTGTTTTTCTCTGTTTACCTGATTTACTTGTCATTGCGTTTACATGGTTGACTTCTACTGGTGTGGCTGCATCAAGAAAGAGGAAGTGGGAGGAGCGTCTTGGCCCTTTGTGATTGATATTTGTGTTGTGATTGGTTGTTTTTTACTCATTTTGTTAACCATTTCTTTGCTGCTGGGAGGTTTGAGTAAAGAAAGTAAAGCAAATATTCACCTCTTGTCTTTAATAAAATGTAGATTATTCGGTCATTAACACTAGAATAATCCCTAATTAAAACTCACCGGCGCTGGCCCTGGCCAGGAAAATTCAGCGACCCCATGCAGAGCGTGGAGACGCTGAACGGCAGTGCTGCCTACTATGCAGCTCTTCCCAGGGAGCACCACCAGTGGCCATCTGAGGAGTGGCCACTTAGAGGTGTCCTTAGGGACAATGTAAACACTGCCTTTTCTCTGAATAAAATGCCTGCATATAATGATTGTATTCACCAGAACAACTAAATTAAGCTGTAGTTGTTCTGGTGACTATAGTGTCCCTTTAAATTTGTATCTATTTTACAAAGCTTCCCCATGGTTGTGATTCTCCTAATGTATCTTTCATGACATGTTATGCTGTATAACAATTTATGGCTCAATGCCCTATGAAAGACTTTCACAATGGGAGTCCTGCTGAAATTGCATTCAATTACAATTTATATTATACATGCATCACTATTTAGGTGTGAGTTGTGTGCTGTGCAATGGTTTAGAGAGGACTTGATTCAAGCATGTTTTAAACCATTAATTCTCTAACAATAAAAACTCCCCACAGAGGGTGAGATTTATCAAAGCAAACAAAAGGCCTCTCAACATTTAGCATTTAGCACCCAGAATAGCACCTGTTTGTCTTTAAAAAAAATCATACCAATCAGTCCCCCTGGTCTTTTCAACTGTTTTCTGGGTTAAAGGAACATTGTCAGGAATACATTACGTTGTAGTGGTTCTGGTGACTATAGTGCCCCTTTAAGCCTCTTTTCAGGGAACATTATAGAATTGGGTTCACTAAAATTCTCTGTTTGTTATTAAAATTCCATACTTGCCTATGCAAGATTTGTCCTGAGCTTTCAAAACTGATCCTAGACACATGAGACTTTTCCACAGTGTGTATTAACATATAAATGAATATTGATGTAATTTTTTAATCTGCACTAGTATAAAAATTATCAGCAAAACATTAAAGGAACACTCCAAGCACCAAAACCACTACAAAGCACTGTAATATTATGTTATCCGGGAGTGCTCAAGTGATTCCCCAATCTAAGTGAGCAAACCATTTTAGAATGTTTTGATTTCTTACTTAGGGTCTGCCTGTAGAGAGAGGAAGCATTCTGTCTATGCAAAGCCGGGTGGTATAGGGCTTAGATTATTGGCTCAGGGCAATCAGCCTTAAGGCTCTCAACCAATGAGTTAGCCCTGCATTGCAGTCTGCAGAAAAACTAACAAAAGCTCCTAAACAGGCTCTTGTGGCCTTCTCTAGGCTGTAGTGGAGGCAGGGGCCGGCTCCTGGTTTGATTAAGAAATCAAACCGCTGTAGTGGATATGGTGTTTGGAATGTTCCTTTATTATTATTTACATCTAATCTTGAGTTATATATACAAACATGGTATCAGAAGAAAGCTCTATATGTCACTTAGAGAACCATATACTGTAATGATATATGTATTCTTAATGAGAATACATGAAATAAAAGTGGAAATAAATACACACATAGCAAAAGTGTCAGAACCGCTTCAGGCACTGACATACAGAATCTCAGAAACACCTCAGCTACTAAGAAACTGATATTTACATTTCACTAATCAAAATGCATTAACATATATACAGTGTTATTTGCTAAAGTTAGGATTCGCAAGTGAATTAACATTTTGTAGACTAAAAGAGACAAACTAAAAACATAGCTGACTTGGAGACTTTTTCAAGTTCAGTTATTTTGGCCTCACTTGAAAATTCACTTAGGTTTCCTGATAATTCTCATTTTAGCAAACAGCCCCTACATTCAGTAAACTTTGAAAAGAATCAAATGAAAAATCATATACCAAAATCTAATCCATATTAGCAGAGGCGTACCTAGGTTGCTTGGCACCTGGGGTGGAAATGCATTTTGGCTACCCCATGACCCCATTCATACATGTATATGTATGTACATATTGATATGTATTTACATTCATATACACACATATCACATATACACAGACATGTTATATGTATATCAACAGACATACATGTATATGTATATCAACAGACATGTTGATATACATATACACAGACTCCTGCACAAACACAGACTTTAATCACACACATGCACATACATACATTTGTTACCGGAGGAATAACAGAAACAAACCGCAGAAGCCACACATAGAGATATGGACACAAGTCTTCAGGAAGTAACAGGTCTTTTATTTACACACCGATCGGGTCTCACACTGAACTTGTGTTCAAAAGGTATGAGCCCAGAGCATAGTTTGCACAGGCTATTTATTAACAATAACTCCTCCCATTCATAGCTCCACTCACACATACCCTTAGACCAATCGGTGAACAGGATATTCAGGATCACCTAATATGGGCAGACCGTATGACTCCTTTTAAGGACAAAGGAATGTGACTACAGTTGATGCACATGCTCAGTACATTGATGACAGTATCTTAGCTACATGTAACTAACTAACAGATACAATAAACACCTGTACTTGTATATGCCACATGGAGATTTCAGGCCTACTAAATTTTGAACCATGTTGAAATCCCATCACACATTCATATACACATAAAAATTCATACACACACAGACTCACATAGACTAATGCATAATTCATGCATAGACTCACACATTAATGTACAGAAACACAGATTTATGTACACAGACAGATTCATACACACACATTCATATACACACATAGACACTTACATTCATTTACACACACATATTTTTTTTTTTTATTACTTATTCATTTTAACACAGCCTCCCTTTTCTTACCTTAAAGGACCACTCTAGGCACAAAGACCACTTCAGCTTAATGAAGTGGTCTGGGTGCCAGGTCCCTCTAAGGTTAACCCATTTTTTTTATAAACATAGCAGTTTCAGAGAAACTGCTATGTTTATAAATGGGTTAATCCAGCCCTCAAAGCCTCTAGTGGCTGTCTCATTGACAGCCGCTAGAGGCGCTTGCGTGCTTCTCACTGTGAAAATCACAGTGAGAGCACGCAAGTGTCCATAGGAAAGCATTGCAAATGCTTTCCTATGCGACCTGCTGAATGCGCGCGCAGCTCTTGCCGCGCGTGTGCATTCAGCCAAATGGGAGGAACGGAGGAGGAGAGCTTCCCGCCCAGCGCTGGAAAAAGGTAAGATTTAACCCCTTTCCCCTTTCCAGAGCTGGGCGGGAGGGGGTCCCTGAGGGTGGGGGCACCCTCAGGGCACTATAGTGCCAGGAAAACGAGTATGTTTTCCTGGCACTATAGTGGTCCTTTAATAGGGACTCCGTAAGCACCCAGACTACTTAATCTCAATGAAGTGGTCTGAGTGCCATGCCCCTCAAGTTTTATCTGCAGGAAAGGCAATGTTTACATTGCAGGGTTTAAATGCCTCCAGTAGCTGTCACTCTGACATCCACGTGTCATAATTCTAACAAAATAGCCAAGTGTGTTTTGCCGTGCATGTGCCCTAGCTTCCCAGTACTTTCTTATGAGCAAGCATTGGATTGGCTGAGATTGTCGGAGACTGGCACCGAGGTCAGAAAGATAAGTAAAATTCACCTTTTATTCCCTGATATGGAAGACAACATTAATACAGGTAACTAGAAACTACAGTATTAGGAATTAGCACATTTTTCAAGATCAGCTATTTGGTCCTGCATTATTTAATTTTGGAATGCCATTCACTACAATTCTAAGTCTAGTGAGTATTCATATTTTGTTACTCAGTTTTGTTTGCTATAAATGGTAAATTTTTCACTTTCCCTGCAGACTATTTTTTTTTAACAGTTTTACGTGTCTATTTTTGTTCTTTTTTTGGGCTATTGTGACTCAGAGTATAAAATTTGCCCAATTCACTACAAGATTACGCAAACATTGCTATTTACTAAAGTGAGAATTGTGAGGAATTAAAAGTGAATATCAAATTTATGGCCCATGTAGAAAAAAAAGTGGAAAAAGTCTCCAGGCCGGGTGTACTTGCAGTTTCGCTACTTTGGCTTTCAGTTTAAAATTCACTTCAAATTCCCAGCAATTCTTACCTCAGTTAATAAACATGAAATGAAAAAACAAATTCTAGATGTATTCCATGACTTCCTTTACTACAACAATGGTGTATCATATCTTTTTTTTTGCTAGCTAATCAAAGCTGAAGTTATTTTTATTTGGTTATTTAATTATTTAACTCTAGTTTCAAGATAATATTAACAGAAAAAAAAACCCTAACATTAGTATTGCAGAAAATGGGGCTGCAGTGAACGGATAAAGGGAATTTAAGCTTTTAGGGAAACTAATAGGAGCCATTTTTTTCAATCCCCAGCTGCTCTGTTTGTTACTAGTTCCTCACTATCCCCAGTTTAGTGAAAGACAGGAAGTTGCTGCACAGACTGGCCGCATCCAATCACATACTGGCAACCGAGAAGAAGGCGGTGCTGAACTTGATTGACAGCGATTTTAGCCAATGGCAGCGCAGGGAGTAAGCCAGGCGCTCAGTATGAGGAAGTGACCAGCACTTTGTATATGTCTCCTGTTTGTGTATAGTCCAGCTGGTTACCTGGCTCACAGTCTGCTACAGGACATCCATCCCCAGGTAAGTCCGGTCCCATTATCCCCCACTGGGGCATGGTGTGATTACAGTGCAGTGGGCCAGGGCTTGGGCTGCACTCTGGGACTACCCCACTCTTGCTGGGACTTGCTCAGCCCCTATGATCTTACTGGGTCACACTGTATTTACCTATCAGCCAGCTCGTCCATCTGGCTGCCTGAGCATGATAGGGAATGGAGTCCATAACAGTGACTGGCCTGCAGGAGAGCCCTCGCTAGTAGACAGGATGTCTGCTCAGTTTCACTTACTGTTTGTGCTTGGCACGATTAGTTTCTATTTCTCCTAGTGACGGTGACAGCTTTGCTGGGTGTGATTGTCCTGCTCATGGACTTATTGTTGAGTTTTGGTTATCTCTTCTTATTAACCCCTTAAGGACCAAACTTCTGGAATAAAAGGGAATCATGACCTGTCACACATCATGTGTCCTTAAGGGGTTAAAGTTACATTCACAGGCCTTGGTGACTCCCCAAAGTGTGTGGTTTTTTTTTTTTGGTTTTTTTTAAAATTTATTTATTTTTATTTTTATATATATATATATATATCTATATCTCATTTTTTATCATAACCTGAGAAATGGGGAAAACACAGGGTTTAGTACTATTTCACATTCTTCTCAGACTTGAACCAATACCCTTATTCGTATGGGTGCAGGGGATCTCTCCTCCCTCACACAAAACTATATGATGTAACTATTAGGATCATGTTTTCCTGTTTAGGAAGAATTAAAATAAATAACTTTTTTTTTATTTTTTTAAATGTATGCATGTTTGTTTTCTCCTTAAGTGGGGCTGGGATTATTATGACATGCCCTTCTATATTCTTGGAGAATAGCTGGTTTGACAATATCCCAATGTTTCTAGATAGAAAAGGTTTTTGTTACACTTGTCAGTGTGTTTGCCAGTCATCGTTGGTTTTAGATCATGCATAAGAGGAAAGTGTAATACTCTGGCTAGAAACATTTGTAAAGAGCAGTACAACCAGTTTATTTTTTATTTTTTTTCCCAGAAGACCTCAGTGGTGCAAATACTTTATTCTCTACTTATTTTCTTATATGCAACTCATTGATCGCTTTGGTTCATTAGCATAATATTCTTTTAAACAGCCTAAAGGATTTATTGATATCATAAAGCAAGTAGTGATAGGGAATGTGTGGTGTCTTGGGGTTTTTTTTTTGCTCATTTGATACAATCTGGTATTTATGCATTAGTTAAGGTTAAAGCTGGCATCTTAAATTATCACACTTATTCACTAAAGTGAGAATTTAAAGGGAATTACAAAATGTAAGACCAAAGGAGCTGAACTGCAAGTATGGCTAACTTAGCAAATCTGTCTACTTTTATCTTAAATTTGAAATTCACTTTGAATTTTCACTTTAGTGTTTTTTAATTTGTTTTTTAAAGGTTTAGAACCTCTTAGAATATTTAACCTTCTTTTGAGAAAGTTATATTCCAAGCAATATCAAATGTTTGGTACTCCGAATGTAAACTTTTCAAATGGCCCACTCTTAGTTTATTCCACTGTCTATGTTTAATGTATGGGAGTTCTAATTGTAAAGCTCCCTTTTTGTAATGTTTGTAAACCATTAGTGTACCAGTACAAACTTGCAAGCTGCTGTAAAATTAAACCGTTTAATTATTATGCCAATATTCACCCTTTGGCAGGGACAGCCAACACCTTAACAGGTTGTATTCATTTTGGTATTACTCAACTGATAGTTTTAGGGTGATTCGCTTAACTGAGAATATTTGGAGATCTGCAAATTTTACAAACGGAATCTTTAACAAAATTCTAAAAACTTGGACTTCGAGTAGACGGAATTCTGCAACTCTGCTGTTTTTTTCCAATTTAGATATTTTTGCCTAGAATTTGTTTTATTTTTCAGTGTCTGCCTTACTGAATTTGCTTGCCAGGAAACTGTATGGAACTCATCAAAAAATTTAAAAATGTAGACCAAAATAGGCAAAAAATTATAAATTAAATTTCAACTTTTATTTTAGTCTAAATGTGAATTCCCTTTTGTTAATTCTTCAATATTTTTGTCTTACTGATTACCAGTGATAGGGAAACACAAATTTCTAGGACAGAATATCTGTGCAAGAAATAAATAAAATTGCTGTTCCTTTTTAGGTTTATTGTAATTTACAATTTAGTGACTAACCTTCTTTGTGAAGCTATACATTCCTTGATAATCAGGCGCATACTAGCTGAGCACTTTGAGAGCTGTCAGTCCACAAAAGTTGCAATTCTGCAGGGGTGTTATAAACTGTTTCATGTTTATTCATGCAAGCCAGAGGAAAATCCTACAGTTTATTAAACAGCAAGCAAAAACCAATCCATGTTTGCACGCATGCAATAATTTTGCCTGATTATATAATCTTGTCAAAGTTTTTAGTGTTTATTGCTTTAGGTCCAATCATGTTGAAACTTGCTGAATATGATTAAACCGTTCTCAAGACGAAGCCATGCATTAGAAAAGGACTCTTTGTAGATCAGGATTGTTTGTCAAAAAATTGGACAGACTGTACAGGAGTTTTTTTTGGTTAATAAATAACAATTCATGATTCATTAATAGGTCACAAAGGTTAACTACATTTTCTGCCTTTTTTGCCTTGATTTGATCTATTTTCCATCACGTTTGATCTTACACTTACTGCAAAGTATTCGCTGTTTCTGCAAGTGATGTGACCTGGTCACTTACATGTTCTTCTCTCTCAACTAAGCTTTTATAAAGAACTGTAGTTCAATGAATGGTGAGCTTTCTGTTGTAGAAAGTTAAAGGACCACGGCCATAGTAGAGTCTTCTCCTCCCTCTTCAAAGAACACCATTATCACCCAGACCACTTTTATCTAAATAAAGCTGTTCTAGTGCAGTGGTCCTGTCCTAACCCTGCAAAGTGCCATGCTGCAGTTATTAAAAATAATAAAAACAAAAACAAAACCTTCAGTGTTTTATTGTGCATGTTTACATAGACTTCTAGTGGCTGTCAATATGTCTTGTGACGCAGGATCACCCATAGAAAAGCATTGATTCACTACAGCAAAGTGTATAAAAACATTTGATGTTTTGGATCTGCGGTAAAAAGAAACAAACAATATGTTTTGTTCTGGTGGTATACTTGCCTTAAATTTGAAATTCACTTTGAATTCCATACAATTCTCACTTGAGCATATAACCATATTTGATACATTTATTCTGTAGATTTAAAGGAATGCACCATAACCACTGTAGTGGTTATGGTGCCAGGAGTGCCCGGTCTTCTACCCGCCCATTTAAGTAATCAAACCGTGTTAGAATGTTTAGACTTCTTAGTGTGGTTTTGAGTGTCACTCCTCTCTGTTTGCGGTAAGACTAGCAGTGCAGGTCTTAGCTCATTGGTTGAGAGCAATCAGCTGATGCTGTCAGCCAGTAAGCTAGAACTGCATTGAAGTGCTTATCTCAGGTAGCTAACAGAAGTAGTGACGGGTATCTAATGGATGTAGCGCAGATAAGAAGTTGACTCTGGCGTGTCCAATTTAAAGGAATGCTCCAAACACCTAAAGCACTTCTAAATATATAGAGGTATAGTGTGCAAAAGCGCTTAAAATGACAAAACAAAATAGCAGCTCTACACACTCGTGTGGGGTTAACCTTACTCCCCTCACCAATACAATAAATAAGTGAAAAAACACAATAGTTGTGGAGCACTAAAGCAGGATTATCTGACCCTGTTTTTAGAGCTCCACTACTATTGTGTTTTTCAGGTGTGTATATTTACACCTAAAGCACTTTATCTTACATGCTGGCTTTTTTTTTTTCTTCATAATTTTTTTTTAATATTTTTATTTTACATAAAGTGTAGAGTTAAATATAACTTGAAATTGGCACATTTTTATAAATGTAACCCTGTTATCACGACCCTTGTTGTCAGACAACCAACCCTGTTACTTTGTTACTTTCTGGTTTGATTAGCTCAGTGTAGATAAACTCATAAGTCAGCAATTGCCCGGCGCACCTGCCTTGCAGAGACTTCTCATTGAGCTGCATTGGGAAGTCTGTGATTGGACAGTCACAGAAAGTCTGGGTAGTGTTAGAGGAGGGCTTGCAAAGGCTGCAGACTAGAGATCTGAAAGATTAGCAAGTTGTTCTTAGATATACCCCGTGAAATGTCCCCTTAAAGGACCACTCTAGGCACCCAGACCACTTCAGCTTAATGAAGTGGTCTGGGTGCCAGGTCCTTCTAGGGTTAACCCATTTTTTCATAAACATAGCAGTTTCAGAGAAACTGCTATGTTTATGAATGGGTTAAGCCTTCCCCTATTTCCTCTAGCAGCTGTCTCATTGACAGCCACTAGAGGCGCTTGCGTGCTTCTCACTGTGATTTTCACAGTGAGAGCACGCCAGCGTCCATAGGAAAGCATTATGAATGCTTTCCTATGTGACTGGCTGAATGCGCGCGCAGCTCTTGCCGCGTGTGCGCATTCAGCCGACGGGGCGGATCAGAGGAGGTGAGAAGGCAGAGAGCTCTCCGCCCAGCACTGGAAAAAGGTCTTGGCACTCCTTGGTAAATATTCAAACTGTTTTAGAACAGGCAGTCTGTAGTGTTTATGGTAATGGAAATGTTCATTTTTAAGGGTTGTAACAGGGTGAATGCACCATTAAATTGTGATTTTTTTTTTTTTTTTTTTTTTACCTGACATTGCTTACAAGTAATACGCTTGTGAAAGGAACACTACAGTATCAGGAATACAATGTATTCCTCATTCCATAATGACTTTAGCAGGTCTCTGGGACTTACCTTTACTTTATCACCACGCTCCTCTCTATGTACCTCTGTCTCCTTGGCTGAGATCTCCGCCAATCTAATATTTTCCCAAATGGAAGCATTGTGAGGCAATTGAGCATGCACCACACAATTAAATGTTTCTCTATGAGCAGAATTTTATTGAGAACAGAGTTTGACTTGGTCTGGAAGACAGCCACTAGAGGTGTTAACCCTGCAGTGAAAACACTGAAGTTTCTATAAAAATGCAGTGTTTTGCATGATTAAAACTAATAGGGCCTCTTTACTGAGATCAGGGATGCCATCAGGGGGTGACAACCATAACGGTTGTTAGGGGCCCTGGCCCCTTTAAAAAAAAAAAAAAAAAAAGCAAGTGCTGCTGGGAGTAAGCTCACTCCGCGCGGGAGGAGCGCGCGCGTGCCAGTGAAGAGGGAGCCGCGCCGACTCCCATCATCCCCAGCCACCCTCCTGCAAAGAAAAGGTAAGAGACAGGAGGGTGGCTGGAAAATGAGCTCTCTGTGTGTGTGTGTGTGTGTGTGTCTGTATGCATGTCTGTATGTATGTGTATGCAGGGCCGCCACCAGAAATTTTGGGGCCCCTAACTCAGCTCAGGGTCTTGGCTCCCTGGGGCCTGCCTCCAAATACCACCCACAGGAATACAGACACAGACACAAACACACACACATTGATACAAAAGGACACAGATACATACTAACAGACACACATACTGAGACATACACACAGGCATACATAGTGACAGACCGACACATACTAACATACATACAGGCACACATGCATGAGGACATACATTCATTCAAACATACAGACACTGACATCCATACAGACATACATACACACAGACATACGTTCATAATGATATGCAGACATATATATGTATATAATGACCTACAGACATACATGCATACAGTCAGACAGACCTACATAGATGCAGAGACAGGCAGGCATACAGTCAGACATACATAGACAGTCACACACACAGCTCATTTTCCAGTCACCCTTCTGTCTCTTACCTTTTCTTTGCAGGAGGGTGGCTGGGGATGATGGGAGTCGGCGCGGCTCCCTCTTCACTGGCGCTCGCGCGCTCCCGCGTGGAGTTAGCTGGGAGGAAGTGACCTTTTTATAAAGGGGCCCGGTCGCGTCATACCATGGCCACAGCGCTGACTGGGCCCCTGAAGATATAGGGCCCATCGGGTGGCCCTAAGTGTGTGGTTGTCACCACCTGATGGTGGCCATGTATGTATGTCTGTATGTCATTATATATGTATGTCTGCATATCATTATGAATGTATATCTGTATGCCATTATGAATGTATGTGTGTATAGATGTCAGTATGTATGTTAGTATGTGTCTGTCTGTCACTATGTATGCCTGTGTGTATGTCTCGGTATGTGTGTCAGTATCTGTGTCTGTTAGTATATATCTGTGTCCTTTTGTACCTGTGTGTGTGTGTGTGTGTGTGTGTGTGTGTATTCCTGTTGGCGGTATTTGGAGGCGGGGCCCAGACCCTGAGCTGAGTTAGGGGCACCAAAATTTCTGGTGGCGGCCCTGACTGAGATGATGCGGTTTGAGTGCCTTTAGTGTCGTTTAAGCTACGAGTGTGCATATTTGTCTAGTAAAACTTGAAGTCAGTGTGACATTATAATAAGATATAAAGTAAAAAGGAAAAAAAAAATGATTGTACTTTGGAAACTGTTCTCTCAATGTAGTGTTCCTTGGCCAAAAAACGGTTAGGAACCACTCTTGAAGATTGCATGTTCATTTTATTTTGAGGTTTCGTTTCTTGTTTGTTTGACTGTTGCTCTCATTCATCACTTCTTTTATGTACGATACACCTATTTGGCTGTAAAAGCTTCAGTGATTAGTTATTCTGCTTGTATATGTCATCATGGGTGTGAACTTTACCTAGGTATTTTTATTCTCATGCAATGCAAGACAAGACTGACCAGTACTTCTTTGTTTCCAATCTCGTATGTATTTCATTAGAAAATCTGCACTAAAATGTACCTCTCGTTTCTTAGATTGAAAATGATTGTCGTAGATTGACATGTGTAAGAGTATGTGTCACGTGTGTGTGTGTGTGTGTGTGTGTGTGTGTGTGTGTGTGTGTAAAACTGCAAGTGTATTACTTCGGTTGATGCAAACGTAACATACTTAAAGGTCTATTTAAACCCTAACTCCTCTATGAAATGTGTTAATTGGGCAATAACTTAAGGTAAGTTATCATTTTGGGATTTATTCTTTAACTATTGACTCGAGTAGTGAATTGAAAATTGAATTGCAACTAATAATAATAATAATAATAATAAATTATAAAAAAAAGAATAATTTGAAACATTCTTCAATTCTCAAGTCGGTTTAGCGAACAACACCCTGAATAAACGATTTAATTGCAAAAAGTGTTTTTTATTACAGTTGGCTATTTTGGTTCAATGTATGCATTTCTCTTGTCAGTCCGTCAATGCCCAATTAAGTAAAATGTGTAGGTGTTTTTAAATCTCTTTAACAACAGCAATGCTGATAAGATAGTCACAGCAATTTCTACTTAAAACAAGTTTCTCTTTGAGTATTGCAATGTTGGCAAGAATGATCTAATCTGTATGTGTATTTACTTTCAATTCTATACTGGTTTTAATAATTGACAAGTTGTAGCTATTTCTAAAACTGTTAAATGTTGTTCCTGTGCAGAAAAAAAACAAAACAGCAAGTGAAACTAACTTTGTTCTTTGTTTTAGTGATGAACATGGCGTCAGCATCTGAGCAGGAAACCAGATTGTGTTGGAATTGGTAAGTAAACCCTTTCTCTGATTTGTCTACAGTAGCATTGTGAATTAAACTTGTAGCATTGCTTTGTGGTGATTGCTGTTGCATTTGTTATATAGTTACATTTGGTCTGGTAGACAGCCACTAGAGGTGAAGGAAACCCTCCAAGGTAATTATTAAAATCTGCAGTTATTACCTTTGCAGGGTTAAGGGACCTGGGACACTCCATCCAGACCACTTCAATGATCTGGGTGCCTATAAGGTCCCTTTAAATCTCCTCTGTAAATTTTAATAATTATCATTACAGTCAGTTGTTTAATGAGGCTTTTTCTAGCTCTCTCAGCTTTACATACATACACTTTATAATTTTTCATTACAGGTGATACCTGAAAAATTAGAATATCATGCAAAAGTAAATTTTTTTTTTTTTTTTCAGTAATACAACGTAAAAGGGGAAACTAATATATTAGACGCATTACATGCAAAGCAAGATAGTTCAAGCCAGGATTTGCCATAAGTGCAATAATTATGGCTTACAGCTCATGAAAACCCCAAATCCTCAGTAAATTAGAATGTTACATGCTATCAATAAAACAATGAGTGTACATAGAACAGTATCGCACCTCTGAAAAGTATAAGCATGCATATGGACTCAGTACTTGGTTTGGGCCCCTTTTGCAGCAATTACAGCCTCAGTGTGGCGTGGCATGGAAGCTATCAGCCTGTGGCACTGCTGAGGTGTTATGGAAGACCAGGTTGCTTCAATAGCGGCCTTCAGCTCGTCTGCATTGTTCGGTCTCATGTCTCATCTTTCTCTTGGCAATGCCCCATAGATTCTCTATGGGGTTAAGGTCAGTTGAGTTTGCTGGCCAATCAAGCACCATAATCCCACGGTAATTGAACGAGGCTTTGGTGCTTTTGGCAGGTGCCAAGTCCTGCTGGAAAATGAAGTCAGAATCCCCATAAAGCTAGTCAGCGGAAGGAAGCATGAAGTGCTCCAAAATATCCTGGTAGGCGGCTGCGTTGACCCTGGACTTAATGAAGCACAGTGCACCAACACCAGGAGATGACATGGCTCCCCAAATCAACACAGACTGTGGAAGCTTCACACTGGACTTGAAGCATCTTGCAGTGTGTGCCTCTCCATTCTTCCTCCAGACTCTGGGTTTCCAAATGAGGTGCAAAAGTTGCTCTCATCAGAAAATAGGACTTTGGACCACGGAGCAATAGACCAGGTCTGTTTTTCTTTAGCTTCTGACATTGTTTGTTGTTCAGGAGCGGCTTGACAAGAGGAATACGACATCTGAAGCCCATGTCCAGGATCCGTCTGTGTGTGGTGGCTCTTGATACACTGACTCCAGCCTCAGTCCACTCCTTGTGAAAGTCCCCAACACTTTTGAATGGCCTTTTCCTGACAATCCTCTCTAGGCTGTGGTCATCTCTGCTGCTTGTGCACCTTTTTCTTCTACACAACTTTCTATTAATGTACTTTGATACAGCACTTTGGGAACATCCAACTTCCTTTGCAATTACCTTTTTGAGGCTCTCCCTCCTTATGGAGGGTGTCAATGATGGTTTTCTGTACAACTGTCAGGTCAGCAGTCTTCCCCATGATTGATTCCTACTGAACCAGACTGAGAGACCATTTAAAGGCTCAGGAACCCTTTGCAGGTGTTATGGCTTACTTAGCTGATTAGAGTGGGACACTGAACCTAGAATATTGCACCTTTTCACAATATTCTAATTTAATGAGATTGTGGATTTGGGGTTTTCATGAGCTGTAAGCCATAATCATCGCACTTACGACAAATCACGGCTTGAACTATCTTGCTTTGCATGTAATGCGTCTCTCATATATTTTCCTCTCTCATGTTGCATTAATGAAATAAATGAACTTTTGCACGATATTCAAATTTTTCGAGTATTACCTGTATATTTGCATGATGTTGCTCATTAATAAGCAGTAAAACGAACTTCTGGTTTCGATGAAATTTTATGTGGTTTTGATATGTTACTGCATACAGTGGTGTATCCTGGTTTTGTGCTGCCCTAGGCCCCGCCTTCTAAAAAACACACTCACACTCTCTCTCGCTAACAAACACTCACATTAACAAAAAAAAAAAAAAATTAACCACAGCCTCCTTACCTTTGGGAATGCTGGGGAGGGGGGGTTTCTCTTTCTCCCTGGGGTCCAGTGGATGCGGGGCGGGCGGCGCTGGCGAGGGAGCACTTTCCTCTGAGCTGTCTGCTCAGCTCCCTTGCGCGCCGCAGAGTGAGGCTGGGAGCCGGAATATGATGACTAACAAGGCATTTGCCATGGGCATTTGGGGCGGCTTTTTTTGCCACCCCCTGGAAAATGCTGCCCAAGGCAAATGCCTTGTTTGCCTCGCGGCTAAAACGTCCCTGACTGCAGATTGGTGTGTGACCTGATTGAATTTTATTCATATTTACTTAAAACATGATGGTGCTATTGGATTGCTTGTCAATAACTATTTCATGTCCTCCATTATATACTCTAGTTATATTGCTGATGCATATGATTTTAAAGGAACACTATAGGCTCAGGAACACAAACATGTATTCCTGACCCTATAGTGCAAAACCCACCATTAAGGTGGCTTGCCCCCTATAAAAGCATGAAAAACTCTCCTTATTTCAAGCGCCGTGCGGGTCTGCCGGCACTGGCCCCACCCCCTTGATGACATAATCAGAATTGCCGATTTTTAGCCAATCCAATACTTTCCCATTGGGTAAGCATTGGATTGGCTAAAATGGGCAAGGTGGTGGGACCAAACACCATTTTGGCCAATCAGCAACTTCTCATTGAATCAATGCATCTCTGAGGAAAATTCAGCATCCCCATGCATGGAGACGCTGAATGGCAGGGCTGCCTACTATGCAGCACTGATTCAGGAAGCACCTCCAGTGGCCACTTGGAGGTGTCCCTAGATGCAATGTGAACACTGCATTTTTTTCTGAAAAGGCAGTGTTTGCATGAAAATGCCTGCATGCAATGATTATACTCACCAGAACAACTACATTAAGCTGTAGTTGTTCTGGTGACTATAGTGTCCCTTTAATTCTTTTTGTTATTCTTCGGGTCATACTGTTAGACATATGAATGACTGACTGACTAATTTTGCAACGTCTCTAAATTTGTGTATATACAATTTTTATTTTTTTTATTTTTAGTATGTTTTTCATATGGTTTGTTTACCTCCTAACCCCAACTGGACAGGTGCTAGGGGTGGGACTTTAACCTCTTAAGAAATTGTTTAGCGGGATAGAGTATATACAAATGATTATGTGCACTTGACCGCACAAACCCTGGGGTCTCTTCTGGGGGTCTCTTCTGATTCCTTGACCCCCCCCTCTACAACTTGTTTTAAATTTAATAAAGAGATTTAAAAATTTTATACCTGAGACTGCAGTGCGTTTTATTGAGACTGTTTATTCATGGTTTACGTTCTAGCACAGTCCAAGTCCGGTTTTTAGCTTCTTTAATTTTCTGGTGTCCACAGATGCTGCATTCTTTGAAACTGCATCACGTGTATATGTGCACCCAGCAGAGGATGCCAAGGTTAAGCTGTTGCTATGTTGGACCAGTTTTTATTGGATATTGAACTTTAATAGGGAATATTGTTTTGTTTGAAACAGATCTTTATTAATATAGCGTGTATATAGAAAACGTTTTCCTACGCATTAAATATGAGATCGTGAGGATCTAATAACAATATGCATATAAAACATAAAAGCCTATAAACTTGGAGCCTTATTCAGGAAAGCTATATCTGATATGGTCTGTTATCTGAGGGCCTTGGCGCAAATAGGTCATGATGTTAATTTGGGAGGCACCCATTCATCCACATTTCCACCCATGGGTCGACCCAGGTTGTCCAGGTCCAAGAGGTGCCCTCCTCCTGGGAGAAGGAATTGAGTCAGGGGCGGGGAGAGTGTCGAGAAGAAGTCTATGAAAGAGGGAGGAGGGATAAGGAAGGGAGCGAGTGTGAGAGAGTAAGAATAGAAGAAGAAAGGAGGGAGGGGAATATTTAGGTTTTTGTTTACTTATATGGAGCTATGTTTCCTCTCCCCATACCAATTCAAACTAAGGATTGGGGTGGGGCAGTGATTGGCGGAGTACACTTGACTGACACCTCAACCTATCACTGACTGGTATAATGTGAAGTGGAGTAAAGCACTTCCTCTACCAACTTGTCATTGAGGACCGGGTTTCATGATGTCAAATGGTGAATAAACCTGATGGCTAACCACTGCCATCTAAGCATACTTCGCATCATTGGACTCATGGTTTAACACTGATCAGGGATGGCTAGAAAGAAATCTGAATGAAGGATGTATATTTCAAAATATATCCCAAGCTAACGATAATGTTCAGGACAGCAATGTGTCTAACTGAGCGGCAATAACGGCTATTCAAATCATCTAAATCACTCTGTAGAGTATTTTGCCATGGTTCACCTGATTCCATTTTAAACTCTTCCAACAGGAAATGTATGAAATTTATTGAAATCTTGCATCACTCACAGCATGCTCCTTTAAATGAATACAGGGGGAAAAACAGCATTTCAATAGTAGCATAATAGCATTTTAATTGAATATAGAAAGTTAAGTATGTAGACTATGGGAAGTTATTGAAAACAAGAAGCCGAATGTGTCTTCTGGATAATGTTGAGATACCATAAAAGACAACCATTCATACAAGACCACAAGGTGACAAAGATATAGAATTGATTGCGGCACTCCATGGTTGCAGACATATTTTGGTGTAATGAGAATTCACTTTAGTCTATGTCCGCTCTTACACTTGTACAACAATCTTATTTATAATGTAGAGCAATAAACATTGGCTGGGTTGTTTACTATTGTGAGAATTCAAAGTGAATTTCACATTGAAGGCCAAAATAGCTTAAAGGAACACTATAGTCACCTAAATTACTTTAGCTAAATAAAGCAGTTTTAGTGTATAGGTCATTCCCCTGCAAATTCACTGCCATTTAGGAGTTAAATCACTTTGTTTCTGTTTATGCAGCCTTAGCCACACCTCTCCTGGCTATGATTGACAGAGCCTGCATGAAATAAAAAACTGGTTTCACTTTCAAACAGATGTAATTTACCTTAAATAATTGTATCTCAATCTCTAAATTGAACTTTAATCACATACAGGAAGCTCTTGCAGGGTCTAGCAAGCTATTAACATAGCAGGGGATAAGAAAATCTTAAAGGACCACTATAGGCACCCAGACCACTTCAGCTTAATGAAGTGGTCTGGGTGCCAGGTCCAGCTAGGGTTAACCCTTTTTTCTATAAACATAGCAGTTTCAGAGAAACTATGTTTATAAATGGGTTAATCCAGCCTCTAGTGGCTGTCTCTTGACAGCCGCTAGAGGCGCTTGCGTGCTTTTCACTGTGAAAATAAGTGAGAAGACGCGAGCGTCCATAGGAAAGCATTTACAATGCTTTCCTATGAGACTGGCTGAATGCGTGTGCGGCTCTTGCCGCGCATGCGCATTTAGCCGGCGAGGAGGAGAGCTCCCCGCTCGGCGCTGGAGAAAGAGGTAAGTTATCCCCTTCCTCCCCCCAGAGCCTGGCGGGAGGGGGAGCCTGAGGGTGGGGGCACCCTCAGGGCACTATAGTGCCAGGAAAACAAGTGTTCACCCAGAACAAGTGTTTTCCTGGCACTATAGTGGGCCTTTAAACAGAACTTGCATTAGAGAGAGCCTAAATAGGGCTCTTTTTTTTATTTTATTTTTTATTTTTTTACAGGAAGTGTTTATGGAAGGCTGTGCAAGTCACATGCAGGGAGGTGTGACTAGGGTTCATAAACAAAGGGATTTAACTCCTAAATGGCAGAGGATTGAACAGTGAGGCTGCAGGGGCATGCTCTATACACCAAAACTGCTTCATTAACCCCTTAAGGACACATGACATGTTAGACATGTCATGATTCCCTTTTTATTCCAAAAGTTTGGTCCTTAAAGGACCACTCTAGACACCCAGACCACTTCAGCCTAATGAAGTGGTCTGGGTGCCAGGTCCAGCTAGGGATAACCTTTTTATTTTTATTTTTTTTATTTTTTTATAAATAGGTTAATCCAGCCTCTAAAGCCTGTAGTGGCTGTCTCATTGACAGCCGCTAGAGGCGTTTGTGTGCTTCTCACTGTGAAAACTCCCAGTGAGAAGACGCAAGCGTCCATAGGAAAGCATTATGAATGCTTTCCTATGAGATTGGCTAGCTGCGTGCGCAGCTCCTGCCGCGCATGCGCATTCAGCCGTAGAGGAGGAGAGCTCGTCCCTTTAACTGGAAGCATAGTTGACTTAGAGAATCTTCTTTTTCCAGGTCAACTATTTTGACCTTAAAACGATCATAGCCGCATCCATTATTTTATTTCTTTAATTTTTAAATCCCTCCCCGATTGCAATAATTTCTAGGCTCCCCATTTTTACCTTTTTAAAATAAATAAACAAAACAAAAAACAAATTAAAGGTAAGCTCCTGGGCACGTCATCTGCCCACACTAGATATGGCTATGAAATTCCCGTGCGTGCCCAGTTGAACACTTGGACATTGGCTATTGTCCAAAATTCGGGCAGAAATTTAGTCAATTTATTAATTTGTCAGAAAGATGAATGCAGTGATCCTAGTCCCTTCCATTCCCATGCCCCCGTCGTTCTATGGGGGTAAATATGACCTCCACATTAGCATAAAATCTCTCTAATGCCCTTACTCGCTATGCTATGAGCAGTTCACTGTTCCAAAAAAGGGGAAGAAGAAAAAAAAAAGGATTCTAAATCAAATAAAGGGGGACCTAGCATAGGTCCCCCATGGTGGGGCATCGCTTACATTAACAGGGGAGGACATAGTGTGTGTGTCCCTGCCACTCATGTGCGGTGGGTGGGGGCCCTAAGTAACAAAAGGGGGGCGACAATTACCTATTGTCTCTCTTCAAATAAATAAAAATCACACTTGCATGTATGTATTTATGTAGTAGCCGTATTAGTCAAGTGATGTAGATGTAAAAAAACAGATAAAATTGGTATCTTGTAATACCTTTTTTATTGGACTAACAGAATTTTTTAATGACAAGCTTTCGGGAGAACCTCCCTTTCTCAAGTCTAAAGCATTTCTGAGGAAGACAACACATAGAAAGTTGAGTTGGGATACAGGGGTTAAAGCGACATGAGTGCAGATAAGACACAGGTTTGTTAGAAATTTTTTGCAAAGGGTCATACATTTCTTTCTGAAGAGCAGAGTGAGGGGAGATGGTGATTTTATCTGTTTATAATATATATATATATATATATATATATATATATATATATATATATATATATATATATATATATTACACAAGATCCAGCGCACTCACCTATCCACTAAACAGCAACTTCAATGTTGAAAGATTTTATTTGTTTTTTTTTAAAACACCTAATCTAGGCAAAAATAATGGGGGTTTAGTTACATTATATGATCATACATTGCATAAGCCTGCCACAACGTCAATGTATCCCATCTTTGGCAGGTCCTACACTAACAGCCTAATGTCTGCTCTTATGAGATTAACCTACTTGGGAAAATAATTCCATCTGGGGCTCTCTGCAGTACAAGGCTAAATAGGGCCCTGGGATGAGGCACCTGTGACAGGGAGGGGTGCAAAACCAAGGAGCTGGCTAGACTCCCAAATATATATAAAACAAGAGGGGGTTGGCTGCACTCACCTTAACATGCATAAATGGGGGTGCTGCTGGGGGCCAAATAATACAATACACAAGATCCAGCGCACTCACCTATCCACTAAACAGCAACTTCAATGTTGAAAGATTTTGGTTTTTTTAAAACACCTAATCTAGGCAAAAATAATGGGGTTTAGTTACATTATATGATCATACATTGCATAAGCCTGCCACAACGTCAATGTACCCCATCTTTGGCAGGTCCTACACTAACAGCCTAATGTCTGCTCTTATGAGATTAACCTACTTGGGGAAAATAATTCCATCTTTTTTAAAAAAACAAAATCTTTCAACATTGAAGTTGCTGTTTAGTGGATAGGTGAGTGCGCTGGATCTTGTGTATTGTATTATTTGGCCCCCAGCAGCACCCCCATTTATGCATGTTAAGGTGAGTGCAGCCAACCCCCTCTTGTTTTTTATATATATTTGGGAGTCTAGCCAGCTCCTTGGTTTTGCACCCCTCCCTGTCACAGGTGCCTCATCCCAGGGCCCTATTTAGCCTTGTACTGCAGAGAGCCCCAGATGGAATTATTTTCCCCAAGTAGGTTAATCTCATAAGAGCAGACATTAGGCTGTTAGTGTAGGACCTGCCAAAGATGGGGTACATTGACGTTGTGGCAGGCTTATGCAATGTATGATCATATAATGTACTAAACCCCATTATTTTTGCCTAGATTAGGTGTTTTTAAAAAAAAAATCTTCAACATTGAAGTTGCTGTTTAGTGGATAGGTGAGTGCGCTGGATCTTGTGTATTGTATTATTTGGCCCCCAGCAGCACCCCCATTTATGCATGTTAAGGTGAGTGCAGCCAACCCCCTCTTGTTTTATATATATTTTTTTTTTTTATTCAAATCAATCTGTGTTCCTGAATTTTAACTTTTTTTTTTTTTTGTCACAACCTGTATATAACTCAATCACTTATTCAACATCAATCAATAGAGCATGTCCAAACAGCTTGCCCAGTCATTTTCTTTTCCAAATCATTTAATGCATTTTATTCACTAAGCTTTAGTAGTCAAACTAGATGGAGTGTCACTATAAGCACAAAGTAAATGGTCTGTTTGACAGTTAACCTGATCTAAGACCCTATTTATAGCATCTTTTTAACCCCTTAAGGACCAAACTTCTGGAATAAAAGGGAATCATGACATGTCACACATGTCATGTGTCCTTAAGGGGTTAATGTTCACTCATCCATTGATTGAATGGGTTGATGGCATCTGATATGAAAGAAAGGGGGAGGGGAGAGAGTGTGTGTTTGGTTTTTAAAGGGCTATCCATTTAAAGAGTCAGTCCCAATGTGTTTTATACAGCCAATGTTTGTAGGGAGCTATGCAATGTTTCTCTTCCTGTCCCCTTCTATTTATCATTACTGAACGCAGCCACACTGGATTGGATTGGAATTTTGTGCTCTAACACCTGTGTACTGGACAGACTTCTATCCTGACTGGTTCAGCAAACGCTTGACCAATTAGTCCTCCAGCAACATATCTATGTGTAAGTTAGTTAGAAACTCAGTCATTGGGCAGTGAAGCCTATTAAAAGAATGCATTTTTTTTTTGCAACCTATAGAATATGTGCTTGTTCATGACCTTTATAGCTACACTTGGGGTTGCGTTCCAGAGTGACAGATGAAACTGATCCATATGTTTAAACCACCTGTCCCCATCCCCCCCCATGAGCAGGGTTCAGCTTACACTCATCTCAGGAATTAAAAATGTCTCCGCTCTGTCACTGCATTGTACACATCACTGTCGATTCTTTCGGAGGACAGAACAAACACCATGTAACACTTTATAATTTAAAGCCCACAATCTGTGCTACTCCACCCTATAGAGTATTACTGACATGGCCACGAGCTATTAATTACCAGCTGAATACTTGATATATTTTATAGGAAACATGCATACTCAAGGTGCTTGGCTGGCAGATATGTTAATAGTGGTACTTTGTTAGTAGATGTTTTAGAAACGTTCACCCAGATATCATAATTGCAGAGCCTTCAGTAGTTCTAGGAATGACCGTATAAAGAATAAGCCAACACAAATGCTGTGGATAGAAAACTGATTCAACAGGCAACAAAAGCACTAAAAACAACATTAAAAAAAATAATTACGGTACTACAGAGTATCATAAATACACAGGCCTTAATTTTCTTAAATAGTTGTAACAGTCAGTTAAACGTAGCGGGTGAAGAGATGGTTCAATTTAATGTGAAAACACTTGGAATAGTGGCGGGATTAACGCAGAATATAGCTATGACATTTTCTGTATGTTATAAAGCATTTGCTAATTTTAGTTTTAAGGTCATCTGGAGCCTGTAGTTTGACACCCTTGGAGAGTATATAGGACAAGTTGCCCCCTATCCTCTACTTGACAGTGATCAGTGCACAGAAGAGAGATATATATATATAAGGCCTACAAATCTAATTTTATGTAAAATTTGTGGTGGAAAGTTCTATACTTGAATTAATTTAAAAAATAGTTGAAGCTATAAATGCCATACAAGTACAAAAAGCTAATTTAATACATTTGCAAAGAACATATCACTGGATAAAATACTGCCTCTTTTTATTTTTTATTAATAAAAAAAAAATAATAATAATAAAAAAAAAATTATATATATCTATATATATATAAAAAATGTTATATAATTTTTTTGTTTTGTGCAGTGCAAAGGATAGGTACACACAGGCAATCCTCTGGCATCATATCAAGCTTTAAAATTGGGGTAGTGGAATGAACATGCACAATTTTATATTATAAGAAACATGCTTAAAGATGAGAAACATGCTGAACTTTTTCGTGAACATATGTAGAGTCAATCAAGATTTTGTTAGCAAGATTTTGTTAGCAAGAGTTGTTTAAACATTTGTAGATGTTTAGTTGTGTCTGCCCAGCCACCATTCTTGATACAGGCTAGTTGCAAACTTATAATGGTGAATTGGATGGCTAGGAAACAGACTAGGTTAGATAGTATGGGGTTAACAAGCTAAGCTAGAAACATGCAAAGCACATCTAGCGACAGACACATTGGTTGTTACTTAAGGTTCAGCATAGCTATATAGGCTTCTGGCATAAGGATTATGTAATGCCACTGGTCATGTTATCAAAGAAACCTAAGGTTTCACGAGGCAAATAAAAAAGAAAGGAAGACATACGGCACGCAAGCGGGACACCTCAACAATAGGGGTAGGAGCTTGTCACGGTGCCGCTCTGGATTTCCTAGGGGCATATCAACTTATGCCACTGACCATCCAGGCTTAGGAGTACTGGTCCTCTTGAGGACTGTCATGCGTCCCCTCCAGCCAGGCGCTGTGTATGTTCTGCGAGTAGAGTAGGCTTTCCAGCTGCTGTCTCCCGCAACTTCCTTCTGCTAGAGGCTGGATCTTGTGCCCTCGGGGTCCCCGAAGCTCGGTTGCCCCTTAGGTTGTATGGATGGCAACCTGGTTTACATTCCAGATGGGCCCCCAGCCCAGAAGAGTAGCTGTAGGGTTTGGTGAAGTACCTGAAAGTACTATCCGTTTCTCCACCGTCCCGGTACAAGGGGTCGCTTCAGTGACTACTGGTGCTACAGAGGTTAGAATCCATGGTTGCTCGTACCGCCGGCCCTGGGCCTTCTCAGGAACCCATGTGCGATTCCGACTGCTCCGGTCAGTCTTGCAGCTGCGAGCAAGAACTCGGGAGATGGTGTTCTCTGCTTGGAGAGGAGGTTCTGTCTGCTGAGTAAGTGGGATGAGCACCAGGGTCTTTCCCCTTCCAGCCATCTGCCCAGGAAGGTTGTATCGAACTCTGGACCACTTAGGACACGAGCGGGTGTCTGTTGAGTGGATCGTCTGCCTCTCCTGCCGCACCGAGGTGCGAGCCATGGGCTCTGTCCGCTGCTTGACTGTCAGGAGGCTTGCGCTCTCTCCTCTGCTCCCTCTTAGCCTGTGCCCCTCTGTCTTGCAACTTCCACCAGAATTTGCTGACAAAAGTATCTAGCCGCTCTTCGAGTGTCACTGACAGGCCCTGTGCTGATATCTCAGGTTCATCCACTACCATCTCGGTTTCAGCTGTGGAGCTGGGCGCAGGCGACAGGAGTGGGTGGGTTACTCAGTACCTCGGTTTGCTTTGAGGTAGAGCCTGTATGCTTGTGCCGCGGTAAACCCCACCGGCTTGGATATATATATCACATTTTTGCCTCCTTCCATTTTTAACATGGATTCCTTTTAATCTGTGTTTGCTGTATACAACCGCTTGAAACACAATATAGGAAAAGATGCAAAAACAGCTGTCCATGAGTGGTTCACTGGTTTTGCATCTTTTCCTATATTGTGTTTCAAGCTGTTGTGATCCTCATCGATTAGTGAAGAGTGTCTATATTATATATGTGTAATATATTCTAAAATAATTAAATCATTTTATAATATATTATACATATATAATGCATCTATATGATTTCATTAGTGTACTTTGATATATATCTCTAAATACACTTATGATGAAATCATAGATGCATTATATATGTATAATATATATTATAAAATGATTTAATTATAGTAATATTATACATATAGGAAATAAAAGTGCGTGTGTGTGTTTTAAAACCAAAACATTTTATGTTTATACAAAAACCCATAAAACTGCTATCTTTGGCCAGCGTTTTTGCCTAAGTGGCTACTACAAAAGACTGGACATACCCCATTTTGAATACCCTGGGTTGTCTACATTTGAAAACGGTATGCCATGATGGGGTTATTTCACATTCCTGGGCTACCATATGGTCTCAAAAGGCAACTAAGGTCCGGCAAACTAGATCGGGCAAGCCCTATATTGACGCTGTAACATTCCAAAACACCATAAAACCTGTACATGGGGGTATTGTTATACTCAGGATACTTAGTTGAACACAAATATGAGTGTTCTAAATCAGGGAAACTTATTCCGACGATGAAATCACCAGTAAAAGTGCAGTTTTTGTGTAAAAAATAAAAATAAAAAATGCACAAAACAAAGAGAAATGCTAACTTTGGCCAGCGTTTGTGACTAAGTGGCTACTGCAAAAGACTGAACATACCCCATTTTGAATACCCTGGGTTGTCTACTTTTACAAATGGTATGCCATGATGGGGTTAATTTTAATTCCTGGGCTGCTATATGGTCTCAAAGGCCCAGCAAACCAATCTGGCAAATTTCAATGTGCAAACATGAAAAGCCCTACATTTGACCCCTGTAAGTTTACAAAAGCCCATAAAACCTGCACATTGGGGGCACTGTTGCACTCAGGAGATGCTGCTGAACACATATTTGGGGTTTCTTTGTCAGTAACACATAACATGAACTGAGAATCCATGCCTAAAGTACAATGTGAGAAAAATAACACCAAAAAAAGCCTATCCAAAAGTTTGACAAAGGCTGGTGGTAGAATTAGTGCATGGAAAGTGTTAAAATACCACCATTTGAAATACCCTAGGGTGTCTACTTTTCAAAAATATATGGTTTGATGGGGGTAAATTATATTGTCCGGCATCAAAAATGTCCCAAATAGGACATAGGTGCTTGATGACTGTGAAAATTCAAAGTTGGAAAACTGGAATGCGCACCCTCCAAATAAGGTCTTTTAGCCCCCAAAGAACCCAACACACTTATGCATGGGAGGTATTGCTGTACTCAGGAGATGTTGAACAAATATATTGGGGTGTTCTTTGGCAGTAACACCTAACAGGAGCTGAGAATCCATGCCAGGGTAAAACCTGTTATACATGCATTTCTAGCATTCTGTGTATTTTGTTCTTTAGTTGTTTGAGGATAATGAGAGAAACATAGAATGTGACGGCACATAAAAACCATTCGGCCCATTTAGTCTTCCCAATTTTCTAAATACTTTCATTGATCCGTGGCCTTATCTTATAGTTATGCCTTATGCCTATCCCACGCATGCTTAAACTCCTTTACTGTGTTAACCTCTACCACTTCAGCTGGAAGGCTATTCCATGCATCCACTACCCTCTCAGTAAAGTAATACTTCCTGATATTATTTTTAAACCTTTGTCCCTCTAATTTAAGACTATGTCCTCTTGTTGTGGTAGTTTTTCTTCTTTTAAATATAGTCTCCTCCTTTACTGTGTTGATTCCCTTTATGTATTTAAATGTTTCTATCATATCCTCCCTGTCTCTTCTTTCCTCCAAGCTATACATGTTACCTTTAACCTTTCCTGGTAAGTTTTATCCCGCAATCCATGAACCAGTTTAGTAGCCCTTCTCTGAACCCTCTCTAAGGTATCAATATCTGCATACAATACTCCAAGTGAGGTCTCACCAGTGTTCTGTACAATGGCATGAGCACTTCCCTCTTTCTACTGCTAATATCTCTCCCTATACAACCAAGCATTATGCTAGCATTTCCTGCTGCTCTATTACATTGTCTGCCTACCTTTAAGTCATCAGAAATAATCACCCCTAAATCCCCTTCCTCATATGTTGAGGTTAGGACTCTATCAAATATTCTGTACTCTGCCCTTGGGTTTTTACGTCCAAGATGCATTATCTTGCACTTATCCACATTAAATGTCAGTTGCCAAAACTCTGACCATTTTGCTAGTTTGCCTAAATCATTTGCCATTTGGCTTATCCCTACTGGAACTTCAACCCTGTTACATATCTTAGTATCATCAGCAAAAAGACACACCTTACCATCAAGACCTTCTGCAATATCCCTAATAAAAATATTAACGTGAATGGGTCCAAGTACAGATCCTTGAGGTACACCATTGGTGACAAGCACAAGCTTCGAATATACTCCATTGACTACAACCCTCTGTTGCCTGTCACTCAGCCACTGCCTTACCCATTCAACAATATTGAAATCCAAACTTAAAGATAGCAGTTTATTGATAAGCCTTCTATGTGCAACAATGTCAAAAGCCTTACTGAAATCTAGGTAAGCAATGTCTACTGCACCACCCTGATCTAGTTACCCAATCAAAAAAATTAATAAGATTAGTTTGGCATGATCTCCCTGAAGTAAACCCATGTTGTCTCTGATCTTGAAATCCATGTGTTTTTAGATGTTCATCAATCCTATCCTTTAACATGGTTTCCATCACTTTCCCCACTACTGAAGTAAGGCTTACTGGCCTATAGCTGCCCGACTCCTCCCTATTACCTTTCTTCTGAATGGGCACAACATGCGCTAACTTCCAATCCTCTGGGACTACTCCTGTTAACAATGATTGGTTAAATAAATCTGTTAATGGTTTTACTAGTACACCACTAAGCTTTTTTTTAATAGCTTTGGGTGTATTCCATTAGGTCCCATTGACTTATTTGTCTTTACTTTTGACAGTTGGAATAGAACCTCTTCCTCTGTAAACTCACGTGTAATAAATGACTCATTTATCCTTTTTCTTAACTGAGGTCCTTTTCCTTCATTTTCATCTGTAAATACCGAACAAAAATATTAATTGAGGCAGTTAGCTAGACCTTTATCTTCTTCTACATATCTTCCTTCTTTTGTTTTTAATCTAACTAATCCTTGTTTTACTTTTCTTTTCTCATTTATGTATCTAAAAAATGTTTTATCCCCCTTTTTTACTGACTGTGCTATTTTCTCTTCCGTGTGTGATTTGGAAGCTTTTCTAACTTGCTTAGCCTCTTTTTGTCTAATCTTATAGATCATTCTGTCTTCCTCACTCTGGGTTTTTTTATAATTACTGAATGCTAACTTTTTGATTTTTACTATTTTGGCCACATCTGCGGAGTACCACAGTGGTTTCTTGACTTTTTTTGCTTTTACTGACAAGCCTAATGCAATTAAATAATGTAATTTCTCTTGGACTCCATTTAAATTGCTCCAGTCTGATAATGACTCCTTTTACACATATTCTAATTTTAGAAAAGTCTGTTTTTCTAAAGTCTAAAACTTTTGCTTTTGTGTGGTGTGACTCAGTCACTGTTCTTATATTAAACCACACTGACGATCACTGGATCCTAAACTTAAACCTACAGTAATATCTGATACCAAATCTCCATTTGTTAACACTAAATCTAGTATGGCCTCTTTACGAGTTGGCTCTTCAACAACTTGTTTTAGAGACAATCCCAGTAGTGAGTTAAGAATATGTGTGCTCCTGGCACAAGTAGCTAATTTTGTTTTCCAATTCACATCAGGAAGATTAAAGTCACCCATGATGATAACTTCCCCCTTGATTGTCATTTTAGCTATTTCCTCAACTAGTAGATTATCTAACTCTATTTGTCTTGGGGGCCTATAAATCACACCTACACGAGTTACTGTGTAATTACCAAATTCTAACGTAACCCAAACGGACTCTGTTTGTCTCACTAACTTTTATTAGGCTAGATTTTATGCTATCCTTCACATACAGGGCCACCCCTCCCCTTTTCTTGCCTTCCCTGTCTTTTCTATAGAAAGAGTACCCTGGTATTATGTCCCAGTCATTTTTCTCATTATACCATGTCTCAGTAACAGCGACTAAATCTACACTATCAGTTGCCATTATTGCCACAAGTTCATGGATCTTATTCCCTGAACTGCGAGCATTTGTAGACATGACTCTAAGCTTATCATTTTTAACACACTTGCTACAGTCACCTTCTGTCCTTGTTTTGGGGGACAATTGGATTGTTTTATCACCCTTTTGAGAAAGATGCAAACCATCTTTTTTGTACAGTTTTTTTCCATTCCAAATAGAGCTACCATGAGAAATAAAGCCAAATCCTTGCTCCCGACACCATTCACCAAGCCACAAGTTAAAGTCCCTAATATGCATCCTCCTATCGTTCTGAGTGTTTTGCACAGGCAGAACTTCAGAGAATGACAGTGTGGAAGCAACCCTCAGTGCCTCTCTCCACAACACCACTACCCTCAGTGCCTCTCTCCACAACACCATTACACTCTGAAAGTGCAGAAAATGAATTATGTAGAGCAACAGACTGTGTGCAATATGCCTTTTATCCACAACTGTAAGTCTACCAGATCCTACAGTAATCCATCTGCCATTCCTAGTATGTCTCTGCGGCAGTGAGAGAGATCCAAAGTATTGTTCACAATGACCCACCAGGTGTTTTTCTTCATTGTATGGGCAGCATAAAGCTTTTCTTACCATGGCTTCATACTAGCCATATATTGTGTTGGCCATCATTGTTTAACGAACACCAAAATCCTAGTGACTCAAAGCAGTGTTGGGACCATTGACAGGAAGTGCATGGCTCAGCAATAATAATGAAACGTACACGTGGCTGCATGTGTATATTATACAGTATCAGAACATGTTGGAACTCCTAGAGTAGATTGCCAAGTTCTGGTAGGTATTTTGCACTTCTAATGGGGATATGTTATTCCCTTCAGAATAATCCCATATGTTTTTGACTTTTGTCACTAATTATATTTGAGTAATTTGTTGGTATGCATCGATTTAACTTTTGGTGTACACCTCATTAATATAGAGCATGTGATGCCAAAGACAAGGATACGCACGAAGATCTAGGAATTCTAGCTGTAAATTATACTAATATATTGATAGGAACTATTTTTAGGCTTCAGCCTACAAGTGGAAACTACCGTTGTGTTGGCGTCTCTCTTGGGTATTAGTGTGTTGCGACTGTTGCTAATGTAACCCCGATCTTTTGGAGAGACCTATTTACAGGCAGAGTTTAGTGCATGCATTAACCTTCTGTATAGATTATTAGATTCCTATCACAGGTATACTTTGACCAGTGTTCACCTGGTGTTTCTTCAAGAAAGCATATCAATTAAACTGTTAGCAGGTTTTCATCACCCACCCTACTTGACTCCTCTCCTGCAACTGTCAAAAATTACCTACTAAGCCCTCAGTGAATACTTTTCTAACAACTTACTTCATACCCTTTTACCCTTTGTGTCGCTATACCCCACTCCCTCTAGAATGAAAGCTCATTGAGTAGGGCCCTCTACCTCTCTGTTCCTGTACGTCCAGTTGTGTGGTTACAGTTAATGTCAGCCCACCCATTGTACAGTGCTACGGCATCTGATGGCGCTATAGAAATAATAAAATATTAATAAATAATAAGTATGGAACATTCCATAGCTATGTATAGGAGCGGTTCTTAATCCTTGGTTCGGGACATGAAAATACCCTTGCTATTTTATTGTCTATACTTGAAGGGACTCTCCACACACATAAAGCACTTTAGCTTGCTGAAGTGTTTTGAGGCTGTCACATTTGTGACTGTTTTATGGAATCAGCATGTTTATATTTAAGGGAAGAAACTCTGCCTTGTGCTGGTACATTTCCTCATGATTAAGTCCATATATTATGCCCCTGCTGCAAGTAAAAGCAAATAACTGAAGAATTTCTGTTCAGTAGTAAGACAGAGTGGCTCATGGGAAGATTCTACAACATTGTATGTCTGTAATTGGGTTATCAGAAGTACATAGTTTGCACTTAAAGGAAGTATTAGGACTACAAATATGTACTCCCAACAATAAAATGTCCCTCTGGTCCACTCAGAATAAAACCCTTTCAGTCACTAATCTTCAGCACCAATGTCGCATGGCACTCTGTTGCACTTTTCCTCCGCTGACGTCAGCTGATGGAGGGGCTCTAATGTGCATTTGCCAGTAGAGGCAGTCTTGGCACTGTAATGACAACATTGCAGTTTCTCTAATGTTTTACATTGCAGGGCTAAGGTGAGAGGGACAGTGCACCCAGACCACTTCAATTAGATGATGTTATCTGGGTGCCTATAGGGTCACTTTAAGGGGGAAAAGCATTGTATAATTAGAAGTACACTCCTCTTTCTTCAAGTTACTATTAAATTAACTGTACAAATACGATGTTTGTAAAATATTGTATAATCTGTAGGGAAAATTTGTTTTGATTTCATTATTTATTTATATATATATATAAATATATAAATAAATTTTTTTTGTCTCTGGGTATTTGTTCCCATGTCTGCTAATTTATCTGTCCGTTTAGAGAGCTAAAATATATGGCTATACACCATATATAATTTGAACAAAGAAAAGCATAAGCAGTTTATTTATTATTATTATTTTTTTTTTATGGAATTTAATATTTTTCTTTCATATTCTTTTCATCACCAGTAAACGTGAAATTCCATCAAGTAACTTCACCATCCATGAGATCCATTGTAGGAGGAATATCAGTGTGTGCAGACTATGCAAGGAGCCATTCCCCACGTCGGAAATGGACGAGCACATGGCTACTGAACATGCCCCGGTACTCCCATTTAGTTGCTCATCCTCATAGGTTGTACCCTGTTAACATTAAATGTTTGTGTGGTTTAATAAATACCACTAACCCTACTTAATCATGCTAAAAGGAGTTCTGTCAGTCAGTGTATGTATTTTATTTATTTTTAATGCATTTGTGTTTTTGTTTTTTTTCCCTGGCTGAAACTGCCTTTTTATAGAAATATGATGGATAGCAAAGTGCTTGATTCTTCCAACATTCAAAGTGGACAAACTTAAAAATTATTGGCTTAAGAGTTGGGTGATATTTATTCTCACTATTTATACAGACTGATGCACTAGGGCAGTTGTCACACTTATTATCTTGACTTCTTTTATCTGCCTTTTTTAAAAAAATTTTTTTTTTTTTTTTGCAGGTTACATGCAAATGTAAAAAGACCATGGAGAAATGTGATTTAGAGGAACACGAGGTCAGTATTGCTTTGAGAGTAATGATGTATTGCTTCATATCTTTTCTAGCAAAATGACATTTCCAACTAGGGAAAAATGTCTAAATGAATAAAAACAAATGTTAAAACTTTGCATTAATTATTTTACCTGACCAAAAAAAACGCACAAGTAACATGTTTTCAAGAAAAGTTTAAACCTGGAACGAAAATTGTATATTGCTGTATAATCTACATGCAAGCCCTGCACAGGATCTGCTGTCCCGAGTTGTCGTAATATCCCTTTAAGCATTGTTTGCCAGAATTGAGTTCCACCAAATCGCATTTTCTGTCTAGTTAGTGTGCTGGAATGCAAGCTCTGTTCTATGAAAGACCCCAAATCTCCTTGTGCGTATGCATTAACTTCCTTTAGACACCTGTTGTGCATAGCACACGAATAGACTTTCTCCATTATAGATTCATATTGTGTTCATACAGCGCAGTTCTTGCCCTTGCCTAAAAAGTCATACTTTTCCTCTCTCATTAGTTCATGCTCCCGCAATCCCAGGCGTCTCTTTGACACATTTAACTCTCTTCTTCGCCCTGCTGTGGAACACCCTTTAAACTATACTTACAGTCGAGAGCTTTGCATGCTACTTTACTGACAAGACTGAAAAGCTAACGAAAGAATTATCCCCACCCTGCCTTTCTCTTTCTCAACCACACGTAGATCATTCTTTTCCAGACTTTCTCCCTGGCTACTGAACAAGAGGTGGCTGCGCTTCTCCTTTCCTCTCGCCCCACCACTTGTCTGCTTGATCCTGTCCCATCTCACCTTATCAGATCTCTCTCCCATTGTTTTGTGCCTTCCTTAACACACATCTTCAACTGCTCTCTCTCTCCTGGCATTGTCCCTGCTGACCTTAAACATGCTACTATAGTACCTATCCTGGGAAAAAAAAATCCCTCGACCCATCCTCCCCCTCTATCGTCCCATATCCCTGCTCCCTTTTTCCTCAAAGCTTCTGGAAAGACTTGTCTTTACCGTATCAATCTGGCTTCCACTCCCTCCACTCTACTGAGACTGCTCTTCTCAAAGTTACTAATGACCTAATCGCAGCTAAATCCAAAGGCCACTACTCCACACTAATCCTTCTTGACCTCTCTGCTGCCTTTGACACCGTTGACCATGCTCTCTTTCAGACTTTTCAATCTTTGTGACACTGTCCTTTTTTGGTTTTCCTCCTATCTCTCCCAACGCTCATTCAGTGTCTTCTTTTCTAATGATACCTCCTTCATCCTGTCTCTGTTGGGGTCCCCTTCGATTTTCTCTTTATACTGTCTCTGTCTCTTTTGGCAAACTTATTGCCTCATTTGGATTCCACTGCCACCAGTACACTGATGACACCTAGCTATATCTCTCCTCCCCAGACCTCTCCCCTGCCTTCTTGCAACGTGTCACTGCTTGCCTTTCCTTCATCTCTGACTGGATGTCCTCCTGCTTTCTAAAACAAAATCTCTCTAAAACTGAACTCCTTGTCTTTCCTCCTCCTAATACTGATCCTCTTCTTTCGCTTTCCCTTAAAGTCAGTGGTATCCACATCAGTCCATCCTTGCAAGCTCGCTGTCTTGGCATCATATTTGATTCTAGCCTCACATCCAGCATGTTAACAAATCCTGTAGATTCCATATTAAAAACATAGCCCGCATCCGCCCCTTACTTAAGCAAGATACTACCTAAGAGCTTGTCCGTGCTCTAGTAATTTACCGCATAAATTATTGTATCCCTCTCCTAATTGGTCTTCATAAAAACCATATTGCCCTGCTACAGTCTGTAATGAATGCTGCCGCCAGACTGATTTTTTTTTTTTTTTCCTCTCTCTCTCTCTCTAGTCGGTCCTCTCACACCTCACCCCTTTGTCAGTCCTTACATTGGCTTCCTGTATCCTATAGGAGTCAATTCAAAATGCTAACCCATACCTATAAAGCAGTGACCAATTCTAACCCCTCTTATATCTGTTCACAGATTCATAGGTATGCCCCTTCTCGGTCTCTCCGCTCTGCCCGCGAGCTTCTCCTGTCCGCTACTCACACGCGTACAACCAACTCATGCTTGCAGGACTTTTCGCGGCTGCCTCCCTTCCTATGGAACAGCCTGCCTACTACCATCAGACTCTCCCCTAGTCTTCAGTCATTTGAGAAGTGCCTTAAAACCCATCTTTTTATGAAAGCTTATGGCCTCCCAGAGTTACCTCTACCTCACATACCTGTCTCTTGCTCTCTCCTAAAGGGCAGCACTCTACACTCTTCTCCAGCTCTGCTTCACTCCCACCTATTTTGATTGCTTCTCCCTGTCCTTTTGTGGTTTACACCCCACATCCTATAGACTGTAAGCTCTTTTGAGCAGGGTCCTCTTCAACCTATCGTTCCTGTAAGTTTTCTTGTAATTATCCTATTTATTGCTAAATCCCCTCTCTTATAATATTGTAAAGCGCTACGGAATCTTTTGTCGCTATATAAATGACAATAATAATAGGATTGATGGCAGACCTCAATGTGACCACTTACAACAGGATCTATTAAGTTTACACTTAAGACAAAGTACTCCCTTTCTTTTGGTATCTGTTTATAATTTACAAAAAATAAAAATCAAACCCTTTTAAAGCAGCCAATGACGGGTCAAATCTAAGACCTGTTTTCCAGGAATGCTATGATCATATTGTTTTATATATTCGAATATTAGTTTTTTTTCGCTTTTCTATTGTAAGTTACTCATATATAGAATTACATGGTATCCTAACTTTTTTTTTTTAATATTGAAATCTAGCGGAATGCCTGCCCATTGCGTCTTGTTAAATGCCAGTTCTGTGATCTAGAACTTGCCTTTAATAAACTTGGTGACCATGAGGATTACTGTGGAGCTCGTACAGAGTGCTGTGAGAAATGTGGACGCAGTGTAATGACAAAGGACCTAAGCAACCACCCTCAGGTGTGTGGCAAGCAGGCTGAACCAAAGAGACCGACTAAATCACAAACCTATGTGGATTACAGGGACCTTGACAATGATGGAGCATGGTTTGAAAGAAGTGACCTTCAAAACCCATTGAGAGACAATGTGAATTCTAGGGCACGAGGTACTGTTCCTAGTAGATTTTACAGAAATTCCTCTCTACCAGAGTCAATGAAAACAAGGCTTGATAAAAGAGGAGAGCAAAACAGAGGTGAGTTCCCAAACAAAATTCTATATTGATTTTAATTAAATTGTCATATTATCAATCATGTTCTGGAAATAAGAAATGACAAATAGAACTGTTACATATAAATTGCACTGTGAATAGGTGTGCTTGTCATAGGTTTAATTAAAAAAAAAAAAAAAAAAGTCTCTCAAAACAGAATACAAATTAAAGGGACACTATAGGCACCCAGATCACTTCAGCTCATTTTAACTACATTTTTAGTGATCCTGCCAGATGGACTTCAAGACCATACATACTGTATATTCTCTAAATTTGTATACTCCATGGCCCTTATTTTCCTACAAAAGAGGGTTTTTAAAAATACATTTTTAAAAAATTTTTATTTTATTTTAAATTCTTTATTTTTGTTTGACATATCCGCAAAAGATAAAACAAGATGCACCCGTTTCACAACATACAATCGTGGTCAGGCGGAGAGAGTCTGGCGGCATTAAAGGCATACATTATGGAAGAGCAATAGATAACACAAGAGAATAAAACCCAGTACATAACTGATAGATAACGCCATCCAGTGGGGGTACATACATCATAAATAAACCGTCAAGTTAACGTTTTACTGTGCACTATCTCGGGCAGTAGTGGCCAGAAAAGGTGTAAGGCCTTTATAGACATCTGGTGGTGCCTACTCTACTTCATGCTAAAGGATGCTGCGTAGGGGCATGATCATGTGCATCTTGCAGTGGACCATTGGAGCTGTTAGGCCTGGCTGTGCCCAGCCGAGCAGAGCTGAATGCAGAGCGTCGTCTGCAACATGGTGATCTTGGCCGGCTCCTAGTGGCGTGCCCGATGCAGCAACAGCTTTGGGAAGTAAGGAACCCCGCTAGCCCCTGGTGCCTACCTATCTGGTCAGCGATAACATGGGTGAATGTGCTGACGTTGAGCGTCTGTAAGCTATCAATGCCTGTGTAAGCTGTATGTGTGAAAAAGGAGAAGGCCCTTGTCCAGAGTGAGGGCCATAATGAGAGAAAGAAATAGTAGAAAAGTACAGAAGAAAAGGAAAGTGAGGGAACAATAGTGGAAGATATGGGTGGACCAGGCGCGGGGAGGGCCCCGCAGGGCGGGGGGGAGAAGGCAGGCAACACCGCGTCCAACACAGCGCCGGACCAGTCATTCTGCCAAGGGGCATTCCCTCCACAGTCCCCACGTCTTCTCAAACGTCCTCTGGGTGCCTCGTACCCTGGCAGTCAAATCGTCCATGAGATAGCTGTCCTTTATTTTTCTCAGAACTAGTGAGAAGGGGGGGGCTGCATCTTTAGCCAGTATTGTGCTATGGCCCGACTGGCTGCCAGTGTGATCTTATTGAGTAGTTTTAGGTTGTGTTTGGGCCAGTCATCTATCGGCCTGCCTAAGAGAAATGTCCACGGGTCAAGGGTCGGGGCCCTCTGGAAGACCTGGGCCACCAAGCCTCTGATCTCCCTCCAGAGCTTTTGTATGATGGGGCACTCCCACCACATGTGGATGTAAGTTCCTCTAAGACCACAGTTCCTCCAGCATAAATCCGTGGGCAATTTGCACATGCGGTGCAGTTGTATGGGGGTGGTGTACCATCTAAAGAGGGTCTTGTATGACTGCTCCTGTATGGAAACGCAAATGGAAGATGTGACTGTCGCCTCCCAGACCTCCTGCCACTCCACCCCCTCCAGCACCTCACCCAGGTCCCGCTCCCAATGACCAATGTATGTCAAGTTGCCCCATTCTTTGGTTTCTGCGCATATGTGTGCATACAGTAGTGTGATAAGGCCTCTAGGAGATTGCTCACCTAAACAGATGTTTTCATAGAAGGTGGGGGCGGTGAGTGCTGCCCTGTGGACGAGCGGTTGCCTAGTGTAAACCGCGAGCTGGAGATATCTAAAAAAAGTCGGCTGGGGTTAAGTGATGATCCCGTCGCAAGGTGTCAAAGGGGATGATAGATCCGTTTACATATAGTTGGCAAGCTCTCTGCAGGCCCGTCCGTTCTATGCTACGGAACTCTCGGCCGCCAGACTGGGTGGAAAGGCCCTATTTCTGAGGTATGGTATGAGGGAAGAGGGGGAGGAGGCCAGCCGATATTTCTGGGATACCCTGTCCCAGATGTGGATGGAGTTGACTATGGCTGGGCAGTCCGTGCGCAACATGGGTCGAAGGTCTTTGGGTACCCAGATGAGGTATTGAGGGAGATCTGATCCTGTGAGCAGAGATTCCAGTTCTACCCATTTTCTTGTGTCTATTGGGGAGTGCCACATCGCTATCTGGGCCAGCTGAGCAGCAAAGTAATAATTATGTAAGTTAGGCAGGCCTAGCCCCCCCCCCAGACGTTTCGGGCGGTGTAATATGTGTCTCGACACACGGTGCCTTTTGTTTTGGCATATAAAATTGCCGATGGCTTTTTGGAGGTGGGCCAGGTCCGCTTTAGTCAGTGGGAAGGGGAGGGCCTGGAAGAGGAAAAGGATCCTGGGGAGGACATTCATCTTAATTGAATGGATCCGCCCCAGCCAGGAGATGGGCTTATCGACCCAATTCTCCATGTCTCTAATAAGGGTGGTGATCAGGGGGTGGTAGTTATATTCGTGCATCTTAGACGGGTCTGCAGTCAATTGGACTCCCAAATATGTGATGGAGTGTGTCGCTACATGAATGCCTTGATCCCTTTGTATGCCTGTTATTACGTCTGGTGGTATCCCAATAGGTAGGGCGCTAGACTTGGACATGTTGGGCTTGTAGCCTGAAAGCGGGCTAAATTGTGAGAGGGTCTCCTGCACCGACCTCATTGAGACAACCGGCGACGTAAGGAACAGGAGGACATCATCGGCATATGCAGAGACTAGGAATACCCTTCCCCTTACCGCTACTCCCTGGATATCCTGGTGTGAGCGCAGTGCCTGCAGGAGCGGTTCTAATACGAGGGCAAAGAGAAGAGGGGAGAGTGGGCACCCCTGTCTCGTACCATTGGTCAGTGGGAACGGATCCGGGCGGGCTCCGGGGATGATCACCTGTGCCGTGACCCCATGATATAGTGCGCGAATAGTCTGAATGTACGGATCTTGGGAGTCCCAGGTGCTCAAGGAGTGTGAACATGTATGGTCATTTCACCCGATCAAAAGCTTTTTCAGCATCTAGTGATAACATATGGGTGGGGGGTTTTATTTTTGTGCTGTCGCCATATGATCTCGTAATTCTTACGGGTATTTTCGAAAAGTTGCCTCCCAGGTATAAAACCTACCTGGTCGGCATCCATGAGTGTGCAGAGGAAAGGGTTAAGTCTTTCTGCCAATATTTTGGCAAGTAGCTTTGCGTCGTGGTTAATGAGATATATCAGTCTATAGTTCCCCGGGTGTTGAGGGTCCTTGCCCGGTTTCGGGATCAGTACTATGTTAGCTAGGGTAAAATCTCTATCCAGGAGGCCAAACGCCCTCTTTGTGCATAAGTCCATTATGGACGGTATTCATGTGGAGATATTTATAAAAAGAAAAGATGATAATCACATATCATGTATTTAATGCATATAAATATCTCCACATGAATACCGTCCATAATGGATTATGCACAAAGAGGGCGTTTGCCCAAACCTAAGATGGACGTCACAGTTACATGTTCCGGTTTGTGATGCTTTAGGTCACGTGGAACGTGCCGAAACGGGAAGTCTGACGGCCACCAATAGGAATCATCCTGTAAAGAAGCACAGAGATTGGATAATAAGATTGGCACACCAATCAGATTGAATGACACGGCATTTAAACCACCGCAAGCAGCGAATACACCACCGATTTGAAAAAGCTGTCAGAATACAGCGAAACGCGTCTCGGCCAGGAGGAAGGACTTAACAGTGACTTTTTATTCACTTTTTTATTCTTTTCATTATATAATTTAGTACACTTTTTCTTTTTGTTTGTATTATATTTTAATGAATACATTTTGTCCATTATTGAAGTCCTTCCATCTTTTCTGCTGCTAAAAGAAGGGTGGTAGCCTCCTTAAAGGCACAGATACCTGCATACTAGGAGCCAGGTATAAGGGCTCCCTACCAGGTGAGAAGCCATTTTATTCTAATATTAATCATTGAACACTGTGATTTACTACACAAGGATCTTTCCTTTTTCTTCACTTCCTTTATGTACGCATAAGGACCAACGACGATTAGAGGATCGATTGGGTATTATGTCGCCTTAAGTACACACACACCGTTGTGATCTGAGCCTATCGTAATTGGCTCAGTTACATGTGAGTGGGTCTATATAGTATATTTACCTATTGTGTTTGTTACCTAGCGTTACTTGCACCATTTGTATTTATATTTGTTTCAGATTCACTGTTTCTTCTCTTTATACATTTGTATGCATACCCATATGGATAAATTGGTTAATATTTGAGCGCTCCACACGTACACCAGTGGTGGCTTTTTTAAATCTACTACGCTGAGTGTTCACCTCGTTAAATTCTTACTTTTTATTTGTGCAATATGTGGTCCTTTAATATTTTAGACCTACAGTATATGCGCAGCTATGACTGTAGAGATATATAATTCTTTTTATTTTTTTTTGGTTCCTTTTATGAATTACTGAGTTTCTCTTCCTTGATGCAGGCTAGGCTTTCTGGAACTTATTCATTAAATTTCCCTATGCTGTAATATGCCAGGTCTTTTGATAGGGACTCCACTCTCATCGGAATTTTGCTTTTTCTAGTAAGTGAACGAACAATTCTATCAAGATCTATTCCTGCAAAGAAACCAGGAGAAGAAAGGGCTGCTGTTCCCTCCATACCCATCAGAAAACAACCAGGAGTTGATTCTTTTAAGTCCCTGAGTCTTCAGAACGATGTTCTTTCCAGCCCTGAACCTGATCCAGTTGCTAACTATGACTTTTGGAAAGCGGTTTACTCTAAAAGCCCCCCCAAAAATAATGCTCCTCAATGGCAGGACAGTCGCAACTTCCTCTCTAACAATGAAACCAAGTGGTATGATCCTGGAGATTATGAAAGTAAGTGGCACTGAGGTCCCCTTGGAGTGGTTAGTTGGAATAACGATTTTACTCTGTGTGTGTGTGTGTGTGTGTGTGTGTGTGTGTGTGTGTGTGGTTTTTTTTTAAATAAACACTACATCTTTGGTGGGCACTATACACATATATCATGGGCTCCTCACTGGAGGAGCTTTATGTACAGGCCCCCCCCCCAATTGAATCATTTGCAAACCAACAGTCTTTCATGCTTAGAATGTGATAAAATCAATCCTGTATCCTGAACCACTTCCTTGGCAGACCTTATCAGAATTCATGATCTCAGCCAATCCAATGTTTCCCCATGGGAAAAGCATTGGATTAGCAGAGACTGCCAAGGGGCGGGGCTAATGTCAGCTTGGCCAATCAGCATCTCCCCATAGAGATGCATTAAATCAATGTATCTCTATGGGGAAAGTTTAGGTTGGAGAGCGTGGAGACACTGAACGTTATTGCTGCACCTTTAGTGGCTGTCTAAGGAGTGAACACTGGAGGTGTCCCTGCCTTTTTGTCGGAAAAGATAGTGTTAACTGCAAAAAGCCTGCAGAGGCTGATTATACTCCAGGCAGCTAAAAGAGTTTTGAGCTTAAATTAGAGGTAATAAACTCATATCTGTGGTCAGTTTCTTTATTTTTTTTTTTTCTTCTTTTTTCAATTGTGTAGTTTTCCTGCAGTGCTGTAAAACGTCTTGCTGTTTTCAGCAGTTTAACCCAGCCTCCTTAGTCACCCCCTCTCACATTTCAATAAGTTTGTGATTTCCAGTCTCTGCAAAAAAAAAACCTTTTGCAGCCACTGAAAATAGAGGTGTGTCTTTTGTAGGGTAAGGAATGCTCACAGTATAGACTGCACTGCAGAGACAAGGTACATCTATTATCCTCTCCCTCCCTCCCTTTAATGCAAGTAATACATTCTCCTCCAGTCCCTGTCAGCCAACCTCCCTACCCACTGTTAACCCCCTTCTCTGCAATTCCCTGTTATCCAACCTCACTACCCACTGTTAACCCCATTACCCTCCAGTCCAGAGAGAGAGAGAACACAAAGCTCTATAGGTATTTGTGAGTTTGTCTGTCTCTTTATATTTATTTATAATAAACATGACACTATATGATATATAATGTGGTGAGAAAGTGTGTGCTTGTGGTGGGGTATGTAAGTTCTAGTGTCTGCTGTGTAACTTGGGGACAATACTTGTTGGACAGGCATTGTGGGTGTGTCATTACTGATTAGACCTAGATAAACACTGCAGCATGGCCCTCGGTAGATGGTCTGACAAAAATGCAGGAAACTGGGAGAAGGCAAAGGGGGAAATGGCATGCAATCACATGAGGATAAGAAAATACAATTAAATTAAAGCTTAAAACAGGTACTTCTACAGCTCTCTTTTACATTATTTAGGGGGAAAAAGCTGTTAGGGACACTAGGTTTACTGTTGGAGGGGGGGGATATGCATTTTTTCCCACTTTCCAATTGCTACTTTTGTCTCCTTTAGCTGATGACATTAAGCTGCCTTGTGAATTCTGTGAAAAGCTGATTCCAGAGCACAAGCTTATCTTGCACCAGGTACTTTGATTTTTACCCAATGTTGATCTTATTATTCCCAAATAGGTTCATGAGATTTATTCCACCACCAAAGTAATGTTGTAGCTCTGTGCTATATAAAGTCTGTAAAGCTGTATGTTTATCCAACAATATTAAATTCAATGCCATAGTATCAGAGGCATAGAATGGAGATTTGTTTTTAACTTTCAAGTTTTTTTTTTTCTCATTTGGAATGTTTAGCTTTTACACAGGCATCATCCCACTCTTCAGGATTAAATTGTGCCTGTCATGGCAAATAGAACGTAAAATCTGATTTGCTATTTATACATTGCGCCAGCAAATCACTAGATATCCTCTAAAATCAGAGATAAAAAGATCTACCCTCCCCTGTCAGTCAATTCAGTCTATGCCGATTGGCACAGAGAACACTGTGCTAGGCATGTTTGTTATGGCAACATAGAGAGAGACACACAGAATGATTATTGCAGAAGCTTTAAGCAGGCAATTTTGAGAATGGTGAGAAAGAACAGCCGAGTTTTACTTACAAAAAGTCAAGATGTTGGGGATGTTTAACCGGTTATGGGAAGCAAGTCGGTGCTTCCTAAACAGAAGCATGCAGGAAAGGGATCTTACAGCAGATGTACGCCCACTGAAAACATGGTTGATGGTAGTGGAAATTAACTTAAAATATGTGCTTGTGATAGTATTAAGGGAAGAAACACAACACTTCATTGTCTAACGTGAATCATCCAGATGGTTAGAAAACTTATCTATATCTGTCTTGACAGGTACACTTGAATTTTTTTTTTCTTTTTCCGTTAATGGTTGAACACTGAATGTCCCTATGTACTCTCAACCCGACTCCCTTCTGCTTGGTCTAATTGTTCAGCATTAGTCTGAGCAGCGATGGTCGACAACAATATCACTGCAAACCATTGTTGGAAGGTGTTGTATGGCTGAGGCACGGTGTAATTCTGCTTTAGCCATAACTTCAAGAGGGGTCGGTCCCCTTGGATGTCCGGGACTCTCATTAAGAGTCAATCCATTTGAATATAATTTAACATTGAAGTGTGAGCCGGTGCAAGTGGACTCGAGGCACCAGTGAAGGGATGATGGTGCCTGGAGTTTCCTTTTTAAATGCAGAAAAGAGTAATACAATACGTTAAATGTTCTTTTAGTGACCTCTTCAAACTCCACATCTCCAGTTACAGGATGAACCATATTGTACTTTCCAGCAACATATAATGCATTTTTATAGGCCTAGAAATTCTGTTTATAGATGGTCCCCACATGTAGACACTACTTAAACACATGTTCTAAAATCTTTCTATCTTTATTTTTGCTGCCAGAAAGTTATAGTACATCCCCTTATTGTTGCTTTGAAAGCTCATGTGGTCTCTCTTGTTTTGCAGTCTGGTTGTAACTCAGCCGCATTTGCTTCTTTCTGCGAAGGAAGAACCTCTCCTAGACCTCTGCAGACTTCTCAGCAGGAAAAAGAAACTGATTGGCTGCCAGAGCCACCTGTCCAAAGCAAGCGTTCCATCTCCCCCTCACTACCTCTAAATAACTCACAAAGAGTCCTCATTCCGTGTGAATTCTGTGGAGTACCAATGGAGCAGGATATTCTCTTTCATCACCAGGTATATATTTTTAAAAATTTTATTTGCAGTTTAAAAAGCTTCATGTGAAATTATGTCATGCAACACAAGTATATTATAATATACACAGAATGATTATTCCAGAAGCTTTAAGTAGGCAATTTTGAGAATGGTGAGAATATATTATAGCTTTCTGGGAACCACTCATTCTGTGCAGTTGAGTTTTGGGTAACCCGTACGGCAGGGAAGCATGTCCAATGATTTTGTACTCTTTGTGCTTATCCATCTTTAATATGTTGTCCATACATAAACCACTGAAATGATTGATAAGTTGTTGTTTGCAAACTACATTTGTATGGCTGGATGTGGATTGGATTATTGCATTCAGTGGACATATTTGTGTTTAGCATGATTTGGTAAGCATGATCTTTTTGTGTTGCTAGGATCAATGTGATCTGTGTCCCACCTCCGAACACGTTTCGCCTTTTTCATCATCATCCTCATCATTCCTCCCCATTCATAAGAACTCTGATAGGGAGGAAGCTGGAGTCCTGGAGAAGCTGCCATCGGGCCTGTCACTTAAAGGTAACACAGGTGCTTAAATGTTTGCAATAGGCATTCTCAACCAGGCTTCTCCAAACCTCATCGTACCTGCAGTCTGCAAAACATGGAGTACACAAAATGTACTATTCCTTGGGAACTGCAAAAGATCTAATGCTCATCAAGCTTCCACAAAATTCAGCTGTAACTTTGGGATAGTTTCCAACATCATACTGCTTAGAAAAATATCATGACAAGTGATCTCTGGCTTTGGGGGGATCATTAAATATATAAATTAAGCTTTTATTTAAAGACCTTTTTAAATGTTTTATTCCAGGTGCTACACATAGTTGTTCTGTCTGACTAATAACAATTTGTAAATTGTGTGTAGGTTACTCGTAAGTTGGATGTCTAAATACTGGAATTGTAAGGAAAATGGTTGTTGGGAAGCACTAGAACTTGCACATAGTCCCAGAATGTGAGATATCACTTTATACCACCCACAGGAGGTACAATACAGAGTCATAGAAACAACCTTCAAAAGGAAAACCTTAAGCAGCTTAATTCTTTAATTGAAAGTCGTCCAGAGGGACGAAAGACATTCCAGACAAACACTTCAAGAACACGGTTCTCTGGACAAGAATCAAATGTGACGGACACGAAAACTGAGGAGGATAATGTGAGATTTGGCAGAAACCATCACTACGGCTACCCTGATTCCGGGTTCTATAGGAGTTTATCAACCAGGTAAGCAGGTTCGCTATAAAACATTTATTGCACAAATTCTCTAATGCATTGGCATGTACCGGTATGTTTTTAGATCTCAATCTGTAGTAAATATACAGTTATAAAAAAACAAAACAAACCCTCAGTCAACAAGCATATTTTTGTTATTCAACTTGTCAACCTGATGCCTAAAAAGTTTGGAAGGTTGCCTGTTTTGATTTTGTTCTTGACTGTCATATGTATTGAGATTTAATAGAATGCAAAGAATCCACTTAATTCCAGTGGATTTTTAAAGGATCTCTCCATGTCCCAACACATGTTTTGAAGTGTAGATTAGGATACAATTTTTTTTATGATGGGTGTACGTTATAATTTTTAAAAAAACATTTTTGAGATGTACAAAGAAATTTCTATTTTCATTTAGGTAGCATGTGTTTTATATATATATATTTTTTTTACTTTTTATTTTTTTAAAGGAATGACTTTGAATTTTCAACAAATGCAAATGGATTCAACCCCAGAAACAAACCAAAGGTATGAACTGCAATTTGACTGGTTTATTGTCTTCATTTAGCTTTAATAACATTGTGCTTTTATTTTAACATTAACACCGGTATTCACTAAACTGAGAATTCAAATTTCAAAATGAAAGTCAAAATAGCTGAACTGGAAACCTTGTCAAAGTCAGCAATTTGTTTCATTCAATTAATATGGCTCTTTAAATTTGATATTAACTTCGAATCCTCACTTTAGTAAAAAAAATTTGTAAAATGTACAGCACATTTAAAGAGCTAGGAAGGAAACGTAAGCAGAGTGCCATTAAAACAGGAATATCCTGAACATAACCATACTAATCACGTCACCTAAAACCCACCATTAAACGGAAGAAACATGTTGAGAAACCAAGATCAGTAAAACAGAGAAATCGGTAATTTGGGAACAAAAATTGCAAGGATAATTGGCCATAAGAAAATATGCAATAGAAATGCCAAGGACTGCTGTAGAACACATTCCGAGCTTGAAACGCACAATGAGCTTGCTGGTTAGTCCCTGGATTTCAAGTAGCAAAAGATTCTGTTAATCCGCCAACTTCCTAGCTGAACGTAAAGCTGTGTAGTTCAAAAGTATTGGCAGTTGCATTCATAGAGTGCTAGACTGGACCAGACAGTAAAAAATACCTCTGTTGCATAGAAAATTTTAAATAGAAATAAGGTAAAGAACAAGCCTAGTCATAGACTATCCCCCCAGTGTAGCACTCTATAATGTCTTACACTAGCCAATCTACACTAATGTTTAACCTTTCACAAGCTTATAATACTTGCTTGCAAAATTGTTTGGCAGAACACAAGATAAGGAGTGAAGCTCTACCAGTAAACTTCAAATGAATCGGGTTTATCTGGTTTAATTCTGTTAGCCATTCATGTTTGGTGGAGGAGGGGCATTTTTAATCAGAATCCAATGGGGAATTTGTTTTGATATGTTCCCCTTTCACTCCCTGCCCCATGGCATATCTGTATTGTGTAAGAATGTGCTGTGTGAACGTTGTGTGAAGTATACAAGTGCAGCAAATATTTATTATTGTATTATAAGGATACTACTTCTTATTTATTCAGGGCATTCATTGAAAATTTAGCTGACTTTATTGACCTTGTAATAAATCGACAGACTCTCTTTCTCCTCCTACCCTGTTCGCAGGGGTCTCTCCCTCGGCCTCTGGGTTATTAGGTGAGAAAGATCAACAAACTATACCACAAGGAGACTGGCATGCCCTGCGAGATAGCTGGTAATACTCTCCGTGGTACCTGCTTATACAGACTTGAACCTGCTAAATGTAAGGGATACTTATAGAGTTTCTCCAACTCTTGATCTCATCTTACTTTGTCATTTTGCATGACTTGGTGACCTGCGTGTCACAAGTTATTACTACAGGGGACTTACATGTCTCACAGAATTTCAAAATAAGCTCACGGCAGTACCTGCGAGTACAGATACAACACCTGTTTCCCTGCATTTTGTTAAAACCAGGAAACACTTTCTTTATAAACAGAAATTTAAAAATAAAAACAGCAGAATCACTCTAATGGTTGTGATGAAGCTTACATATTTGATAATTCTACTAAGGGAAAAAAAAACAAATATTACATCACCTGACACGTGTTTTGCTCTCACCAGGAGTGAAGTGCATAGGAGTATTTTTATTTTTTTTCATAACCATTCTAGCTATTCAGCCACTGACAATTTAGGGAATGGTGTCTCTGGCACCACATCATCCAACAGTTCTTGGTACTACCAGAGGTATTGCTTAACTTTAGGGATGGATTTTCCATTAGGCAGAGTAGGCACATGTGCCTTTTTGGAGCAAAGAAGGACTGGTGTGAAGTGATAACTATCGGGAGCTTTGGCCAGTGTTCTACTCCAGTCAGCCTCATACTTGGTATGATCCTATCATTGACAGCAGAGCTCCAGGAAACATTATAGAGTGTGTAAAACACAGCGCTGTCACAGCTCCTCAAGTGTCTGTGTGTGTGTAAGTCTGGACAGGAAAGGAAAGGGATCATTTGCTATCACACGAACAGCCTCTCACACAGGAAATGCATTGCAGAAGGCGACAGTACTGAGTGATGCACACTGTATAACCGCTACTGCTGGTCTGATATCAATCATAGGTGGGATTAAGCACTCATGCCTAAAACTAGAAAAACCCTTTACCTTAATACTAAGTTTAACTCTAGTTTAAACCACAAACACCCCTTGTACTCAAATATTAAAGGGACACTATAGTCACCAGAACAACTACAGCTTATTTCATTTGTTCTGGTGAGTAGAATCATTACCTTCAGGCTTTTTCAGTAAACACTGTCTTTTCAGAGAAAATGCAGTGTTTACATTACAGCCTGTCACAAACGCACTCTACTTCAAGAGTGTGCGTGACGTAGTTGTGGTGGTGAAAGGGTTAAAGTTTACCATTTGTCTGCACTAGACGGGAAATAATAATAAAATATCACTTAACACCACTCCCACTTAACCATAATAATATAACTATTAGTATTTTAATGCTGCCACCACCAAGACAGTTTATAAATGGGGTGCCTTGGTCCCCCAGGTAAATCAATAATAAAAACCCACCAAATACAACTTAGCACAATACTTAAGGAATTCGTCTCTTCAGGTAACGTGATTCTTTACCAGACAAAGGCAGAACTTTATAAAGGAATATTTATTATGAGCAAAAAAAGTCACAGTACAAAAAAAGTACAAAAATATAGTTGACAATCAAAATTATTGACCCCAACAACAGATGAAAACAAAAGGCATGAAATAACAGAAGTCCTGATTACTTACTCAATTTTTCAAAATACACTTCTGTCCAGGGGGTCTCGGTTAGAAAGGTGGTGACTCACTTAGAATTAGATTCTGGCCCCAAGCAAGTACAAAGCACCCTTCAGGATCATTAAAGATACACCCTGTGGATTACCATGCCTCGCCCAGAGGTGGAGTAAAGGCGTATCTAAAGAGATACTAAGTGACGACAACTTGTGTCCAGACCCACATAAAACCAAATGGAAACATTTGGTTCTATCTTCTCTTATATACCTGCTACAGAAATAATAATTGCATCTACAAATTCATTCTTGCTTTCTTAAATATGTCACACTTCTTACTTGTGACCCAATATAGCGGATATCACGATTTCTTCCCCTATGGTCAAGGTATGCCAATCCTGTTTGAACTTTTTTTAGAAGATGGCGCTTGTCACGTTCCTTATATAGCAGAAATGAGGCTTAATTATTCTGTGGGTAAATCTTAATGTTTTTTTTTTTTTTTTGTCTTTTGGATATTCTACTGGAGCAAGGCTAATGGGCATTAACATATCAAAGAGATTGACTCCTCAATTAAGAGTTACATGCCATATGCCTGAAGCCAGACATTCAGGCTTTTCCAGTGTAGAATCTCACACCTTGCAGATCCTTTGATTAATTCACAGGATACATCCATATGGTAAAACCCTTTTCACATTCCTGTATGAGTTACATTACCCCTTCTGTCATCTGACCTTACATACAATCAAATTAACCCCTTTTTTACATTAATATTTCATCTCTACCAGACAGGCACTACACAAACTTACATTAAAGGATAATATTCTGTAGTGCAATAACGAATTATGCACTATTGCTGTGACACAGCCTAGTGATAACTCCACCGGCTACTCCTCAGATGGCTGCTAGAGGTGCTTCCTGGGGCAGTGCTGCCTGGTGTGCAGCACTGTCATTCAGCATCTCCACCCTCTGCATGCAGACACTGAACTTTCCTCATAGAGATGCATTAATTCAATTCATCTCTATGAGGAGATGCTGATTGGCCAGGGCTGTGTTTGACTTGTGCTGACTCTGCCCTTGATCTGCCTCCTTGACAGTCTCAGCCAATCCCATTGTGATTGACTCAGACCACCACTTCTGATGATGTCAGCAGACACAGGCACAGGGGCAGAGCCAGGAGTAAGATTTTACTATATTTAGGGAGGCTAGAGGTGCCCAGGGGACTAGATGGTGGTTTTAACACTATAGGGTCAGGAATACATGTATAATGTTTCTTTAAAATCATCCCCACTGTAAACCTAAACCAAATAATCCTGAACATCTTTTATACCACACATTTAACCCCTTTCAAACTAATTCCTTTTAGCAATAAATGCCCAATGTAATCTAACTTTGACATTTACCCCTCCTTAAACCCCCCTTTCTTACCAACTTCTAAAATCTTAACCCTGCATGCATTTACACAGCTGCCTGCTCACCGCACTTATAAAATCAAATTTATTAAACAAAACTGAACATAAACATCACATTGACTATGACATTCATATGAAGACTGCCTGCGGAAGGTGACAAGCTGAAGCACCAGTGGCAGCGATTACAGCCTTAAGTCTTTTTGGGTATGACGCAACAAGCTTTGGAAACAAATATTTAGGTACTTTCCTGCATTCATATCAGCGGATCATCTCAAGCTCTGTCAGGTTGGTTGGCAACGGTTGATGAACACAATCGAACATCTCTAGAGAGACCTGGAAATGGTTGCTCAAGTATGGGCTCTGTGAATGTCTTTTAGTCGCCCAGTCAGTTGTTCCAAAGCCACTGTTGCGTTGTCTTTGCTATGTGCTGTTGGAAGGTGAACCTTTGGCTTGGTCTGAGATCCTGAGCGCTCTTCACTAGGTTTTCATTAAATATATCTCTGGTCCGAGTTGAGGGAAAGCTGAACACACCAAAATACAGTCTCTGGAAGTATTTTTCAGAGGCAATGACAAAGTATGATGCTAACACCACCCTAATTCTCTCTGGCTTTCTTTCAAACATTGCACTTTGAACTGAGGACAAACTGTTCATTTCAGCAGACAATAAAATATTGTTTCTCACAGTTTGAGAGTCCTTTTAAAAAAAAAAAATTAAAAAAAAAAATCATGTGCCTTGTAGTGAGGAGAGACTTCTGTCTGGCCAGTTTGCTGCACTCAACCAATCTGGCCTTTATGGCAGTTATGGTTGTTTCTTGACCTCTGGAGCTCACCCAGAGTGACCATCAGGTTAATGATCACTTCTCTTACCAAGGTTGTTCTCCCCAATTGCTCAGTTTTGGCCAGGACCCAGCTCAACGAACAGTCCTGGTTGTTCCAAACTTCTTCAGTTTCAAAATTAGTTTAAATCTCTCAAAACCTTCTGTTTGTGCCTCTAGATTGATTTTATTTTCTACCAACAGGCAAAGAAACCAAACTCGGTGACTGGAGATGTTGAAAAGGAGGAATGACCGCCAATCTTTAACTGCATTAAAGATATATTGCTTCATCTGGACTATGGCTATATGTTTCAATCATTCGTCTTACATGCGTCCATAATATGCAACATATTGCTTTTTGAGTCTCTTTTAAAGGGTTAAATATTTATATTTTCATTGGTAAAAATAAGAACTGCCTTTTTTTTTTTTGGGGGGTATAGTTGACCTTCAGAACTTCCACTGTATAGTGTGCAACACTTTTTCTAATTTTGTAATTGTATATTTAAAGAAAACTTTATAATTTTTTTGTGTAATGGATAGTATAAAGCAGACACTCTTCTTTCTCTGTTTTCTCAATTCCGCTTTAAAATATTGGCATTAAAATGCATAGGACTACATTCCCCTGATGTGGTGTTCTGATGTTCATGACGTTTTGTGAATATAGCCTTGGCTGTTTTTAATGCTTTCACATGAAGTGTGGAATTCTCTCCCCTTCTGTAGTTTTTACTTGTAGGCTACTGGTGAAGAATCATTGGTACAGTAATTCAACAACTTTACTAACCTTGTGATTAGACTTACAAGGAGTTATGCCCTAAACAAAGAAATTACCTATTTTGGCTTAACATTCCTTTGTCGATTCTCCAAAATTCAGTTACTCTTCCGAACACTTGGAGTGGGTGAGCAAGAGGTGAAGACACAAAAAAAAAAAAAAAAATGTGCAAGAAGTGATCAAAATCCTATTGTGTGTCTTCTTTATCTGATGCTTGTTTACCTTTTGAATTGTATGATTTTCCTTTTTTACGTTTTTGGTTTTTTGAAACCATGTGTTAAGCACACAGTGAAATTAATCTCCTTGTCTTAATACAGCTTGAGTGTACCATTTTTTTATAGACCTATTTTCCTCCTCCACTGTTCTTGGTGGATCACCACTGTCTGTTGGCAGATCGATCAGTATCTAGCCATATGGACATGCTGTTAGGAAAGTAATGGCCAGCATTGTGAGAATCATACCGCTGTCAAGCATGTTCTTTTGAAGAACAAGTCTATGAACTAGTTCAGTTTCTCAGATTAAAATCCATGTTTCATTCTGAATTGGGACCTGCACTTAATCATGAATATTGTGCTGAACATATCTGATATTTTTTTTTTTTTTTTTTTTTAAACACTGTAAACAACATTTCTCTATTCTTGTATATGTAGATTGTGAGAGGGGGATTTAGTAGGTGTTGGTAAGAAATTAATACGGGCAGTGCTAGATATAGCACATTTGTCACCCGAGATAATTTGTTATAAAATGTATGTTCTTTATTAAAGAAAATATTCTGTATACGTGTCTGAAGTGCTATTTTAAGACTGTTTTTGGTGGAAAGGTTGCACAAAAATAGAGAAAAGTTATGACAAACTTACCGTAATTTTCTTTTCCTGGCTATTTCTTATGGCAGCTTCACCTATGGGTAGCTCCTCCCTTAGCAATCACAGGACAGGAATTAATTAGATTAATTAGACTGATAGGTATAAAGAGTCCCTCCTCCCCTTACACCACAGTCCAATTATAAAGCTGAAAAAATAAAAAGAATGGGTGGGAACCCTGATGCTGCCATGAGAAATAGCCAGGAAAAGAAAGTTATGGTAATTTTGTCATAAATTTTCTCTATTGCTGGCTAATGATGGCAGCCTCACTTATGGGTAATACCCAAGCTCACAGAAATATAGGGTGGGAATAAGTAAACCGTGAGAGGACACTTAACAGACTCTCATGCTGCAAAGAAACTTTAACCTCTTAAGGACACGACAGAAATATTCCGTCATTATTCCCTTTTATTCCAGAAGCTGTGTCCTTAAGGGGTTAAAATCAATGGGATAAAGAAACTGTAGACAGAACACTCTTCCCAAAGGAGGTGGAAGGAGAGGCCACATCCAGTTTGTAGTGTTTTATGAACGTCATCGGGGAAGACCAGGTGGCTGCCCTGCAAATATAATCATGTGGAACCTCTGCCCAATTAGCCCATGAAGTTGACAATACTCTGGTAGAATGTTTTTATCTTAATTGGAGGAGACTGACCTTTAGAGACATACGCTTTCCTGATTATAAATGAAATCCATGTTTCAATGTAGATAAAGAAGCTGCCTCACCTCTCCTAGCTCCTGAAGGTAGAACAAAGAGTTGGTCAGTCTTTCTGTATGACTTAAAACGAAAAACAGAAATTTGTACTTACCGTAAATTCTTTTTTTCTTAATATGGTGGCAGTAACTGAAGGGTTTTGCTCCTCCCTGTGGACAAGACATCTTAGCAATTAATCTTAAAAAAAGGACCCTCCCCCTTTAACCTATAAATCGCTGTACCGCCAAACCTACCCCAGTACGTGACATGAAAGACAACACAGACCAATATCTACTGCAAAAAATTATTTAATAACAAAAGGGAGGGGCACTGCATTGCCACCATATTAAGAAAAGAATTTACGGTAAGTACAAATTTCTGTTTTTTCTGTCATATGGTGGCAGTAACTGAAGGGATATAGCAAGATCCTCATCTGGGCGGGACTTAGGCCACTACAGCTTGTAGCACTTTACGCCCAAAGGCTGCTTCAGAGGCAGAGTATGTGTCTAGCCGATAGTGCTTGATAAAGGTGTTAAAAGATAACCAGCATGCTGCTTTGCAGATGCCCTCTGGAGATGCAAGTGCCTTCTCTGCCCATGAGGTAGCCATTGCTCGAGTTGAATGGGCCTTAAGTGTAGCTGGAGAATGAAGACCTGCCGTAGAATATGCCAATTCTATAGCCTGAATGAGCCAACGGGACAAGGTACCGCGGGAAGCTACCTTGCCCTTGAGGTGCCCCTGAAATTAATGAATAGATGATCCGAATTTCTGAATTCTTTTGTTCTTGCTAGATATATAAATAATGCTCTTCTGACGTCCAATTTCTGCCATTTGAGCTCTTGAGGAGATGAAGCATCGCTATAAAATGAAGGTAATATGATTGGCTGATTAACCGTCTTAGAAGACAACACTTTGGGTAGAAAAGACTGTCTTGGATAAAGAACAACCTTGTCTTTCTGAAAAATGGTGAATTCATCCGAGGAAGAAAGAGCGTAAAGTTCTCCCACTCTTTTAGCTGATGTGATGGCTATCAGAAATAAAACCTTGATTGATAAAATCTTTAATGGAACTTCCTCCAAAGGTTCAAAGGGATGAACACTAAGAGCTTGTAGGACCAGGGTTAAATCCCACATTGGAAACACAGATCGCCTAGGCGGTCGTTTGAGACTGATGGACCTGAAAAATTGTCTGATGAAGACATTGTCAGCCAGATCCTTAATTAGAAAAAAAAACTTAAGGTCGATATTTTAACTTTGAGCTTGGAGACACCCAGCCCAGCTGTAAACCCATCTTGTAAAAAATGAATGTTATCTATAGATGGATGCAATACTGGGCACTGGTGTTCCTTACCCCAGTGTAGAAACTTAGACCAAATCCTAAAGTATATCTTCGATGTAGATTTTCTAGTAGCGTGGAGTAAGATTGCTATTCTGTCTTCCTGTAAACCTTGGTTTTGAAGGATTAGCCTTGCAGTAGCGAAGCTGTCAACCTGAAAATTTCTAGAACTTTAAAGGGCAGGTCCCTGTTCACAATGAGGAGATTTGATCTGGGAACTTCCCAATGATTGATGGCCATCTCCTTTATAGCCGCAAACCAGACTCTGTTTGGCCAATATGGGATTATCGCCAATACTCTCGCTCTGTCTTTTTGTATCTTGAGAAGGACCTTTGGGATTAAAGGAAGAGGTGGAAAGACATAAGCCAGTCGGAAGTTCCACTCTATCGATAAAGCGTCTATCCAATTGGGTTGATCTGTTCTGCATAGGGAGGCGAAATTGTGAACCTTTTTGTTTGAGGCTCTTGCCATCAAGTCTACTTCTGGAAGACCGAATCTTTCTGTCAGGATTCTGAAGATTTCCGGGTTCAAAGACCATTCTTTTTGGTCCCACTTCCCTCTGCTTAGATCGTCGGCTATTATATTGTCGCTGCTTCTTATGTGAACTGCCGTGATGTCTTCTAGATTTTTTTTTTTTGTGACCCTTCCATAATTTCTGCACAAAGACCGTAAAGCTTCCTTACTTTGGTTCCTCCTTGGCGATTGATACTACCGTCCGATTGTCTGATTGGATCTTCACTGCTCTTTGTAGTATCCAAGGCCTGAGGTGATGTAGGGCGTAAAGTACTGCTAATAATTCTCTGAAATTTGCGGATTCTTTCGCCTCGCCTAATGACCATCTTCCTTGGAACATGGTGGAGCCTAAGTGAGCACCCCAACCTGTCCTTGAAGCGTCGGTAGTGACTATCATCCAATCTTTTGGTCGAAAAGATAATCCTCCTGAAAGGCATTCTGAGGTTTTCCACGACGTAAGCTGAGTTTTTACTTGAGGGGATAACAAGAAAATTTTGTCTAAATCTTCCTCCTCTTTTGATTAGGTAGTGAGGATATTCCATTGTAATGGCCTGACCTCTGACCTTGCCTATTTGACAGCTGGAAAGGTGGCAATTAGAAGGCCCAAAACACCCATGGCCTGTCTGAATGAACAAGTTTCCATCCTTTGGAGATTGGAAATCTCTTCTCGGATTTTCCTCCTTTTTCGTTTTGGGAAGAAAAATTGACATGTAGACTGAATTGATCGTGAATCCGAGAAACTCTCTCTCTCTCGTGGGAATGAGCACTGACTTCTTTCGGTTTAGGAAGAAACGTTATAGTGACCTGCAGGTCCTTGCGCAGCTGTTCTTTTGTATGTGCAATGAGGAGCCAGTCGTCCAAATAAGGGATGATTGAAATACCGAATTCCCTCAAACGAGCTGTTAGAGGAGTAAGGATCTTTGTAAATATCCTTGGGGCGGAAGTCAGACCAAACGGCAGAGCCCTGAACTGGAAATGAACGGTGGATCTTTTTTTATAGCAAATCTTAGAAATTTTCTTGAAGCGGTAGCAATTGGAATATGCAGATAAGCATCCTTTAAGTCTATTTTTACCATAAAGTCGCCTCTTCGTAAAAGGGGAAAAATCGAAGTGATTGACTCAATACGAAATCTGTGATAGGTGATAAATTGGTTTATGTACTTTAGGTCCAGAATGGGTTGAAACGAGTGGTCTGGTTTTGGCACCAGAAATAATCTTGAATAGACTCCCCGAAATGTTTATTTTACTGGTACTCTTTCTATCACTCTTTTTTGTAACATCAGCATGATTTGACAATATAGGGCTTGTGATCTCTTTGCAGACTGGTATGTGGATACCAGAAACTTTGGTTTTTCTGTAAATACCATCTTGTGTCATTGTTGGATCAGATTTAGAACCCAAGGATTTCTTGTGGTCTTTTCCCATACTGGAAAATATTGTTGGAGCCTTCCTCCCACACTTCTGGCATCAGAAACGTATCTCTGAAGGTTCTTTTAACGTCACCCCTTTGTTCGAATCTTCGATTTTTATCCCTTCTTTGAAGACATTGCGGTCTCTCTTGATAAGATCTATTTTTATACTGGTAATTTCTGTATCCTGATCTCCAGGAGAACTTCTTATCCTGAGGAAGTGCCTTCTTGGTTTCTGACATTTGCCTAATGATTTCTTCTAAAGGAGCCCCAAATAATTTAGTTTTTTCTAGTGGAAGCTCACAAAGGGCTGATTTGGACACTGAATCCGCTGTCCAAGACCTTAACCATAAGGCCCGTCTTGCTACCGAAGACAGTCCCATAATTCTGGATGCCTATTTTAGAACTTCTACTGACATATCCAAAAGGAATTAATTTGCCAAGTGCATTTTCTGAAACAAGTGGTTAAGTTCTTTAACCTGGTCAGAAGAAAAAACATCTTAAAGACTTGCATTGGAAACCGGCTGTCTGGTAAGCTCGCCTACAAGAGGTTTCAGCTCTTTTATCCATTGGATTCTTTAAAGCTGAAGTTTCCCCTATGGGGATAGTGGTCCTTTTAGCAATCTGTGCAACCTGAACATCTACTTTTGGGAGATCTTCCCAGATAACTTCGCCAGCCAGTCTGAAGATATCCTTGAAGTGTCTGGAAATAAAAGCACGTTTTTCAGGGTTTCTCCATTCCCTAAAAATGAGATCGACCAGGCTTTGCTGAAGAAAAAAACCCCTTTTTTTTTAGGATTCTCAGAACCCTGGGGTAGGATTGTTAGGTTTACTTCCTTTATAAATTTTCGAATTTCATCTGAAGGAAACCCCACCGGTTCACTTGAAGAAGATCCTGAATCATCTGAATCAATTGAGGCAATATATTCCCCAGATGAGCTTTCAGATGTAGACGATGACCTTCTTTTC